ATGGTGGAGTCGTCGCTTGGAAAAAGTAGGAGACAACCTACAGTTGCGCTTTCAACAACAGAAGCGGAGTATATGGCGGCATCAGATGCTACACGCCAAGCTGTATAAGACAACTTTGGGATGATTTGGGACTTGGACTTGGTCAAGAACCTTTGAGACTTCTCAATGACAATGCGGGAACTATAGCTCTTGCCAAGAATCCGGTTCATCACAACAAGACAAAACATATTGACCTGCGACATCATTACATTCGGGAGAAAGTTGAGGACAACACTGTCTCTCTGTCACATATTCCCTCAGCGGAGAATATAGCTGACCTGTTAACCAAGGCTCTTCCTTCAGATACATTTGATAGACTGAGGGAGTTATTAGGGGTATGTGGCAGATCCCCTTGAGTGGGGGTGTCGGAAATAGTGCAATCGGTAACTGCCACATTGGAGCGCTTCCGCTATTTCCGCGTATTCCCTCGTCTCTTTCACCTCTGTCAATATTGTACTTTTTCTCTTTATGCATTCTACTTCTACATCTGACAACTTGGTCAAGAACCTTTGAAACTTCTCAATGATAATGCGGGAACTATAGCTCTTGCCAAGAATCCAGTCCATCACAACAAGACAAAACATATTGACCTGCGACATCATTATATTCGGGAGAAAGTTGAAGACAACACTGTCTCTCTGTCACATATTCCCTCAGCAGAGAATATGGCAGACTTATTGACAAAGGCTCTCCCTTCAGATACATTTGATAGACTGAGGGAGTTATTAGGGGTATGTGGCAGATCCGCTTGAGTGGGGGTGTCGGAAATAGAGCAATCGGGTAACTGTCACATTGGAGCAATATTGCTATTTCCGTGTATTCCCTCGTCTCATTTCTCACCTCTGTCAATATTGTACTCTTCATGCATTCTACTTTCTACATCTGACAAACTGATCCCTGCAGGTTGTTGCTGATGAAAGTCTTTAAACCCTCCTTTGGGTGTCTTACTATGCCTGTCTTTCATACCTCTGATATACAAAAAAGTCGGCAATAGTTGGCAACAATTGGCAGAAGTTAGCAGAAGTTGGCAAGAATCAATGGAAAGTAGGTCAATGATACATACATATGACAACAATCAAATAGAAAGTCTATCTATTGAAGATACTTTGTTCAACCAGTTCTGTAAAGTATCTAGTGACGGGTTTTGTAAACTTTGTCTATGTTTATCCCATAACTGGGCTGCTTCCTTTCCATTGACTTCTTGGGCACTTGCTAAGTCTTTAGCTGCACGGATAATGTTCATACACCTTCAATAAAATTGTTTCTCCGTTTCACTGGCTTGCTTTAGACCAGAGCTGCTTTCGTACTGACTTTGTATGGAAGGTCGACCATTATTACCTAATGTATACTCTTGCCATAATTCTTGAACAGTGCAGACGGTACAATTCATTGTAAATGGAGTACGAATGGTTGTCTGCAAAGGGTCTTGCAAATACGGCAAAGAAACATTGCTGGTTGCTTGGAGTGTAATGGATAAAGAGGAAGACGATTTTGTAGACGGGACCAAGTGATTGTCACTGATGTTCAATGGTTGAGAGCTCCCATGTCACGAACTACGTCGCGACACCTCGATTACTCCACCAACAATGACCCTCCTTTGGCCATCAAAACCCCATCACGCCTTAACCTTTTTACTCTACACGTAACTCAGGACTTCTGACACCAAGTACGGCGAAGTTAGACGGAGTTAGGCTAAGTAGGGACAATGGGAGCAGAAGTGCGGCGATGTTAGGCGGAGTTAGTCTAAGTAGGGACAATGGGAGCAGAAGTACGGCGAAGTTAGACGGAGTTAGGCTAAGTAGGGACAATGGGAGCAGAAGTGCGGCGATGTTAGGCGGAGTTAGTCGAAGGAGGAAGAGGATGGCCGAGGGCTCGGGGAAGTTGGACGAAGTGCGTTGAAGTACGTCAAAGCGCGAGAGGGTTGGATGAACGTCTAGGAGGAGTAGATAATATTAGCTGAGAAGATCGCTGAAGTTCTTCAGCGATCCTTGATTGTTGTCAGTAGTGAAAGACAGATAGAGATAGCTATAAATCAAGATACATCGCCATCAGTAGAACAAAACCCTAGTTAGAGTAACTACGCCGAAGTACGCCGTAGTTACACCCCTTTCGACGTCTGCGCCCTCCTGGTTGGGTGAGACATCGACTCAGAGCGTGAAGTTAGCCGAGGTTCGTCGACCGTCGGTCTATTAAGAAATAGTTGTTCGACGGCCGTGACATCCCACCAGAAATTTCAGCTAGTAAAGCTTGTAAAGGGCCAGGAATGATTAGAGGTCGGTTTAAAGCCGTTTGTATCAACATAACCCCATCGGATACCGCCTTCATCTGCTCTTGTTGCTCCATTTGTCCTTGACTGAGTTGAAAAACGTTTCCAAGGATGTCTTGAAACAATTGTTGCTGAGCTCGTGTTTGAGTTTGTAAAAGATCGTGCAAAATGGGAAGAGCTTGGGCAATTCGATTATCATATTGCTTTTCATTTGTGATAGTACAAGTCAACGCATGTCCTTCATATCGTAAGTATTCTTTGTCGGCAAACAGAGGATGATTGAAGATGTATAGTGATGGATATGCTTTTCGCAAATGAGGAACATCTTGTAGGAACACTTCTTGTAAAGAGATTATGGTCTGCAAAAACATACGACCTGTAAGCTCTTCTTGCAAACGTTCGGCAGCGTTCATCAAAGACAGCCTAAAACTGTTAGTCTTCCAAGATACTAAAAGATCAATAAATAAACATACCATTTCTCAGCTTCTGGAAAGATTTTCTTCAGTAGCGTAGCAGGAGGTGTAACAGCTCGCGGTAAGAAGAAACCATTCCCTTCAATAGGAAAACCTGCATGGGCTTGTAACGTTTGTCGAGGAACATGCGTAAGATAGTGTATTTCTATGACCGAATGAGCCCAATGTCCTGCTCGAGCAATTTCATCTGGGGAGGTGCCACCCTGTTCCACTAATCTAGCACCCATTCACCTATTGACATGTGTTTTCTGATAAGTATGAACATTTGCGGCTTGTAAGGCTCCATTTATCGCTCGTCGCTGTGTGTCGTATGAGATCTCCTTAGATCTGTCTCTAGCATTGCTTAAGAGTGGAATATTGTACCAATTTGCTTGTGTTGACATATCTGGAAAGCCACTTGGAGAAGGCCCACAATATAAACTGGTGGTTAGTAAAGCAAACATCTTATACCCTGATTTAAACACACCGAGCAAACAAATACGACGCCAGCAGAAATACAGGACATATCTGAGGATTCTTGTTGTGCATGAAAGCTGCATACTGAGGCTTTCCAGACGCGTTTGTCTTAGATGAATGTAATACCATAATAATAAAAAGACAGGGGGAAGGGCCTTCATTTGTTGCTATCTTGGAAGACAAGTTGGATAACAAAAGCCTGCGTTGATTATTGCCATGGAGCATACCAAATGTCCCAGTAGCTTGCGCAAGAGCGTCTCTCAGTCCCTCTTTGATATTTCTTTCCATGTAATGTGCAAATGATTGTTCTAATTGTCCTACGTTATCCTATCCGTTGTAATAAAGTTCTGTCTGTTAAATCAAAACAATAAACGTACACTCACGTTTTCCTTTGTCCTCGTGAAGTAATTTCTTTCTACGTTCATTGGATTTTTGTAATACCAGAATGATTGTAGCTGTATGCACGCTTCTAGGCGAGCTCCAGCCATTGATACCCCTTTCTACCTGTTGCTCCCAAAGATTGACTAAAGTGGCTACCCATGCGTGTACGGTCCCCCCCGTGACTTGACATTTAAGGATGATGGATAGACCTTGTATAGTTAGCACTGATTTAGACAACAACTGATAATAAAGACCAGATTTAGGCCCACTATGTTCTCTTGAAGACGAACCAGCGGTAGACAGCAGGAGTTGATCAAGATCAACTTGTGCCTCATTGAGAATGAGTTGATCTTCATCCGTTGCCCACTCAATGGTCTCATCCCCGGACGTCGTGTCTATTGCCTCGAGGTCGTCATCTTCAAGTGGTAACTCATTTTCACCTGTAGAACTGACCACTTTTGACTGTTTATGTGTTTTAGACACAAGAACCACTTCATATAGAAATAAAAGGGCCAATTGCGGGGTAACTGTTGCTCTAATCATCAGCACATGGCTTTTGATGGGCCTCATGTGCCGTTCCTTTGGACATCAAGCTTGAGCGTGCTGTACCTTGACAACGACGGCTGTAATTGGCAAAAGTTGGCAAAAGTTGGCAGAAGTTGGCAGGACTAAATCTTTGACTCACTCAGTTAGCCGAGGCTTGCTCACAACCCATTTGAACCACTTTTTTTGACGGCTTTTGTACTGTTTAATCGTATTTTCCTGGTGTTTATACTGTTGCAGTGACATGGTCTCATCAACAGCGTTCCTTGCTTGAGGAGCAACATAAGGCACGTTCCTTAGTGTGTTAGGGTTCTGTTTGGGATGACGAGGCATATTGATTGTTACAAAAGACTTGATAAAATAACAAGAACAACGGTGAGTGGTAAGATGATGACAATAGTTAAGATGCAAAACTTTTGGCAATGATATGACTACTAATGCATTAGGAAACCCATGGCGTATAACTGAAGTATAATTGGCTCTGTTTACATGTATAACTGCAGTTATACGACATAGCCTTGCTAATGGCATTAGGAATTGCAAGGGTATGCATTAGGATTCAATCTCTGAGGTGCGGGACAGTTGCCCAAAGTGGCAGTTTTGGCCGGACGGACCGAGTCCGCGCGGTGGCAAATTTTGCCTGATGCGACCGTCCGCGTCCGGACGGGACCCCCATATATTATACTTGTTGTTAGCAAAAGTTTTGCAACGCCGGGAACGTGGCACCCAGGGCGTGATCGCACGCTTTTTCCACCTTCGTGTTAGATCAACATATTGACCGAAAATGCAGCATGGGCAACACAGCTAGTATGACTGGTCAACACTCACATGCATAATCATATCTAGAAGTGTGTCTGGAGTCCTCCGAACGCTATCAGAGCAAGTCTCCGGCTCTCCATTCCTTCAATCAAGCGATTCACCCGAGATACCGGGATTGCATTCCAAATCCGTTCCATTTCTGCAAATGTCTATGGTCAGCTCCGTTGTGGGGTGACTGTGTCTCTCACCTGATCGGCTGAGGTTGACTTCCGGGCCAGTTTATCCAGTTCCCGCTTCAAATCAGACCAAAGTGACTCGATAGGGTTCAAGCCAGGCGAGTAAGGGGGATGAGGAAGACGATGGAGTCCGAGTGGACTCTGCTTGGCAGGTGATAGCAGCACGGTGTGCAGGGTAGCCGTCAACCATGACGAGAACATCTGCATGACCCTCGGACTGTAGTTCAATGACATAGGAGTGGAGAAGGGGACGAAGGATGAGGTTGATGTATTTCTCAGCATGTCAAACCAACAGTTTTGATGGTATTGGTAGGAAGACGGATTTTATCGATAGGGATGCGAAAGAGAGGCCGTTTGTGATTATATGTGATAGCGCTCCAGACTGGGATAGTGATGCGTGATGAATGGAAATCGGCTTTGAAGTGTTTTGGCTTGAACTCCTTGTGTGGTCGGTGTATGGTCCAGTCCCGTCCATGCTTCTTTGATCCTTCCTCCACTGTACACTCGTCTGTCCATATCCCCCAGTTCCAGTCTTGTCCCTCGTTGTCCTCTGCCCACTGATTCCAACTGCCTACTGCATGCGTGTCACGAGCGCCGAACAACTTCCTTCTAACAGACTGACGGTCGACGAACCTCGGCTAACTTGTTGCTTCTAAGTTGATGTCTCACCCAACCAGAAGGGCACAGACGTCAAAAGGAGTGTAACTACGGCGTACTTCGGCGTAGTTACTCTAACTGGGGTTTTTGTTCTACTGATGGCGATGTATCCCAATTTGCATATAGCTATCTCTATCTGTCTTTCACTACTGACAACAATCAAGGATTGCTGAAGAACTTCAGCGATCTTCTCAGCTAATATTATCTACTCCTCCTAGATGTTCACCCAACCCTCTCGCGCTTAGGCGTACTTCAATGCACTTCATCCAACTTCCCCAAGTCCCCGGCCGTCCTTCTCTCTCCTACGACTAACTTCGCCTAACATCGCCGCACTTCTGCTCCTATTGTCCCTAGTTCACCTAACTCCGTCTCACTTCGCCGTACTTCTGCTTCCATTGTCCCTACTTAGCCTAACTCCGTCTAACTTTGCCGTACTTCTGTTCCCTTTGTCCCTACTCAGCCTAACTCCGTCTAACTTCGCCATACTTTGTTGTCCTTATGCTCCAGGCCCCCCGTGTACCTTATTCTCCCGTTGTACTTCACCGTAGTTGGTCTCAGATGTCCTGAGTTACATGTAGAGTAAAGAGGTTAAGACGTGATAGGGGTTTTGATGGTCAAAGGAGGGTCATTGTCAGTGGAATCATTGAGGTGTCACGACATAGTTTGTGACAATGCGGAGGAAGCCATGGCTTCACTCCTTCCACCCGCTTGTGTAGGTCTTCCTTCTCCTCCATATGCCGCTTCACAGTTGATCCACTCACTTGTTTACCCTCATCATCCAGCTCCTTTCCATATGAAAAAAAAACTTGCCAAGGACAATTAGGGTCCTTGTCAATCCTCCCTAAAATCTCCCTCTCGTCTTCCACGGTCAATTTCAAGGGCCGACCACTTCTAGGACAAGTCGCATGTGTTCCTGTATCATCTTTTCGCTGAATTGTTCGAGTGACTGTGGTATTGTTTACACTGTAAGATGATGCAATTTCTTGGAGGGGTTTTCCTGCAAGGTGAAGACCATAGATCTCACCACACTCTCCTTCCGAAAGTCGCTTTGACATAGAGGTAATCACTGCATACATTTCATCATAACTGAAGAAGTTTCAGCAATCCTCCGCCACAATGAATATGATGTTTTGGTGTTGCAAAACTTTTGCTAACCACCAGTAGAGGGCTTCGCGTTTGGAGCATGTGTGCGTTCGAGAACCCCGTGGGAACGAGTACTCTACTTGACTGAATTGAGCCATGTGCGGGTGACGGGCCGCGGGCCTATTTCCTGACTATTTCCACGCCGTGTCACGTGACCACAACTCAACTTTCGACTCGCCTTGCAAAAGTTGTCTTTCGGTTCAAACCATCAAACATCTCTCTCTGATCATCGAACCCATCAAGGCAATCTCACAAAACGATCTTCCCAAGGTCATCAAAAGCACGGCGCAAGCTAATAAGAAACCGCTGAAAAGTTATACAATACCTACAACCCGCTCATCAACCGAAACAGCAAGCAACAAATACGATCATGCCCATGCTGTGAGTTGTTCATCTGGCTTCTCAGGCAGACACGTCTCTGTCTCTTCCCCCAACTTGACGAAGGTGTCTCACTCCCTCATTATCATTTGTACCATCGCGCCGCTCTTCACATGAGCGAACACATACTACGTCGCTGGGACGAAGAGGGGTTTACGTGTCCGTTAAACATGGAGGCCAATCCAACAAATCTCGCGAAGTCGTTAGGACATGGAAACCCCTCAAGGCAGCGCTTCTAGACTGGTACGGATCACTGGATGGGACGGGCTGGAAGATGGAAAAGCTCGCAGGAGCCTTTGACAGGAGTATATCGACTGATCGTAGAAATGATCCTTCCACAAGATACAGACCTTTCTCGCCTGTCCCCTTTCCCCAGAGAACGTGGCCGGAAAAAACGTGCAGAAAGGCGCCAATATGGCTTAGCACGGATCTGAGAGACGGGAACCAGTCGCTTGCAAATCGTGAGTCCGTCAATCCTCCTGCCCATCGGTCCGGTCCTCGTACCGAGCCCCCAGACACTCACCGGCCGAGAGATGGCCAACGAGATTCACCCGGCTAACTTACAGCCATGTCGAACGCTCAAAAAATGCGCTTCTTCCGTCATCTTGTACAAATCGGTTTCAAAGAAATCGAGGTATCCTATCCTGCCGCATCTGACAGCGATTTTGCTTTCTGCCGTGACCTGCAAAATGGCGGTGAGGTCCCGGATGACGTGTGGATCCAGGTGAGCGCTTTCGATTCCCTGTCTACACGATCACGTATGGGAATGAAACCGGTGGACTCCATGTGCCGAGCGTTCTGCGCTACGTCCGCGGCGGACGACTGCCCTCCGTGTCACTTTTCACCTGCGCTCGTCATGTTCATGATATCGCACGGCTTATGTTTCTGACTACCAGGTCCTGACACCCGCGCGATCCGATCTCATTGCCCGCACATTTGAAGCTGTCGCAGGCCTCAAGAATGTCATCATACATATGTACAATGCGACTTCATGTCTGTTCCGGGAAGTCGTGTTCAACAACAATCGCGAGGAGACGATCAAGTGGGCTCCGAATACCTCCCCTTTCGCAGTCTGCTGATAATCAGACTGGCAGTCCAACACACGAGAATGATAAGACAATTGGCTGAGCAATATGCCCTCTCGGTGCGCTATGCCCTCGTCGATTACATTGGAAGCTGATCAGAAGCATGGAACGAACTTTCGATACGAATATTCGCCGGAGACATTCTCTCAGACCGAAACGGCATATGCGGTCGAGGTATGCGAGGCGGTCAAGGCTGTCTGGCTTGAAGGCAGAAGGAGTGTCTGGGCCGATGGAAGAGAAGAGGAAAGGATCATTTTTGTCAGTGGATTGCTCTACTTCACCTCGCCTGACCGTTGCCGCCCACGACCTGTGACCCTACGACCCTATGACCCATGAGCCATGACATTCGGGCCCTAGTCCCCCGCTCGAATTTTCAGACCCATGACTACACCCGTTGACATCCACCCCGTGGCCCCGACGATCAACTAACAGCCAGAATCTCCCGGCCACCGTCGAAGTCTCGACCCCTAACTGCTTTGCCGATCAAGTCGAGCTCTTCTGCACTTCCATCACTCAACGCGACAAATGTATCATCTCCCTGCATACTCATAACGACCGTGGCTGTGCTGTCGCTGCCGCTGAGCTCGGCTGTCTCGCCGGTGCAGATCGCATCGAGGGCACGGTTTTGGGCAACGGGGAGCGTACCGGTAACGTCGATCTTGTCACACTGGCGCTGAACATCTACTCGCAGGGGATGCCACCCCACCTGGACTTTTCCGACATGTTCTCGGTCATCGACACCGTGACAGAGTGCACAGGATTACCTGTGCATCCTAGACATCCATATGCTGGGGAGCTGGTGTTTACCGCCTTCTCTGGAAGTCATCAGGACGCCATCAAAAAAGGGTTTGAGGCGCAGACCAAAAGAGAAAAGACCGGTGACAAGTTTTGGAGTATGCCTTATCTGCCTATAGACCCTGCAGATGTGGGCTGCGCGTATGAGGCCGTGATCCGAGTGAATTCTCAATCCGGCAAAGGAGGGTGAGTCATCTTCCATCTCGCTGGTCAAGCTTTAACACCTGTATGGGCTTTGCGTGCTGGGTCTCTCGTCACTCCTAGCACCTTGTCGCTTTCTCTGTCGAAGCCGGAGCTATGTCGAGGGATAGCATTGAGAAATCCGGATCGGCTGACATGCTAGCATCGCCTATATCGTCAAGTCGGCTCTTTCTCTGGACCTTCCCCGGCGGATGCAGATCGCTTTCTATCAAGTTATCCAGCGCATGGCCGAAGAGACGGGCCGAGAGATGACATCGAAAGACATCACGATCTCGTTCCGGCAGACATTCCACTTGGGAGGATCGATTTACGATGGCCGTCTCGTCCTCAAGTCATTTCAGATTCGCGATGTCTTGCCGTCCATCGGAAGCACCCCCGAGCTCTCGCCAATTGATCGACCACCTCACAGCCGGATGGCATCGCTTTCGCTATCGGGCCTGTTGGAGGGCTCTCCGGACCGGGCACATGATGAGCGCAACTTGCAGACGAGACCGAAACGCTTGACTGCCAATATCAGGGTGGACGGCAAGCTACGTGAAGTGTCTGGTGTGGGCAACGGTCCGCTCTCGTCCTTCCTCGATGCACTGCAATCCGACTTGGGCATCTCGCTCTCGATCCGCGAATATTCGGAACACTCTGTGGGCGCGGGCTCGGATGTCAAGGCCGCGACATACGTCGAGCTGATCCCACCGGAAGCCGATGCGAGAGACAAGACACAGGGAGGGTTCTGGGGCGTGGGAGTGGACGCCGACATCACGGCTTCTGGTCTCAAGGCGGTCATGAGCGCTACCAACGGGTACGTGAGAGCAAAGAATGTGGTCATCACGGAAGTGTAGCGATAAGACGAGGGAGATGACTTGATGCATGTCCTGCTTGCGCACATGATGTAGTCTACAGTACATGTATAAGATCCCCTAGCCCCTTGTGGAACGGTTCCAAGGTCGATCACAGCAGAATCTAAGTAACTAATGGTAAAAGTACAACAGGTACTGTAACTACTGTATCTATCGACGGGCCCCGGACAAAACGGAAAAAAACCATGTTGCCTCGGTCACGCTTGCCGTCGTAATCACGAAAAGTCAGAGTAAGTATATCATCAAGCTGTCTCTCTCTTTCATCTTGTCTCCTTCTCTCATACTTTCATCCATCTCATCAACGCGGTCCAGACACCTAGGTGCAAACACACGCAGAGCCATCTTCAAGGCCACATACTTTGAAGGTATCGACTACACAAGCTGGGGTGATCTCAAGGTTTTGTTCCCCCCTTCACCCTATTCTGTAGCCGAGGCGTGTATCCGTCAACATGGTTTGGCGGACAATGGCAATCACCATGACGGTGTGTTTCCTGCTTGGTGAGCGACTGAATGTCCCTTTTTCCAGCGGCCCAGCCGAAGGTCTCGATATCACTCTCTCGCCCCACTGGAGCGCTCGCCGATCAACCCATGTCTTCTAGACCGAGGAAAGCCCGAGGAAAGCTCCTCTTCTCCACACCTCTTAACCTCATGATCTCGGTTTTGTTCTTCCAGGAACAGAGGTATCACTCACTATTATTTATCAGCATGTTCATCACCACCTTCGTGACAGAGATTCTGAAACGGAGAGTATAGCTGACCGCCCTTAGGTACGACTTTCACACATTGGATAGCGGACCACAACGTCCTATGGCGATTCCCTCTCACATCCGAGGCCATACTCGAGAGTATCACTTACTATTCTCTGCTATCGGCTGCTCCGCCGTGGATGGGGTGGGTATACGTCGGTGTGGGCGCTTCTGCCCTACTCAGTTCAGGAGGCAGAGGCGTGAAAGGTTGGAGGGGAATGAACGGTGAGATGTTGTTTGATGGGGGTAGTGTGGGTGGGTGATTCAGAATCATTCCTCTCGCTGACTACTCATACGTCTCACTCGTGTCCGTCTTAGCTGTCCCTTGTTTCGATCCTCCTTCGGTGTCCTTGTCAAGACTTGACCATCCCTGCTTTACTCGCCGTAGATCAGAGAGATAGGACGTCTTGTGGCCATGCCTTGTCATTACTCACCGGCAGTATTACTGGCTGCGATCACCTATACCCAGATCTTCGATGTGTTTCCAAGTGAGTGGTTTATCATCCAGCCCCTGAACTCATGACTTCGATGGGACCAGTCCACTGATGTGTCAGCCATCTCCCTTCTTCCATCCCCTCTTCCGCCCAATGTCCAGGACCATCCGACTTATCCTGCGTTGGCCACAGCAGTGCGAGATCTCGCCCTTGATAATGTCATGACCGCCGTCATGTTGACCGGTGTGATGCTGCTTCAAGTGAGTTCAACCCTGATCTTGTAGTGGAGCTTCGCTAACGGTCAGGCTGGGAGATACTACGCTAAACGCCCGTCTTCCTCCCCGGTATCCCTGATGGCATCCGCCAATATCACCCCTCCACCCGACGTCCTCACTCCACCCCAATCTAAACCCCCTTCGCCTCTAACAGAGAGGTCTGCTACACCTTTTAGGGAGCTCACCCGCCAAGTAGGGATGGAATTGCGTGATCCGACTGTGAGCAGTCCGAATAGGAGAAGGCATCGCAAGAGATGAGCTCTCCATATCATCGAGGACAAGGGAGTCGCTGTCAGAATCTCAGAAAAAAGCAATGATCATACGACAGATGCATCTTGTCTGCTGGATAATTGGTCAGGATTATGCTAATGGTCTCGGAAGATTACAACCCGGTGCTCTGGCAGCGGGCCGGCATTCGAGAGAGAGAGACATCATGTCGTGAGGTCGCTGAGTTTGATGGTCTGGAGATGGGTGCGTACGTCCATGACTACAACGCCAAGACGCCTTTTGTGCTCGGCACATCGTTCCCACCAGTACGAGTGATGGCCATTCGAATCGCCAGAGCGAGAGCTTTGAAGGCGGACTCGGCGCTGTCTCAATCAGTAATTTCTCTGCGCCAATTTCTCGGTCTTGCGCATGATGAATGCGATCTGCAGGTGATAGCGGGAATGCTGATGGGCTAGCGAAACCCACATGTGATGATTGTTCTCTCCGCGAATAAAGTCGACGTGCAGAGTAACTCCAGCCGCAAAGGCGAAGCTCTGTAAGAGATGGGGGATCATCTCTGTGGATACTGGTCGTCAACTTTGAAACTTTGAGCCGCGATGCTGTGGCTTGTCAGGTGACTGTCCAAGGTGAAAACTCACGATCACCTATCTTCTCTCTGGTGAAAGGCAGATGACAGACGAAATACGGCCTTGAGGAGATGTCGATCACAGCGCGAGAGAGGGCTTCGTCCAAAGGTGCATAGGCGAACCCATATCGCTTGATTCCCCTCCTCTCTCCCAGAGCGAGCTTGAAGGCTTCACCCAAAGCCAGAGCGCAGTCTTCCGCGGAATGATGGTCGTCGATATGCAGATCTCCTGCGCAGTTGAGTGTGAGAGACAGACCACCGTGTTTGGCCAACGCTGTAAACATCTGACGGTCAGTGTTCTTGCCCTGATGGACTGAAATTTGAGGATCAGAGCTTGAGATTTGACGAGTGAAGGAAGAGATAGAAGTGTGGGGCAGACAATTTTGGAGACACCGGTTGAAAAGGGAATGACGAGGGACATGAAGAGAAGACCTACATGATCGAGAAAGCCAATACCAGTGTGTACATCAATCTCCTGCTCCTTGACCCCGGGCTCGTTGTCGAGGGAGAGGGTGCAGGTGATATGGGTTTCGCTCGTCTTGCGCTCGACGGTCGCCGTTCTTTCCGACATTGTGTTTGATGAGAGGGAGGTAAGAAGGGTAGGGGACGAGAGTGAGGTTGCAGGAGTGAGAGAGAAGAGATAGGACGAACGAGTGTGGTGATTACAGTAGTATATGTATGTAGTATAGTGAGAGTTGTTCGAAGAGGTCATGGAAGAAAAGTTGAAAGTCGGTCACTTTCCTTCCTTCCTTCTTCCCTTTCCTTTCCTATCCTCACTGCCCAACTGCCCAACTGCCCACCTCCCTTCCCTCCTCTTTCTACTACTTACCCCATCCCTCGTCATCTTGGTATCGTACCTGACCCTATACTTACATGATATGCTTTGATGTCGCTACGTTTTGGACCTCTTCTTGTTCATCATGGATACCCCGGCGAGCACTATGTCACCAACCCCCACCAAGCGACCCTCGTCGCACCTACACACACACTCGCCTTCTGGGCCTTGGACCGAGAAGCGACGTCGGATCAGTCCTCTTCCTCTAGGCGTCGGTGAACTCGGTAACGATGTTCTGGAATTTCCCCCTACCAGCGCACACCTCTACTATCTCGCTCATTCGGCTCATCAGGCCAGTCATACTCACTTGCAACAAGTCTTCGTGCCGTCTTGGGTGGTCACTCCCCCACATGAAGCGGCACCTCTGCATAATCTCTCCTCTTCGACCTCCAGTGACAATCACGTGTTTACGCAAGATACTCAAGCTTTGGACAAGGCTTTCGGACTGCTGCTCCTGGCCCTCGACCTCCTTCAGGTAGGGCTCGCCAACAAGAGCTTGTCAGACCGAGATAAAGTTGTTTTCGGCCACGAGTTCGTCCTTGTTGGTATCAAAGTACTGGCCGCTTGCAAGAACGGTTCAAGGGGAAGATCCAACGTAAAAGGCAAGGGTAGACAGGGGCTAGCGGATCTGATCGACTTGAAAAAACTCGTCGATGATGTGCAAGACTGCGTTGGACATACGGTCAGTCAGTCTCCTGCTCGCGATCCGTCACAGGTGGCTTAATAACATCTACAGCTGTTTCTCTTACAACGTAACTCGCATCTCAATAAATATCGCCATTCATTGGAATGGATGAGCGCCAAGTTGGCTTTTTTGCGAGATCAGGGCCATGTGGGACGACGTATCGTCAAGCAGGCCGTGGAGAGCTGTGATCCGTGAGTACCCTCCAGACAGATATCATGCATCGCTAAGACCCATCAAGACGAGACTTTGCTTGGAGATATTCGCTCGCTTTGTTAGTCGTCGAATACGCAGATCTTCTGGCCCCTTCGGAATCTATGAGCCTGCTTGATGATCTGGAGGTGAGTTATCATTTTTTGCAGGTTTCTTTCACCCACCTCAAGCTGCTTTCTGTCAAGCAAGGGCTGAATCTGGTACTAATCATAACAGGCCGAAAGCTGTTCGCGTGGACACCGGCAGATGAGTCAAGTACTCCGGACCGCTCGTGTGCGCTTATGTTTCACGCACCGTTTCTGGCACCGCCTCTCACACGATCTCGATGCCCTGCAATCCTCCTTGGACACAGTTGGCTCGGCCTCTGACACCGCTTCCTCCGCTTCGTGGTCCACGACACTGCGAGCACAATACCTCCTACTCAAGGCTCTTTGGGAAGGTCGGAGGGGGAACGATTCGGCCGTGAAGGGTATACTCAAAGAGGTGTATCGCTTAATGGACGAGGCGACGGAAAAGGGCAGCCTTGTTGATCTACGTGGCAACGGAGGTGTCTGCCGTGTCAGTCTCACCACGGCCCTGCCTCCTCTAGCTCATAGATCACAGATTGAATTCCCTGGTCAATCGGCTGAACCTCAACAATCGATCTTGATTCAACTCACTCCGCCCAACCTACTGTACATGTGTACTCATCTATTCACAGTCATCGCACGACGCGATCTTCTGGGATCTGCAAGTACTTGTAAGAATCTGGTGCATCCCCAACGCATGCTTGAGGCTCAACTTTCGGCTCGGGCGGAGGATATGTGGGATATTGGGTGTGAGCGCAAGTCGATAGTGTGGGAAGTAGCTGATTTCACAGTCTCACCCTGGCATGGCGTACACGAAGCGGATCAGATGAGACATGAGGTCTTGAAGATATGTGCGGAAGCGAGCCTTGAACTCGGTTCAGCTCTCATGTTCAGAAGCCAGTACGAAGAGTTCGATAGGGTGAGCCTCCGAGGTCTAGAGCGCAGCCATGCTTATGATCAGCTGTTGAACGAGCTTATAGACTTCCTTCGGTCCAATCATCTGACAGAGGAGCTTTTTCCGCACCTGTGCCTCTTGGTTGCACAATACGCGCATGCAGTGGGATCTAACGTCGCTGCTGAACGGTACTATCAGGCCTGCCGTGCACTCGTTCTTCCCGGTAGTGAATTCTCCCTCGCAGTGGAGATAGGGATTCTCGGTGTGACGGGGACACTAGAAGGACTACAATCGCAGAGGAGTCGTCGAGACCGTGTTTTGAAGGCGGTAGAGGCGTGTAAGGGATCCTCGAGTGCAGCTTTCAATGCTCTGGGATGTCTTGTGGCCAGTCTGACAGATGAGAATCCCTTGGTCGCAAAGTCCGTATCAGACCGTGGCATCAAATCATCACCTTCGACATGACAAGACGCTTACTCGCAGGAAACACCTCTCGACCGCATATGAGATTGCCCAGCGCTCAAACAACAACCTGCTCCGATGTTTGATATTCGCCTTCACAACTTCCTCGCATCATTACGGTGGACGAGATAGGATCCTTAAGCAGCTTGAGACTGGTCGTGATCTAGCCCACTGGCTCGGTGGAAAGGATAGGCAAGATCAAGTGGGACAGATCCCGTTAGGTGTCTGGTTTGCCGTCAAACTTCAAGGTGAGTCTTCCGGAGCTGTCCCCGGCCATGATGACCCATGAATTGTCAAGGAGAAGAAGCTGAAAGATCCCCAGCGTTACACAGGCAAGACGAGAACAAGGAAGCGGATCTGGAGGCGAGGGGTCGTATCGAGTCACATCTGAAAAGATTGCAGGAAGTGTCAGCTTGGAGTGCCATCCGGTTCTCCGAGGGAAAAACATGATGATCCTATTCGAGTGTCAGAAGGAGATCTCCCTCTGGTTGCTAGTTTTGTGATATGTTCATCAGTCATATCGATGCAAATAGAATCTACAGTCTGCGTGCCGAACTGATACGACGACCCCGACTCTGCCTTGACGCATTCCGCTCTTCGAATCCTTTGCCTTTCCCTTCCCCCGATGTGGCTTCTTGCACATTTTGTCTCCCTTCGACGTAACAGGTGCGTTATTCTTGTCCACATTCCCATCTTCGTCCTTCCGTTTCGCTGATTCCTAACTCCCACCCCCTGTCTCGTGTGCCAGCTCAAGACTATCCAACCCGACAAACCACTTCGCCTCCCATTCCAGCCCTCCAAGCTTCCCACCCCTCCATATACACCCCAGTCTCCTGTGCCGTTCCGGTCCCCTGCCTCCCTTGGCTTTTCACCACACGTATGATCAGAAACTCTCCCAGACCCACTCCTGGTATCCTCTTCGCCCTTCTTCCCGTAAGCAGCAGTCCAATCTCTTTATTATCCAACACGAGTCGTTGGCTGGGTCGAGAGACGAGGCTGATGTGTTTCAGAACGGGTCGACCATCACGATACTTGTGGTAGACCCAGAGTGTGCGTTCGCTGACCGGTAAATTAGGAAAGACGGAGGGATCGGGGGACGAGGGTGAGCCGAAGGTGAGATTGGATATGAGACCCTGACGTAGGAGAATGGAAGTTACGGCGAGCGAGGTGCGGGAATAGGGAACGGGGGTGATGCTGGCGAATGCGCGGGATGTGTTTTGGAGATGAGCGCAGAGACGGTGAGGAAGAGATGGCATGTTTTCGAAGACTCGGGAGTGTTTCGCTTCAATACTGTGAGGATGAGTTCTGGTGGCGATCTGGTGATTGGTGACTATGTTGGTGGTGGTTGTGGATGGATGCGTTTTCGTGTTTGCTAGTTGCTGAATGACACCAAGTAACTACTTTACACCAAAAGTCGGGTTCAACTTTTCAAAATGAGAGGAAGTGACAGAAACTGCCACATTTAAGGGCACGTGACCTTGCTTCAAACGCCGAGAATATCCGTCCTACCTCTGCCTCGCCAAATTTCGATACTTAACTTACTTGTACTCCACCCTTCCCTCATCCGACCATGTCCTCTTACCCCATCATCACCATAGCAGGTCCATCACGTCTTACAAAGGCTGTCCAGCTGCCGCGAGCAGTCCCTCCTCTTCTTCACTCATTCCACCCATGGACCCACTCCTCACGCCGATCGGCTACCACATCTTCTTCTGCTGAGTCGGTCAGTGACACTAGAAGCCGTGGTCGAGGCAACAGGGCTGGTCCAGTCCCGAAGTCTCGCCAGGAGTGGGAGAGTGACTTTGCTTCGATCTTTCATTCCTCACCTCGTGGTCGGAAGGCTCGTTGGCTAGGTGACAGCGTGGTGAGTGTCGAATGGCAGTCCCAAGGTCCTTGAAAAGGTCTTTTCTTCATCTCAGCTTTGTATCTGTCCGCCGTCGTCATGCTCGTCGTCGGCTTGTGACGTACCGATTCGCAGCACTCTTCTCTAATCGCCCTGTCGCTGACTACATAGCCATATCCCGGCAACCCTACCTTCAAACCACCACCGCCCCTTTCCAATGAACTTCAAGACTCCATACACGCAGAGCTGCGTACCGGGGCCAAGACGGTCGGACAGATAGCCGATAGATTCAATGTGAGCAAAGCTCGGATAGAGGCCATAAGGAAACTGAAGGGGGTCGAGGAGGAGTACCTACGTCAGGTGAGCATACATCAGGTCACATCCTCCTTAGCTCTGCCTCGCCCATTCCTCTTCTTCATTGACAACTGCAATCACTCTCCTCTGATGATACCAATATGACATTAACCTTCGTTCTGAAGACTATCACATGGTTACGCTCGTATTTCTTCACTTCCTGACTACTGTACCTCTTTCATACGTCACTCCTTTTCGTTAGATCATCAAAGCTGACGCCATTCTTTCTCTCCTTGAACGCTCTCATGTACGTAATCTACATTTCGGACAAACAGGTGAGCGGGTTTTCATATCATCTGCCCCTCAACCTGCTGTTCACCTCAACTCTCCGACATACTCCATCGTCTCACCCATTCTCCCTTTATGATGAGCAACGATTAGTCTTTAAGACTTACACATGGTTCCAAAACTCATGCATGGCTTACTGAAACCTCTTGTCTCCGTCGTGCCCCTCACATATATCTCTAGGCTCGCTGCTGACACCACAGGGCATGCCACTGCAATACGCTTTCCTTCAAGGCATGCAACCACTCCTCGGTGTCGCTCCCGCTTTCCGTTCTCCTCGCCGTGCATCATCTTCGGTCGAGAACGAAGCCGCTGAGCGAGAGATGATCCAGCTCCGTCACGAGGACACGACTGCGACTCTGGAACGTGAAGAAGAGTCTCGTTTCGAAGCAGGTATCGGCGGAGGAGGCTCCTTCGGTGATCGAGTGGCCCAGCGAGGGGCTGAGGGTCTGGAGAGAACCGTGTGGGAGTTTAGGGGAGAAGACGAGGTCGTTGAAGCCATGGCATCAGAACAAGCTGGACGTCGGGCCGAGGAGGTCGGGAAAGGTACCGAGACGGAGGTGGAAGAGGATCGCGCGGTGGGGCCAGTTACAGTCAAGGGCCCTGTCGAGGATGTGAGGATGTTCGCCGACGAAGCTGCCTCGGAGTCTGTGACCGGTTCGATTCGTTTTGTCGACATGTCAAGTAATGACGCCCCGTGGTCATCCATAGGGAGGAAGAGGAGCAAGTCTGGGAACAAATCGAAGTCGAGATGACCGAGGAGAAGGAAGTACTGTAGCATACGTGATCGGCTCGAATCGTCGTGGAAGCGTGAATGAACCAACATGCATGATTCAGCGACGACCGCAGGACTGACGTGTGACGTGAGACTGAAAGCCGACGAGTAGCGAGCAAGACTTGACACCCGTGAGCCGGCCAAGGACGGTGAACGTTGGTTGGGAGGAAGGAAGAACGGCTGAGAAGGGGAGAAGTAACCCTCTCACCCTGGTTCAATGATCTGTGATCTGTGACCGGGTCCATGATCCAGCACACGGTCTCCAAGTATGGAAGGAGGAAGCTAGTCCCCGTGTAGTCGAAAAAAGAAAGGATAAAGACAAAGGGGTTGTTGTAAAAACCCAGTGATCCAGTGATCAGTGACTTACTTGGATCTGTCACCCACTGCTACTACACGGCCACTCTCCTTATAATTAAGATGTGCCCACTTACCCACATCATGGTCATGGTACATGCAGTCCGACTACCCTCTCACTGATATCACCCCCACCGGCCACCGGTCACTCACTGCACCCGACATGCAAGACAACAACCCATATCGACCTCTCCCCTCCTCCGTGAACGGTGATCGTGAATACCCACCGGCACCCATCATCCCACGGCCACCTTCTTCCGGTGCTCAGTCGGTATCTCCCCCACCATCTGCCTCCAGTCTGGCCGTCAGTCACCTGTTGCCTCTCACGGCTACTCCCCTCTTACTTTTACATAATCACTCAAAGGCGAGGCGATGGAGTGTCCGACTCGTGGTCAAATACACTCTGGTCACCGTCGTCGTCATCATCCTATCTCATTTCTTCATCCTCGGCGCCTTCCCCGGATCGACATACTCGACAGCGAACCGTGATCGTCTCTCTTCTTGGCTCCATACATCTCATAACATCGACGAAGAGTACACAGATGCGGTGGATGAAGCTTTGGAGACTTTGACCCCACTGGACCCTGCCATCACCCAACCTGGCATCTTCTTCCGTGACACACACCCCATCCGTACAGCTCTCGCTTTCTGGCAGTTGGCCGAGAAAGAGATCTCGGAACACGGTCTGGACACATGCAATGATCAGTTAGGTCGAAGTCTTGTCGAAGCGTATCATTCCTCTCAGCTGGAATACTGCGTACCTAAAGGTGTGACTACCCCCTTCCGTCTTACCGCTTCGGTCGATGTACCCATCAACGCCAGTGGTCTCCTTCCCGACCATTGGCGACCTGGAGACCTGGTCCCTCCGACTCACGTGGCCTGTACACCCGTCCATCGAAACCCTTCCTCCAAGTGGTGGCCTTACCCTGCAGCACCTTGCTTCTCTACCAATCTCCGAGCGGACGCCGATGAGAGGAGCAAATATCATGCGGTCGGATGCGATTTGACTCCTGATGGTATGGCTTTGAATGAAGAAATGGGAAGGGAACGGTTCGTGGGAGTGGATACGACCATAGATGGAGATGACGACCACGGAGAGGCATGCAGGGAGAGGGTGGAACATACATTGGTCATCATTGGCAGGCAGGATCAATGGAATCCGTGAGTTTTCCCCTTTGGACGTCGTTTTCTGACGCAATGCTACTCAGCTTACCAAAAATATGATTCTTCCCGTATCCTAAATTTGGCCAGCTCTCATGAATGTGCCCGACGGGATCATCATTGCCACCAACCCCTCAAGGGGAGAATGATCACTGAGAGGTCATGAGAGGGGTCAATTTGTGCAATGCTGACATGTCAGATTCCATGTTGCCGAGGATCTCATCACCACTCTCGTCACTATCTTCATAGCGGCCCGTACGGAGCCTGCTTTCATCGATACCCGAGTACAGCTGGTCTTCAAGGACGAATTCAGTCTAGAAGGAAACCACTTCACTCCGTTATGGGATAGAATGGGAGCATGGGCCCCTAGGCGTTTAGCCCTAGACCCTTGGACAGAAGGAGTTTGTTGTGAGTTTTACACGCAATGGTTGGACCTATTTCGGAGCTGATTGACAGTGACAAATACTATCCACAGTGTTGGCGCCGGAGCATCTTTGTTATCGGCCATGGGCGTGGGCCAAAGGTGCGCACTCTCCAGTTCTGTTCACTCTGTCATATTGATCTGACAGCAACACCTGCACTTCATCCATCACTTGGGCAGCTTCTCACTACTACCGCCATCTCATGGGTCTGCAACCGCCTTCAATCACTCAATCAAGACCCGGAGGAGGCACGGGTTCCATCAACGTCCTCTGGCTGTCACGTTCAAAGCTGGATGCCTACGCAACGAAACACAACGATCTCGGTCCCTGGCGAGCAAATCGAGTATTGACCAATGAGCCGCAGCTTCTTGATCGGTTCCGATCTGGGCTCCAAGACATGTGTCTGGGTTCAGGCCCGGGATCCCACAGTCTCTTTGCTAATCGAGGGTGCATCTTTCAAGATGCCCAAGATAAACCCGAGAGTTGGGGGTCATCTGCAAATGAAGACGGACCCGTGAATGTCCGATTTGCGACCATCGACCCTACCGTTCATTCACTCGAAGATCAGATCCATTTTGTGGGCCATACAACCATCATGATCTCATCTCATGGAGGTGCCATGGGTCTGTCCCTGTTCCTCCCACCTGGATTGGGAGCCATGATTGAGTTGCAGGTGATAGAAGTCAGGGGAAATTATCATTTCGAGCACATGGCTGCTCAAACGGGACATGGTTATGAGAGGGTGGAGATCGATCGGAGGGTGGACGTGGAACATGTCTGGGACAGGCTGAGGTATTGGGTGGAACTGGTGGTGAAAGATCTAGGCCTGGAATAGAATTAAAATTGCAGAATCGCTTTATCTGGCGGGACATTTGTTGAGATGGACATACATGCGTACATTGAGTATCTGGACTGTGATACCATAGACGATGTGTTGTACACTACATGGAATCAGTCAAAGGGGATGGGCTTGATGCCTGGACGAGCGACGAATGGTGATATGACTGGACCCATGAGGCTCTTGGGGTGACTAGACGTTTCCACCCGAGCTTGTGCAAAAGCAGATGGGACTGCTTGTCAGCAAGGTCTGACAAACGGTGAAAAAGATGACCGACCTGGGATCCCACAGCAATCCATCGCCCATCCATTCTCCCCTTTGGCATGCACATGCCCATGTGAGTCCACCTCACCCGCACCTTCCTCCTCAATGGCTTTGGCCAACTCTGGATCCTCTTCTGGGGTAGGAAACGGTAGCAGATCACCAAACAAGGCATGTTGCATGACCGGTAGCTTACCCAACACCTCGGCAGCGTACATCTTCTTCATACCCATATCGACTTTTGCCCACGTTTTGACGGCGGATATGTCGTCGAGCATGGGAGAATGCCACCGGAGAGAAGCGCTCTTGATGGAATTGACGAAAGAGATGCAGGAGAGATACATGTATTCATCTCCGAAAGCTTCGAGGATCTCTGGATCGTGTATGGATTTGGGGGTGAGATGCTTGTGGGTCCTTAACTGCCCGGCGCCCCACAGAAAAGGAAGGAATTGGTAGTCGTCCAGACCCCACACGCCGTGTGATCCGGCGGGTTCCAGCCAGTAGGTGGATTGGAGATAACGCATGATCTTGATATAGCTGGCTGTCAGCGAGAGAATAAATATTGATAGAGATGAAGGAATGGAATGTTGGATCGGTGTATGATGGAGGATCACTCACCGCCAGAAGATTCCAAGCACTATGAAAGGATGGTCTTCTTTTTGCAACAAGCCCAGCTTGGAGAGACATAGTCTGGTTCATCAGCCGGCTCTCGAAAGCTACCCTGATCATCTGTGATCATGTCAGGCGATGGAGAGCGATCGCCTGTTAATGAGGAAGGGTCACATGCTCACAACCAGCAGAGAAAGTTTAGTTCCATTCCGCTCCCATAATCCACCCGCTGCTTGTTACCCCATGCTTCCTGAAGGTACTTCTCGAGCCCGTCTATAGCCCCCGGTGGCAAACCAGGTATTCTTTCGTGCAGACCCCTGGAAGCCTCACTGCATTAGCATAGGCCCATGGCGATGAAAACGGATTGAGACTCACTTCCCCCACCTTGTCATAGAACGTTTTGAAAGCAGGATTACCAAATCGAGAAAGCTTGTTATCGACGGGAGGTGTCGCTTTGGCAATCTCCAAGATTTCGTCGAGAATGTTCACGAGAGGTCGTGTGCGCTGAGGGTCAGTCAGCCTTACGACATGTGCATAAGACATTATTGACGGACCTCTGAGCCATCACCGGCTTCCGATAGTTTCACACCGACGATGGAATCGTCCAGCTCGTGTACAAAGCTCACGATCTCATCATGGGTCTTGGATCGCTGAAACGCCGCCAGATGAGCTTGGGAGAGGATGCACTTCTGCGGGGGACGATTAGAGGTCGAAGCTTCAGGCTGCGAGTCCGTCATGGTGTAGGAAGGGTAGTTTGATGTGGAGAGTCAAAGGCAAGATGGAGGACGAGCAACGTTGCCTCTTTTGTCATATGACCATCGTTTCACTACTTGCTACTATCAACCATTCTCTTCCACCTCTTCGCTCTCATCTCACTCAACATGGCATCGGCGGCCTATACAGACTGCATATTGCTCTTTGTGAGTGACGAGTCCATCTCTGGCCGGGCTTTTGCATGACTAAAATGCTGACCGATCAGGGAGATTCTCTCACTCAGGCTTGGTCCCCAGGCTCGCTCGCCCAACGCATGGCAGAGCATTATCTACGTCGTCTAGACATTGTCAACCGTGGCTATGGAGGTGAACAACTCGCTCCTGCTTTCTTGATTGAGCTGACACTGAAAGGCTACAACTCTGACTGGTCGGCTCTCACACATTCCTCAACTTAGCTCTCGATACTGACAACTCACAGGGCGTCACCCGTATTCGAGCAAATCTTTACAAAGGCGTCTGTCAGGGAAGCAGGTCAATCTCAAGCTGTACGAATGATAACCATCTGGTTTGGTGGGTCACTGCTCGACCTACATCTTCGAAGGGACTGCTGATCGTGATCAAGGGGCCAATGACGCTGTCCTTCCTGGTCAGAGGCAACATGTCCCCTTGGACAGGTACAAGACCAACCTGTCCAAGCTCATCTCCCTCATTCGCTCCCCTGCTTCCGAATGGTACTCTCCTCAGACCAAGATCATTCTGATAAACCCTCCACCCATCATCGAAACCGCATGGCACCTGAGCTCGCTGCAAAAATGGCGCGATTTTGGAAGTAAAGGCGATCCACCCACGCCCAACCGGGACAGACGAGTGACCAAACAGTACGCAGAAGCATGCGTGGAGGTCGCAAAAGCAGAGGGAGTCGACGTGATAGATTTCTGGAATACCCTGGTACAGAGAGCCGGCGGAGAGGAACCTGAACGTCTCGCACCGTTCTTCTAGTGAGTGGAGTTATGTCGGCTTCTGAAAAGCGCTGATCTGTCAGTGATGGCTTACACTTGACGGCTGAGGGTTACAAGGTCTTGTTCGAAGCTTTGAAAGGTTTGATCAACTCGAAATACCCCGAGCTGAACCCGGAGACGATGGAGATGAGGATGCCTCAGTTGGTTACACGTCGCCGTTTGTGAGATGGAAGCTGACCATGCAGCTGGGCAGACGTCGGGCTCGATGCTCCTGAGAAAGCCTTCGAGGGGGTGCAACGACGTAGACTGATAGGAGAGCTATGAAAGAGCTGGGAGGGGGTTGACCATGACCTGCACGAGATATACTTGTATATGGCCGGACGTAGATTGTATAGAGTTGTATAAAGACGCGTCGCGTCGTCGCTTTCGCTTTCCCTCCTCGCCCTCGGTCATGATCATTCATTCCTTCATCTTATATACCATCTTCCCTTCATCTCTTGGTCATTGAGATTTCATGTACACATCATGCAACCTCATCATCGTACGTGTCGCTCGTCGGTTGTGTAGCCTAGCTTGCTGATCACTCAGCTCTCCCACCTCTGACCGATGGACCATCATCTCTCCCAATCTTATCCCACAACGGTTATCCTTCCCTTCCACAACCCCATCATGTTATCTCACCGCCAGTCGACGTCACCAGCAACGCATCCACGAGTAGGCCGTTACCGCCTCCTCGTTCCGCCGCATACCAGCAGCCACCTCCAGAGGTACTTCCCATCCCTCAACCGGTACCCAGAGCCCCTTATGCCCCACCCGTCTTCCGGACATTTCAAGATAGGAAGCGAGAAAAGGAGGCATCTCTATGGAATCGACAGGATGGATACTCCACTCCTCCCACTGCCATGCACCCAACGTTGGGTAGTTCGCACTCCATTCCCTCCGTCGGCATCATGGACTCGCCCGTGACTCCTCATAACGACTCTCCGGCCAAGCTCCCCTATCCTGCTCCTCAGCCTCCTCCTAGATCTCGACCGCTGCCATCTCCTTTACCCATGACACCGCCCCTCTCCTCCCATGGCTCGCCCGTAAAACCTCCGATATATCAACTACCCTACTCGCCATTGCAGTCTACGATCGAACGATCCGACACCATTTCCTCCGTCCGCTCTCTCGACCGTGTGGGCTTCGGCTCCCCCAGCAAACGACCCCTACCTAAACCTCCCGTGGTGGTCGCCGCTTCTAAAAGCTTGGACAGGGGTATACCAAATGGACTTTCCGACTTCCGCCGCCCCACCAGAAAACAGCCCTCTACCGTGGAAGAGAGTGAGCTGGAAGAGGGAATCGGAGCATTGGGACTGGGGAGGTCGACACCAGCGCCGCCAAGGTCACCGATCATCAAAGAGCCTTCGGTCTCTGGCCCATACCCAGTTATCTCATTACCCGTGATAGCTAAGACCACAGATCCTAAATCACCCGCCAAATTCACTCCGTTGCCAGCACTCAACCTACCCGACAGCGACGAGGATGAGCCACCGAGTGCTGGTATTGCCTTCACCGGTTTGCCAGTGATAGCAGTATCTTCCGAGGAACCGGAGCAGCGGATACAGTCTGTACCGTCAATCATTGAACCAGGTGGCGCCTCTCGCAGCGAGAGTCTGACCCGACTACAACCTAATGCCGCTATCATATGTAGCGCCTGTGGTGAACCTATCATTGGTCGTATACTGAGTGCGATGAACCAACGATGGCATCCACAATGTTTCACATGTGGCGAGTGCGGGGAGAATCTGGAGCATGTGAGCAGCTACGAATGGGAAGGAAAGCCATATTGTCATTTAGACTTCCACGATGTGAGTTGTGATAGGTCTGTCGTGATCGGCCAGTTCTGATCTGCAGAAATTCGCCTACAGATGTCATCATTGCAAGACTCCCATTGTCGACTCTCGCTTTGTGACGCTCAATGACGAGGCTCTCGGTCAGAGATACTACCACGAATTACATTTCTTCTGCTCCGAGTGCGGTGATCCATTTCTCGACCCATCGAACTCTTCCGCACCTGGCACCGAACACACCGGCGCACAAGACGAGGTGGAGACGAACGATTTTGTCATACACAAAGGTCACCCTTACTGCGAGCGGTGTCACTTGCGATTACACAAGCCAAAATGCAAGGGATGCAGTCAACCTATACCCGACATGGCTGTCAGTGCTATGGGTACGAAATGGCACAAGGAATGTTTTGTCTGTCAGGTACGCTTTACTCTCTCAAGGGCAGTGATACATGGCTGACACCTTCACAGCGATGCGGCCAAGGATTCGGTAATGACCTCTTTTTCCCCAAGGAAGGAAAGGCATTTTGCACGGAATGTTACGAATCGACATTACGATGAGGGGCACGGCAGCTGCGGATCTCGTTATGCATGGTAGCATATGCGTACACAAGGCTTCCTCGTTGCTTTGTGACCATATGACCTCCCCTCGAGGAACGTAAGTGTGAGTGCCTTTCAGCACAACCCCCCGTCGGCGTTTATTCGAGTGCCTGTACCTTGCTTCCAAGCTGATGCTGATGGCATCATCACTGCTGACACACTTCGAGTTGTACTCACACTTGTCAATCCCCACTTCCTTGGCTGACTTTACCCCTTCGATATCTTCACCTGAAGCAGGAGTCAAACGATCAACGGACGTCCTTCGAGACGACGACGAAGATCCCCATTCAGGAGGAGGCGGCCCTGCTGCTTTCTACTAACAGATCAAAGCTATTCCTTCGGTGGACGAAAGGTACATCTCGGCGTTCTGGTCGCTTCGACAACGGCACGACCGGACGTTTCATATTCAACGGCAGCCTTGCAAATGACTGGTCGCCCAGAGACGGAATATCAGGTACCGTCAACCGTGTGCTTTCGTCTCTTGCTCATCTCTCCCCGAGGATTCATTTACCTTTGATCGACAAAGGTATAAATCCTACAAGATTGCTCCTCGACCTCTTCATTCTTCCCATTCGTCATTCTTCCTGGCTTTTTGTGATACCGGTCCTATATACATTACCTCCACTCTTAATCTCACTCACACTCTCTTGAAAATGTTAGCTTTCCTCGCTCTCCTAGCGGCCCCCGCCCTCGGTCTTACTCTCCCCCTCAATATTCGCACAAACATCGGTAACTGCCCGTTGAACGGTCTCACTGTTCCATTGCCCACCGATCAGACCGCCTTGACTGTACCTGCCGGTCAGAGGTTGATGTATGTTGCCTTGGGTAGAGGTATCCAGAACTACACATGCTCTGCTGGAGCCTACGTCACCGCCGGTGCTCTCGCCAAGTGAGTGTTTGCCTTCTGTACATATCCCCCTCTTTCCCATGCCCTTCTTCCAAAGGATCATCGTCTTATGCCTTGTGATTCGTTCATGTTCGGCCCGTGGAATGTGTAAAGTCTAATCGACAGCTTGTACGACGCTTCCTGTCTCTTCAAGACCGGTCAAGCCATCGCCAACGTATCCACTATCAGTAAAATTTTGCCCGAAATAGCATACGAGATCGTCAATTATCCCGACACGGCAAGTCTTCCGACCCTAATGCGTCATCAATTTGTGTCAGTCACTCCTGTCAGTAAACGTGTTCAATCCGCTGACCCATCAGTCAGACGCCGAGTGGTCTATCACCCGAATTTTTGAAATCGGATAGCAAAGCCTTCGTTATCGCGTCCAAGACGGCATCTCTCAATGCACCCACCGATCCTGTCAATGACGTCCCTTGGCTTCAACTCACTGAAGCTTCAGGTTCACTCGCTCAGACTATCTTCCGTATGGACACTGTCAGGGGAAACCCTCCTACGAGTGTAAGTTTCTAGACCGCTTTTGAGGCATCGAGACTGACGTACAGTGTACTGAGGAAGGGCAAGCGCTGAGCGTTCAATACAGCGCCATGTATTATTTCCTCAACTGATCTGGTCTTCCCATACGTTGCCTCGTAGATCGAGTCGGCTTTTGTACATTGTCAAGGACAGTACAGATAGGGAATATGCAATGATTTCTTGGATGCCTAGATATCTCATACACTGTCGACCATATCCCAACCTTCGCTCAAATGTCCACTGTACCGCTCTTCACTTCTCAATACACTTCTCACCACTCTAGAAACGTCGAGACCGAACCCAAGGTGTCTCATCTGTACGGTACCGGGTTCGTGTGATTTGAGACCTAGTTGAGGTGAGTCGGCTAATTCGTGTATCAATTGCAAAATGTTTGTAGCGGGTATGAGGATCGCCGAAATCGCTGGTGTCTCGTCGTCGTCACTGTCCACTATACCGGGAGAAACGCCGATTCCTTCGACTCCCTGTGACCATGCGAGGTAAGCCACGGAGTGAGCGAGGAGGGCAAAAGCAGTGAGGAAATTGTGATGTTTCGCCAGAGCTTTCGAAGAGTCGATTTTGTGTGCCGTTGAAGACATCCAGAGTACGTTGCGGTCTCGGTACTTGGTGGTAGCCACAAAAGGGAGATTGGGTTTCATGACCGGTCGACCTAGGTGGGGTTTGGAAGTTGTGGGGATGTAAGGCAATGCTATGGATAGGTAACTGGTGAGAAGTGATAACAGATGAACGGTGTGAACAAGGGCGGCATTGATGACTGATGAAGGGTATTCTGACCTCAGCCTCGCGTCCCCTATGTGGGGTGTCCTCATGAATGAACTCACGTCTAAATTCGTCCGAGGGTGGAAGTACATTCCCTGCAATTTCCCATTCTCCAGTAGACCTCCTACGTAGACCAAAAACGTTGATGGCTTCTCGAATAAGGACCACTCTCGCCCGTACGAAGAACTTTGTCAAGTCGGGAAACGAACGTGGTGAAGGTGATATTGATGGTTTTGAGAATTTACTCCGTTTGACAGGTCGATTTTGTGTTTCGATCCTCTTGACAACATCTTCACACTCTGCCAACCTAGCTTTGAGTTTGGCCACTCGTCTTTCCGATATTGCCACTTCTGCTCGTAGCTTTCTCCAGTCCTCAAGACCTTTAGGACGATGTAATCTCCTCTCGGCTTTGATCTCTGCGTCTCTTGTCTGTTGCTGGAGACTGCGAGCGAAGGCATCATGAGTGGCAATGCTGACGTCAGTGTTGAGTTGGTGTAAGGCCAGGCTAAAGTCGACACACTCACCCTTGTTGAAGACAGTGGGGACATAGAAACCGAGTGTTCGCATTCTGACAACATGGACACGGAGGCATAAGAGTGGGATCGAAAAGTAAGATTAAGAATAGGCAAGAGTAGTAATGGTAAGTAGGTGAGTGGTGGATACATAGAGTAGGCTGCCAGTTCAAGGTGTGGTGACGGGGGACCAGTCAGTCATAGTTACGTAATCAACACGCGGACTTTGTTGTTTCGTCGTTTCCGATGTTTCACTTGCAACTTAGTTGTATACTTCCCCCCCCCTCTCTCTCTTCTCCTCTTAACACACCCCATCCGGTCATACCATACTGTCATACTGCAATGTTTGACATCACTCACCTGATTCGTCATCCCTTGTTCCTAGCCACCTACATCGTAGCCATCCCTGCTTGGATAGTGGCTTTTGCGGGTCAATGCGCCACCGAAGCAAAGTATTCTCTCAGTACGTCCTTGGCCTTCTTCCCAGCCGTCACCTTACTCATCTCATACAGGAGGTACCAATCAACCCGTCTGCGGTGTCTTATGGTTTGCCATATGGGTACAACTGTCAGTATTCCTCCCATCGTCAAACTTTCTTCTAGCTGACAGTTACTAGAGCCATCACCATACATCTTCTGTGAGTATGAATCAACCCTCATCGAAAAACACGCGTCATGACGCTCATCCCACTCAGTTTCGCTTTATGTTCAGATAACTTGGCTTTGCATCGGATTCAACTCGCAGTCATCCTCGCCATCGCCATAGTCTTTGCTGTCATCGGCGTCAACGACTTCATTTATTCCAGTCTGGGTGCGGAAACTGCGGTGGGGGCAGGATGGCTTCTCATCACTTTTGCAGATGTGAGTCACATAGTGTCCTTTGACCATTGCCCCTTCTTCCATGCTGACTTTACAGCTGATATGGCTCCTTTACCTGACGTCCGAGGAAGATTCTGCTTTCTATCGTATTCTCAACTCTGCAGGGAATGGTGGACTATCCGGTCCTAACAGAAGGGCTCGTCACGAATCAACCTTCGGCCACGAGGCCGGTGTGACGCCCCCAGGGAATGGATTCTCCAATGGTGGCGGTTATCCAATGGGTGGTTACGCCAACGCTGCATCCATGGACACTCCTCAAAAGGCTGCGCCATTGGCTCGAGAATACACACCACCGGCATCCGAAGAACGAGCTCAGGCTTTCCCTCTCCGAGCAAAGTGAGCTCTTTGAACGTTGATCACCCCGTCAGCTGACCCCTCAGAGCTCTATATGCCTACACCGCTAGCGCAGACGACCCCAACGAGGTCACCTTGGCGCGAGGGGACATCCTCGAGGTCATGGACAATACGGGTAAATGGTGGCAGGTCAAAACACCTGCTGGACAAACTGGGGTGAGCGCGTTTCTAAGCGACGGCTTTTTTATCAGCTAACATGTCAGATTGCTCCCTCCAACTACCTTCAAATGTTCTGATTTCTTACGAAATCATGATCCTATCGCATCTTACTTCTTGCTGGGCGTGTGATCTCGATTGGGGCAAACGGGGGCGGGACAGATGCATGATATCTTAATGTATTTGTAGCAAACGTGATTATATGATGCTTGATGATATCTTATCTATGTTCCGACCGCCCATTGACATCTGCCGTCCTTTCTCCGTCCGCTTCTCTGTCCTCGCCGATATCACCATTCTGCTCGTGGTCGCCGGTGTCTGGATCAAGCACTACATCATTGCCGTTCAGTGCGTGGGAAGGAGATTCAGAGAGTGTGGGGGGAGCAGATGTCGGGCTGTCGATGACTGGCTCAGGGGTGTGAGGAACGACAGTCTCTTCTTCGAGCTGTATAGGAGGTTCTTCAACATCGGCGACCGCTGAGATGATGTTCGAGCGTGGTTCGGTAGGTCGATTGATTTCAATCCATTCTTCAATCAATCGTAACGCCTCTTCTCCGCCTGCTTCCTTCGACCCCATTTCCGCGAAAACACCATTCTGAAGACCAGCCGAGATAAACTCGACAGCCACCGACCAAGCTTCTGCAAAGGCCAAGCAAACGGCTACAGCTTCTCTTCTCTTCGTCGCTCTGGCTTCCAACGTGAGCTGTGTCTCGGTGTTCCGTCTGAGCAAATGAGCGCGAGGAGATGAAGGTGTACGTGCATGACGAGGTCTATCTGTATCAATCTCGGCATGTGCGATGGATTGTCGAAGGAAATGAAGGACACGATTCGTCGTTTCGGTCAGAGCTGCCGACTGGGCGTGTGAGATGGAAGAATGACAATCAAGAGGTGCAAGCAGTCGGAGGGCGTTGAGAGCGGAAAGATGGGCGTTGACGAATTGAGCAAGTGGAGGGAAATGAGCAAAGACAGGTGGCGGTGATTGAGGATCTTCGACAACCGGGCGAGTGGGGTGAACGAGAACATTCGTCAAGTGATCGGGAGTGATGAGGATATCTCCTGGAGGTTTTGCAGATTTGAGAGCGTCGTCGAGAAGGGTGAAAAGTGTGATTGAAGCTGATGATATAGACTGAGTGTAGACGGATATGACAACTTCTTCAAATGGAGCGCCGACGAGGGAAGAGAAGTCCATTCCAACGCGAGCGAAAGACAACGCGCAGTAACCCAGCTGAATCAAGATCGAGGACATGGATGCCGAGTCGGATGACATACGTGGAACGTAGCTTTTGATCAACTGAGATAGATCATTGACGCAAAGACGAGCGAAAGAAATGAGCTGCTCCATTCCTGTATGCCGACCCGAAGGTTGAACGAATATCGCTGAAAACTGGGAGATGATATCGTACACGTGTTCTCGGAAGATGTCGACATATTTACGAACGTATCGTACTGGATCGTCACGATCTTTCTCGATTCCAACCAACTGAGCTCTGAAATTATGCAGTCGACTGATCAGAAAGACGAGACATAATTGATCCTCGTCCAACTTGTCCAATCGACGGAGATACCCGATGGTTTTGACGAGAGTAGGAAGTTTGACAGGCTCTCGGAGGAGTGCTAGAAGTTGTGAAAGCATAAGTTGAAGCATAGAGTCTACCTCCATCGCAACGTCTTGTATCAAGACATTCTCATGTCGACGTCCCATTTCTTGGACATGAGACGCGAGCTCCAGAGCTTCCTGATAATATCCGTTCCTCACGCACGTCTCCATCAGCTGAGGGATTTCCAGCAAATCCACCAGCTTGTCTTGATGCTCTTGTACAAGAGAAGCTTTCTCTCGACCTTTCTGTATACCACTGGTGATTGTTGAGAACTCTCGACAGCTCTGTTCCAAAGCGGGGACGGAGTCGAGTAGTTGAGATAGACTTTGATCAAAGTCGTCGATGGCGACACGTACGGCAGCAGAGCACTTGTGTACGGAGATAAAGGTAGGATATTCTCTGAAGCAGAGATTGACGAGCTCGGAATCGATGGCATGACTTTGGGAAGAGATGGAAGAAGGTTCGAAGACGAGTGCGTCGAGAGGGAGACCGACTAAGCGGTCAATATAGGTCCTAGCGCTGGGAGTGTTGAGATCGAGGGTGTAGGGAATGGATGATGATGTAAGGAGCGACTCTGATAGTATGTCTGTGAGGGAGATGACATGTTCATGGGTATGCTGAGCCATAGTGAGTGGAGACGATACGATACTCGTAGGCAATGTATGGCTGAAGAGGGGGGAAGGGGGAGGGAGGGAGGAAGAGCAAGGTAGAAGGGGTGCAGCTCCACGTCACGTGATCTTGAATTTGGTGCCCGTAGGTGTTGATCGTACCGCCACCACGAGTCGTATGTACTGTAGAATCCCGAGAAACTCCGCCGTGAGATCAAACCCACGGATCTCTCTCTCTTTTATGCATCCTCTCTCGTCTCACCAACCAACAGATTAACAGTCGGACTCTATCACTGTCGCTGTATAGGAGTCAACCTCTATCACTGTGGAACTGGTGAGAGTCAGGGCACCCAAACGGTACCCCGCGCGGTTCTGGTGAAGCAGTGATAGGTGGTGGGCCGAGGGGGGATCGCGCGTACCTGTTTATCGACTATCGACTATCGACTATCGACTATCGATTATCGACATCGACTATCGACTATCGTGTTTATCGATAGGAGGGGATTAAGAGAGCGTACAGTACTGGGTTAGTACTGGTACGGTAGGATCTAGACGGAGGAGAATAGATTAGGAGACGGGAAAGTGCTTGGTTGGATAGTAGGGAGCGAAGGACAGCTGTCAGTTTACTGCAGTGGAGACGTCTTTGAGACGCATACCTACGGGCTTGCCGGTAGAAGGAAATCCAGTCCAACCTGGTGGCGGCTACTACGCTGTAGTACTCGCCTAGCGCACGATAAGTCTTTCTTGAGAGTCTATTTTTGATCTAGAAGACGAAGCTCACGTACATCAAAATGAGCGAATACACGGGAACCACACTTGATACCATTCCCATTCTTTCCAGTGCCCACGGCTACTATGCGTGGAGTACACAAGCCCGACTTCACCTTACTATCGTCGGCTGCATTGGCATCATTGAAGGTACCGACCATGAACCATATCGTGCTTTCTCGGTTGCAAGGTACATGAGGGCGGGGTCTATGCCGCCCAGGGAGGATGAGATGGACAGTCCCAGGACATTGGGGACAGACGAGATGAAGAGGTGGGAGGAATGGAGAAAGAGGGAGCTTAAGGCCCAGGGCGTCATCCAAGCCAGAGTGGATAGGGGACTTTTGATGGAGATTCAAGAGTTATCTACGGCAAAGGAGATGTGGGATTGGCTGGAGAATGACATGAAGATAAGTACTCCTCAACATCGTTCAGCCATAGAAAGAAAGCTTCATACCTTATTCCTCCCATCCAATTCCTCTGTTGACGACCTCGTTAAACATCTCACCACATTCAACTCCTTATTCTTTGAAGCCAAGCACGCTGGCTGCGAGCTCTCAGACAATACTCGTGTTCAACTATTCCTTGATTCTCTCACCCGCGCAACCGACTTTGACATTGCTCTTCGTATCTTCCAACAACAACCCGGCTACCTTCAATCATGGGATGGTGTTAGGAAGATGTACCAGGGGGAGATTGCTCGAAGGGACGCAAGGGGTGAAGGTGACATAGTTGGAGAGGTGAATGCAGCGATGCAGAAGGTTTCCCTGGAGCATGGTGCAAAGGGGAAGGGAAAACCTGGGTCTAAGGGAAAGAAGGGACGTGTGGGTGGTAAAGATAGTAGGGTTAAAGGTGATAAGGAAGGACCTAAGTGTTGGAACTGTGGGCAAGGTGGACATATGAAGAAAGATTGTCCAAAGAAGGAGGATGAAGACGAGGGAAAGGTGAAGGGTAAAGGGAAGTGGGAAAGACACGCTGGGGAAGCAAGATTGGAAGACTTTGAAATAGGAGCTATCGGCAAAGACAATTCGTCGACACCTTCTTCCATTCCTGAATTCCTTGTCGATAGCGGATGCACCCACCATGTCTCCCCTTACATTCATCTGTTCACTAATCTCAAGAAACTTACCTCACCTGCTCACTTCTCAGTTCCTAACGGTGGTAAAATGGTCGCTTCCTATACCGGTGAAATTGTCTTACGTCTCAACAATGGAAGGGGAATCAAACTTCAAGACGTATTTTATCAACCCTCAGCATCAAGAAACTATCTTTCAGCGTATACCCTGATAGATAAGGGGTGGAAAGTCGACCTCCATGACATGGTTTTGTCAAGAAACGGCTTGATCATCAAGGGCGAGAGACGGGGGAATTTCCTGTTCGTCCAGATGGGGATTGTTCACCACAATCCATCTCAACCAGAAGGCTTCGAGATACCTCAAGTAAATGAAATCGAAGCAAGAACAAGTCTTCTGGAAGAGGAACATAAACGACTAGGTCATATTGGTCGTGAGAAACTCCTGAAGCTAGCAGGTGATGGACTGCTACGCTATTCGAGGGAGCAGCTGGAACAGGATACATTCAGGCTGGAGGAATGCGATGCTTGTCAAGCTCGCAGGGCAACAAGGTTACCCAAGGGGAAGGATAGCCCGAGGGGGAAGGCAGATGCAGAGACAGTTCATGTTGATCTGGCCGGTCCTTTTGACCCATCCATTGGAGGAAATCGTCATTATCTGGCAATGATAGATGACTATTCTCGGATTGCTTCGGTGATACCTCTGCCTAATAAGCAGAATGTATTGGTTCACCTGAAAGGGTTTGTCAACAAGTTGGAGAGACAGACGGGAGGGAAAGTACGGTTTATTAGAAGTGATGGTGGATTGGAATTTGCCAGTGGACCAGCGGGTGCTTGGTACCACGAGACAGGAATTATCCATCAAGTTACTCCTAGGTACACTCCCGAGCTGAACGGAGTTGTGGAAAGGTTCAATAGAACTCTCAAAGAGATGACTGGGGCTATGTTGGCGTCAGCCAATTTGAACAACAACTACTGGGATTGGGCGGTGAAATACGCCTGTTATCTCTTCATGAAGACAACCAGAGGTGAAGATGGTATCAATGCGTGGATGAAGTATACGGGTAGAGACCCAAATCTAAAGAACGCTTTGATGTTTGGGGAACTGGTGTTTGTTCAGATCCCTGGGGAGATACGAGGAAAGTCAAGGTTAGACATTGACAAGGGAGAATTGGGGAGAGTCGTAGGAATGGATCCAGCGAAGAGTGGTTGGTATGTGAGGATGGAGAAAGACGGGAAGATGCTTTTCAGCAGGGACGTTAAGAGTGCTTCAGGTCATCCCTTAACTCCAGAGAAGACGATCACACCCATTACTCCTCCCACGGCAGCAGTATCCAATCCTCCTCCACGTCCTATGACGACTTTACCGGCAACACTTCCTTCCTCAGGATTGATACCTCCTGTACGGCCAGCTCAGGTCGTGGCTGAACCTCTGGAAGAAGAACCAGAATCAGCAAGTGTGAGGGAGAATGGAGGAGTGACAGAACAGAGAGATGATGACGGTGTGGAAGAACAGAGGGAGATGGGATTGGATGTTGAGGCTACTCAAGAAACACCCATTCCCACGGCGAATCCTCTTCCAGCACCTATCCCTCCTGCTCCTACGACTCCTGTACCACCTCCTCCCCCACCTGTACTTCCTACTCGACGTAGTGCTCGTATTGCTGGTGAAGTACCATATCAAGCAAACCTTGTGGAGAAATGGTATAGCAATACAACAAGAGCATCTGCTATGGCGTCAGAGATGGGTATGGAAGAAGCAAATTCGTCACCGTCTGATGGACCTCAGACTGCTAGGGAAGCTTTGACTAGCAAGGATAAAGACGAGTGGAAGAAAGCTATGCTCCGGGAACTTGACAATATTGAGTCAAAGGGAACATGGGAAGAAGCGTATCTTCCACCAGGTCGTAAAGCTATAGCGTCAAGATGGGTCTTCAACATCAAGAGAGACGCTGATGGTCAAATTGTCAAACACAAGGCAAGAGTCGTAGCAAAAGGTTTCTCTCAACAACCTGGAATTGATTATGAACAAACGTATGCTCCAGTGAGTAGGATGACAAGTCTTCGACTACTTCTCACAATTGCTGCTACATTTGATTTGGAACTACGACAAGCCGATGTTGAGGGAGCTTATCTCAATGGTGTACTTGACGAGGAGATTTACATGGAACATCCTGAAGCCATGGTACGACAACGCAGTGGGACAGTACTGCGATTGAAGAAGTCGTTGTATGGGTTGAAACAATCAGCCAGGGTATGGTGGTTGGAACTTGGGAAAGCGTTAGAGGAACAGGGTTTCAGAAGGACTGAGGGAGACTGGGGAATGTACGTCCGACCAGCAGGAAAATATGGTGGACTGGTGATTCTCCTGGCGTATGTTGATGACCTGGTCATAACTGCGCGGACGAATAAGGAGATTGATGGGGTAATGGAGAAGCTGAAGAGGAAATGGGTAATGACGGAAATGGGAGAAATGAAGCAGATTCTTGGTCTCAAGGTTACACGAGATCGTACAAAAAGAAGAATCCATCTTTCTCAACCAGCGTACATCGATAAAGTCGCTTCTCGATTTCCAGGTCATTCACAACATCGTCCAATGACAGCTCCTCTCCCCACTCAACATCACGATGAACCAGCAGTCAGTGAAACTGATGAACTCGCACCTCTTTCCCCTTTCCAAGCCGCCATTGGAAGCTTGATGTGGACATCGGCATGTACTCGGCCGGACATCAGCTTTGCTACAAACTTTCTAGCACGGTTTAGTGCTGCTCCCCTGGAAACTCATTGGCAACTTGCTCTACGAATAGTTGCTTATCTCAACAAGACACGAGAGTACGGCTTGGTTCTTGGTGGAGAAGTGGGGAAAGGTTTAGAAGGTTGGGTGGACGCCGACTTTGCTGGATGTAAAGTGACGCGGCGATCTACCACAGGATATATCTTCAAGCTCTGTGATTCAGTGATTAGTTGGATGTCAAAACGACAAGGTTCAGTCACTACGTCAACATTAGAAGCAGAGTATGTGGCGATGGCAGAAGCAGCGAAGGAAGCGAGATGGTTATCTGGGCTTGTGAAGGAATTGGTCAATTTGAAGGGAATAGTGACATTGAATTGTGACAACAAGGGAGCTTTAGCGCTGGCTAATAACCCAGGTGTTCATACTCGAACGAAACACATTGAGTATCGACATCATTTCATTCGAGAACAAGTGTCAAACGGTCAAATTCAACTTGTATACGTTCCAACAAATGATCAACAAGCAGATATTCTCACTAAAGCTTTACCGGGTAAACGTCATTTGAAGAATATGGAAGATCTAAGGATAGAGGATAAAAGAGAAGGAACGAGAGGTAGTAAAGGGAGTTTAAAGGTTAGGACAGTGGGGAAGCCGTCTTAGGTAGTGATCAGAGACTCAGTGATGACGGCAGAGGGAGTGTTGATCGTACCGCCACCACGAGTCGTATGTAGAATCCCGAGAAACTCCGCCGTGAGATCAAACCCACGGATCTCTCTCTCTTTTATGCATCCTCTCTCGTCTCACCAACCAACAGTAGGTGCAGCTCCACGTCACGTGACCTCGGAATTTCGACTCACCCTCTACAAATACCTCCAGCCAACGGGAGAAGGTTTATTATAGCTCATCCTTACTACCACTTACTCGACGACCCATGTACCCCTTGGCCGGCTCTGTACGCTGCGCCAGGGCAGGCGCTTCCATAAGACGTCTTCACACCTCTCCTTCAAGGTCTTCATCAGAGCAACAACCCATCATGAATCGATATTCCCGGACGGTCACTCAGCCCAAAGCCCAGGGTGCCTCCCAGGCCATGCTCTACGCTACCGACGGTATCAACACCGACGAGGATTTGAACAAACCCATGGTCGGTGTAGCTAGCATATGGTGAGTCTTCAATCATCCACCTCAATATATCTTGCTGATACTCGTATAGGTATGAAGGTAATCCGTGAGTTATTCAAGAGTGTTCGATCAGTCATCTAATCCGTGGCAGCTGCAATGGTCATCTTTTGGCTCTCGGTCAACGTGTGAAGAAATCTATCGCAAAAGCAGGTATCACAGCCTATCAATTCGGAGCTGTCGGTGTTTCTGACGGCATCAGCATGGGCACTTTTGGAAGTAAGCCGGCCACTTGCCCCTTCCTCCCTTCCACGATTTATGCTAATCGTCAGTGTCTTACTCTCTTCAATCACGAGACCTCATTGCCGATTCGGTCGAAACTGCTGCTGGAGGTCACTGGCTGGACGGAATGGTCGTCGTTCCCGGTTGTGACAAAAACATGCCAGGAACACTCATGGCTCTCGGCAGATTGAACCGACCTGGTTTCATGGTTTATGGAGGTACCATTCGTCCTGGTCATTGCGGAGGTGGTTCTACCGGTCGTCCAGTGGAAAAACTTGACATCGTCTCTGCTTTCCAAAGTTATGGAAGATATCTACAAGAAGGTCAAACTGAATCTGCTGAGAAAACTCGATATGAGACCGTTCGGAATGCCTGTCCTGGACCCGGAGCTTGTGGTGGGATGTATACAGCCAATACCATGGCTTCTGCTACAGAAGCCTTGGGTATGAGTCTTCCCGGATCTTCATCTTTCCCGGCTGAGTACCCTGAAAAATTGGCAGAGGCAGATTCGGCGGGAATGGTGATGCGAAATTTGTTGGAGAAGAATATTTTACCTAGAGATATCATGACCAGACAAGCTTTTGAGAATGCCATGGTAAGTCAATCCCGATCCCTCATCTCGTATCGTATCGTCTGGGGTCATCTCAAATACTGGTGGTAGATCATTTACTTACAATCTTAGGTATTGACCATGGCGTTAGGTGGATCGACCAACGCCGTCCTTCATCTCATAGCCATAGCTCATTCTGTCGGTATAACATTAACGATAGACGATTTCCAATCTGTTTCTGATCGTGTACCCTTTTTGGCCGACTTGAAACCCAGTGGGAAATACGTGATGGAAGATGTCAACACTATCGGTGGTATACCCTCTGTGATACATTATCTAATCAAAATGGGTCTCATGACGGGAGACGGGTTGACTGTAACTGGGAAAACTTTAGGGGAGAACTGTGAAGAATGGGTTGCAAAGAATGGTAGTAAATGGGAAGGACAAGAGGTTATCAGACCTGTTGAAAATCCTATCAAAGCTACCGGCCATATCAGGTCAGTCCTTGAATCTCTTGCCTTCTCTCAAAAGGACTTGAGAGGAAAGTTTGAAGAACGTCACTGATGGTAAGAATTCTCAGAGGAAACCTAGCTCCAGGAGGTGCAGTATCCAAGATCACTGGGAAAGAAGGTCTTCGTTTCGTTGGGAAATGTCGAGCTTTTGATGATGAAGAATCGTTCTTCCAAGCTGTAGAAAGCGGTTCCATCAAACAAGGCGAAAAGACAGTGGTCGTTCTACGTTACCTAGGTCCAAAAGGAGGACCAGGTATGCCAGAGATGTTGAAACCTACCAGTCTTATCATGGGTGCTGGGTTAGGATATGATGTGGCTTGTCTGACGGATGGACGTTTCAGCGGAGGGTGAGTCGGATTCTTCTCCGAGTCAACTGACAGAAGTGGCTGATGGTGCAGATCTCATGGATTCGTTGTCGGTCACGTCGTCCCAGAAGCTCAAGTCGGAGGTCCGATCGCCCTCGTACAAGACGGTGATATCATCAGCATCGACGCAGTCGCCAACATACTATCGGTCGACGTATCAGACGAAGAAATGTCACGAAGAAAATCTCTATGGAAAGCTCCTCCTCTCAAAGTCACAAAAGGCACTTTATTCAAATACGCCAGAAATGTTACAGATGCCAGTCACGGTTGTGGTCGGTCCTTCTTTGCCTCTTTTCCATGAAACGTACTGATATTCAGTGACCGATGCTTGATCTATCCATCTCCAAATAATGCATCTATCAATATGTACTTGCAATCTATGTCTAAAAAACCAATGACTCCTTACAACCAACATTGTTCCAATCAGGAACTCCCATGAATCCGGTCATGCATTCGCCGCTCGCGCTTTTTCAATCTCTTCCCTCGTGATGCCTGATCTTTCACACATTGACCTGAACATACCTCCCGCATCAAACAAAGTCAACGGAGTGTCAAAGTCCTGTCTGTCAGCAACTCCGACACCGTTCCGACAGATTGACTGACCTCGACTTGACCAGCATTCATGACTAAAATCCTGTCCCAAGAAATGATCGTCCTCAACCTGTGGGCGATACACAATAATGTCTTGCCTTTGAATTCGCGATGGATGGTCTGTTGGATTTTGTAATCCGTCTCGAGATCTGACATGAGCGACTGTACCCTTCTGCCATGAAATGACTCACCGACAGCAGCAGTGGCCTCATCTTGAATATGTCAGCTGCAAATCTCCATCAAAGAAAATGCCTTACCCAAAACCACAATCTGTGCCTGTCACATTATTCATTTACTCTCTTCCTGTGTCATTTCACTCACATTCTTGACCAAAGCACGTGCCAAACTGACTAACGATCTCTCTCCAACACCTGTCGTTGTGAGTAACACAAGACTACATGGAGAAGAGAAACTTACTCAAGTTCATACCCTCATCCTCAACAGGCATGTCGAGCGTGAAACGTCCTTGCGACGTCCGACCCGGTGTTTTCTCCGTCATGGACTCTGCGTCATCTTCGATCAAACACGCTCGTCTCAAAGCATCATACAGTGTCGCATCTGGATGTTGGTCGAAGGGATCGAGGTTGCTACGTAGGGTACCGCTGAACAATACAGGATCTTGGGGTATGATAGCAATCCTCGATCGTAATGTATTCAGACCAAGTTTGGAGATATCGACTCCGTCAATGATGATACGACCCGAAGTGAGTCTAGTTGGTGAGTCACGAACATCACTCTGGATATCTTTCAACCACTTACTCTACAAGTCGATAGAGGGTGACCGTGATGGAGGTCTTTCCAGCTCCTGTCCGTCCTATGATACCTACTTTCTCACCTTCGCGGATGCTCATGGAGCTACATTATGTAAGCTTGACATATCTTGGAAGGACTCTCAACTCACATCCCTTTGAGGACGGCAGGTAACCCAGGGCGGTAGGACATGACCACATCTTCAAAGTCGATTGCACCATGTTCTGGCCAAGAATCAGCCGGTTGAGTGGCAGGAATCAAATGAGGTGGCTCTTGAGGCAAAGACGTTGGTTCTGAGTAGAACAAGACTCTTTCCACAGCGTTCACTAATCCCATGTCAGCTCATTCCCTGATTTGCAACTACACGACATACTGTGATTCTCCACTTCGGCGGATTGACGGACCACCTGGATATGCTCAGCTTGTCCCAATTCTCAACTTGGAAGAGCTACTCACCTGACCGAAAATCTGAACGAGTGATGTCATGTAGGTAAGACAGAGGGCGATTTGAGATGGAAGCAATCCAGCGCCGCCTTTAGCCGCCATGATGCCTACTGCAAAGACCATACATCCTCCCAAAAGATCAAGACGGACAGCGAGCCATCGCTGATTTGTGGTCGTCAACAAATAGGCTCTGTCTTCCAAATCCATGTAGTAGGTGTTGTCCTTGATGAAACGAGCCTTCTCTCCGTATGCTCGGATAGTGGCTAAACCCGACAACCTACAAGATTAAATCGGTTAAATGCCCAAAGTAAAGCTTACGATTCCGAGAAATGGGCGTATAACAGCCCCCGAAGCAAAGAGTCGAGACGCTTTAATTCCCGTGATGATGCCTGGTAGAACATGACACTGTTGAAAGTCAGCGGTACAATCCAGAGGAAAGAGGAGAAAAACTTGCAAGTATCTGTAGTTCGTAAGCACAACCAAACTCAACATGAATGAAAGGACTCACGCATAGCCCACAGCGACGACACTGATCCTGACCTGATCAGCTTCGAAATGTTCGGAATGAAAAGACACCTACACAAGAATGAAATAATGGAAGTAGACGGTGATGATAATGGCCGAACCGGTCAACTGTCAGTTGTCAACAAATAAACTTCTACAAAACGTGAGTGAACCTACCGAGATCAGGGTGATGGCTTGTAACCTCAAGGATTCGGCCAACTGATTGTCGATAGTGTCTATGTCCTTGCCAAAAACACCCAATATTCTTCCCAGAGGTTGCGTGTCGAAAAGAGACATCGGACTTAGGAATACATGCTCCAAAGCTTTATGATGAAGATGATTCGATGCCAGATAAGCGAGCAAGCCTAAACTGCCTCCGAGTCCAAAGGTGAAAAGCGCTTGACCGAGACCGAGGGCGGCGTAGACTCCCTCATAAACGCCAAGCGACAGATTGAAATGATCGTCTTGCCACCAAGTCAACCACACTCTATGCAGTTAGCTCGATCAGGAGGTTTCCAAGATTGCTTACGCAGATAAGACCTGTGACACTTGCCTATAAGTCAGTCTAATCTATCACGAGGTGAAGGAACCCACATGATCACACCACTCATGATAATAAGCGGTCCTGTCCAGATAGCTCCACCGGCCTGGAAGTATTTGCCATAGACTACATCATCAATCGGCATTGCCCAAAGTGCCTCGAGATCACGTACCTTTTCCTCCAATCGAACCGGTCTTCCGAACCTCAGAGCCCATGAGGCGACCCTGCGTCGGTCAGCCACGGACTTGCATGACGGTGAAGGGGGTGCATACCTCTAGTTTGCCAGTACCTGCTGCCTTGCCCATATGCTTCCGGGTGAGTTTTGCAGGTATGGCGGCCACTTCAGGCTTCTGTCCATCGAGAACAACAGCTTCCTCTTCGATGGTCTCTTCGTTCTCCTGTTCCTCTTCTTTCGATGACAGACCCAAACTAGCGATGAGTCTAGCGAATGGACCTTCCGAGCTCATTAGCTCGTTGTAAGTGCCTCGTTCAACAATGTTTCCTTGTTGTATAGCGCTGAGTGTAAGCATCTGTCCCCTTCTCCTGAAATCACCCACAAAACGACGTCGACCATTGATAAGAAGTGTAAAGCGTGCGTAACAAGAATGACTGTGCGACCTTGCTGTTTTAGACCTAGGATAGCATTTTCGAACAAGGCTTTGCCGACGTGGGCGTCCACGGCACTCAAAGGGTCATCGAAGAGCTATCGAAATCAGCACCACATTTGTGCTCTATGATGAAGTACGAACGACTATGTCGGCGTCGTGATATAATGCACGAGCAATGTTGACCCGTTGTTTCTGCCCTCCAGACAGATTGATTCCTAGACATTGGTGAGCTCATCGTCGGGCGCACTAGTCAGAGTGAGTTACCTTTCTCTCCGATCTAAGATAGTCAGCTACTGAAACCTCAAGAGAGAAGTCGCGCCTCACCTCAGTCAAATCTCCGTCCGGTAAGATCTCGAGGTCCGCCACTAGGCTGGCATCCGTGATAGCTTTCCAATATCGATGCTCATCCCATGCCTGACCGAAAAGTACATTGTCTCGTAGACTGGCATTCTGTATCCACGCTACCGAGTGAGCTCACTCCGGGTGCACCGGACTCACCATTCTGCTGACAGTATGCAAGCTTCCCGCCAAAGCAGACTGATCCCTTCAGTCTGCGCATGTCGCCAATCAGCTAAAAGCACATCAGCTTTTACCTCATTACATCCGTATGTCAGGGTGACTCACAGCTTGTAAGATACTACTCTTCCCACTTCCGACCGGTCCAACAATACCCACCAGCTGTCCCCGCGGTATCTCGAAGGACAGGTGAGGCAGGCAGAAAGGTTCACTCGATTCAGAAGCCACTGGGCCTGCATTTGCCTTTGTAGACTTCTTATCTTCCTCCACAGGAGGTGGAGCGGCCCAGGCGAAGGTTGCATCGTCAACGCGGATGGCTACGTCCAGTGTTGGATCGATCTCGATATCTTCGGTTCCCAATTCGGCTTCGAATAGCTGCATCACGTTATTCACATTTCGCATTATGGTTGAAATCCAACTCACCACCGTCAGACGTTCCATGGCATTTTGAGCATCGGTGAATGTCGAAAGTGCTCGAGGGAGGAACATGAGGGGTTGTCTGAGAAGGTTGAACAGTGCAAGTGAGGTGAAAATCAATGCCTATACGGATCAGTTGAGATAGGGTTTGTGGCCGCAATGCTCACCGGATCGAAAGACGAGTGAGTTGAAGCATACGTGACGAACGACAATACAGCAGCGAGAGTCTGAACGCTGTTAGCGTCTCAAAGAGGCTAAGTCCACGAGCTTACAGGTATACTGAATGCCATTGCTTGGTTGGCGGCACGAATAATCAAGATTTTCCTAATACCGACCAGTTCACGTCTCCGAATAAACCAAAGTTCTCACAGATCAGCGGATTGATTTGGACTGATATGAGACTCACTCTTCAAAAAAGGAATCTCATACGTGAAGACCTTGATAATTTGCATTGAAGATAAGAGCTCCCGAAGCAACTTGGCGCGTCCATCTGTCCAGAGCTGACGAGTCAGTCCGGTGAATCTCTGTGATGAGCAAGCAGGGCACGCACCATGGACTTTTTACGAAGGTTGAAGCTCATCTTCATGAACCATGTCTGCAATGGAGCAATGAGGATAAACAGAGAGAAGCCGACGAGTGCGGAGGGTCCGATCTGAGAGGAACATCAGCACAAGTAGAATCAAGAAATTTGAAGCTGATATACCTGCACTAAGAGCAATACTGTACGTCAGACGGTTTTCAGCTTGATGATTATATGCGGACTCACTCAGACAGACGAGTAGCTGTATAGGAGCAGTCCATATCTAATCTAGTCAGTGGTGTGCAGTAAAGCTCGAACGAATCACATACAGCGTGAAACCCTGATGGTGAGTAACGACTCGATGACATAATGAGGAAGACTTACATTGGGCGCAATAATCAATCCTAGAGATCTTGTCTGATCAGTATAGGACGGGTTGTACAACGAGATGACTCACATCGCTGTTAAGTAAAGACATAATATGCCCTTGAGGATGATGTACCCGTGCTTCGACCGACAATGACAAAGATTGCGTGAAGACAGCACTCATCAAAGTCGCTCGACTCAGGGCTCCAATAGCCATGGAACGGAAGAAGAACTGATCGTAAGCTGATGACTGCTGAACCAACTTGTACTTACCTGATGTTGACAGACCGATTGAGTGATGACCAATGCCCAAAGTCCAAATGCCATACCGATACCTCTTCCAACATTTGGTTGATGAGTTCCGTTCGCCCTGGCAGCGTAAACTTCATAGTCAGCTCTTCCCTCTCCAAACAGCCAGATGCAAGTTACCTTCTTGACTAAATCTGATGAGTGCTTTGGTAATGAGTGGAGCCATCAGTTGCGCTGTGTCTGCAACGACCTTGAATAATCCTGTACGAAGGTCAACACAGATCTTCTCATCACACAAAAGGCGAAAACGTACCTCCAGCCCAAAAACCAACCATGACATCATTCAATGCCCAAGTCACACTCCCGCTTCTTCGTCCGCTCACAGTACGCCATTCTTCCTCCAACGCCTTCCGTTTCTCAGCATACAAGCGTGGTTGTTGTTTGCGTTTAGGATCTTGCCCATCGAGCGAGGAATAGGGTAGTAAAGCCATGAATGACCAAACCATTCGTTTTCTCCATGGGGCACGTATCGTCGCTAAATTGGCATTCCACGTCGCTGCCGTTTCCTGTCGTTTGCGTAATGAATCGATGAACTTTTGCGAGAGATACCCAGCTAAAAGCTATCAGCCTTTGTATTTTCATCCAAAGTGTGACACTCACCCTCTCGAGAGGGATCCATCTGTACATCTTAGCATTCATCCATGGTATAAAGTATGATACTTACCTTCCAAAGATCAGTAGCTTGGAGAGGGCGTTGGTAACCTTTCTCCATGATCGGCGTCACCCACTACACATGTCAACTCACAGGATGGACTCAGCAAAGAGATGGGAGAGCTCACAGTGAAAGTCAACTTGGAGAATATGGAGACGTAAGCTAATGGTATGACCTCTGCATCGTCCAAAGAAGCTTTAGGTGGTGGTGGAGCATGTCTTGGTCTCCACAATTGCCTATGAGGATGCATGAGCCCTTCATCCTCTCTCTGCATGTAGAAAATGACTCACCACCATTTCTCCCTCTTTAGTCCTGGGAATTGCTGAACTTCTGAACCTGACAGATCACGTAGTTTCATAGAGTGCAGGTTGGCATCGTCCAAATCTTTCTCCTTGTCGCCACTGAAAGAATCTTTCGTGTCGTCGATGGCATCCTGACTGACGACGCTGACGCTGACGCTACCTGTGACCTGCTATGATGAGCTTATAGGAGCGAGAGTAGGATCACGGTGAGATGGTTCATCACTCACTGGAGAGTCGACCGTCATGAGGCAGTTCGCGAGGACTTTGAAAGTTTTGACAGAAGACGAAGGAAGCGACCAAGAGAGCAAGAGAATTTATAGAACTGGACGAGAAGGAAGTGCGGAGTTGACGGCGGAGTGAGAAACATCGGAGTTGACCGACGACACGTGACCGGGGAAGAGGGCATTAGGCGTGTGAAGTTTTATGCCCTAGACGCGCCTATCAATGATGGCTTCTCTCCAACTGTCTTTGGCATGCCATGTTGCCATGCCAAGCAGCACAGGATTGAAACACCATTCACTATATGACCCTCAGACCAGCTATCGACTGAGTGTTGAAGTTGCAAGTATGAGAGGCATGGGGGTAGAGGATGGATCATGGCGGAGCAGAATTGGAGCAGTCTCGTGACCTACTTTAACTCACCTTTTAGGTTGAACCGGTCATCGGCGGAGTAATGTGAAAGCTGAGAGTGCCTGTCAAGTAAACGTTGCATGTCCCTGAGCCAAAGTTGGTCATTCCGACTCGTCTCATTGGTGCACAACCAAGCTTGCCAGACAACTCTAGGAGGACGGAACGACTCAGTCATGCATCGTGTATACGCATCTCCCCACTTGGTCCGACCCTTCAGCATCAACGTCTGGTCACATCTACTTTAGCAGACACGCAGACGTTCCTCAGTGAAGGGGCATTAGAATCGGTCAGGGCAATTACACTGGTCATCGAATCGTCACAAACACGTCTCTGTACTACTAGCTACTGATCATTGTCCTCGTATGCAGAATTATCTCGACTTTTACATATCAGAATTGGGGTGGGGCCTGCCTATCAGCAACGTTCTTCTGGCGCGATCGAGGTCTGGGGATATCACTCACCGCACCGGGAGGTAAAGCTCCATGATTCGAACTTGAGATTGGACTGACTATCTGTCCTTGTCTCGATGATTGTCTTTGATGTCGGGAAACACGTCGGACGGGATCATGAGGCGCCATTTGGTTGGCCGCCGGGACGGGTCCAGCGTCCACCAAGCTCACACCTCCTCTAGCTTGGCCAGATTGTGAAAGATGTCTCCTCCGTTGGGACGGTTCGTTGTAGTATTGTTGTTGGGGATGAGCGTACGAATCGGAGGATGACGTAGCGCTCATGGGGAAATTAGGGGGTAAAATGGGAGCTTCCGCTTCGTCGGAATAAGGATCAGGGTTGTATGTGTGATAATATCCGTGACTGCTGCCAGAGAGAGAAGAAGGGTCATCGCTCGGAGCACGTTCCAACTTGCCAGCGGCGTGCTCTGATTCTGTAGAGGCGGCTGGTGACGGATCTCGACCCGTGACGAAGGCTCGGGAAGCCGGAAGAGCGAGCTGAGACATGCTGGCGGGATCGTATTTGGGATCAGGACTGGTGGTGAAGGGTTGCATGTTGCCGAATGATTGGCTGTTGCGGAAAAGCGGACCAGTTTCGGTAGAGATAGATCCAGGACCACTGTTATAACCAAAGCCGCTCGTATATGTCTCGCTGGTGGAAACGACAGACCTTCTGTCGGGGAACCCGCTGCCGCCGTCAGCGACCGTACTTTGTATCGTCCGAGAATCCAATCACCGCCTTCATGATGGACACTCGGGAGCTTGTTCATGGCAAATGATAACATATCTTCAAGGAGCAAAGAGAAGGTGTGTAGAAGAGTGACACGTCAAGAAACAACGACTCACCTTTTTGGGGAGTTGGCACGATGTATCATATCATACGAGTCATCCCTGGAAACAGTACCAGTCCTCCACCTTCTCTCACGTTCAAACTCTACCCATCGCTTCATGACGATATGACTCGAGTCAAAGATCCCTTCCTTGTCACCATGGGCATGCTCTTTACCCTCACCAACAATCTTACGGGTCTCACCCCAAGTGAAGTCGTCCATGTGCCAATAAGCATATGCAGGGAGAATGAGATTCCATACTGGCAAAGATAGCAGGTAGATGAGCATCCAACCTACATACACCACCTTACGCGAGGTGATGACGATTAAAACACCAGGCAGACCGAGGATGAAGGCGAGCAGGATAAGCGAGACGGTAGGACGGGGCAAGTGGGTGACGGATTCGGGAATGATGGCGATGATGATGATATACAGGGTGAACGAAATGGCGGCAGGAAGCACGAGTGTACCGACGAGGTCCATGAAGACCACAAACTGCATTGAGAAGCAGAATGTTCCACATAGGTCGCGCACCAGCATGAGCTCGAACAGGTTGTGAACGGTCGAGTTGATCCATCTTCTTCTTTGAGAGAGAAGGATCCGGAAGGTGTCAGGAACAACGGTTTTGCAGACGGCTTGAGGACAGAACATCATTTTACGCTTGGGGAAAGTCTTTAGCATGAGAGTGGATAGATATCGATCTTCGCCCAATAACAACAAGTTCTTCTTGTGCAATGTGTCGACCACGTTCTCGGAATAATGCTCGCAGATATCGGGATTGGCAAGGATGGGCACCCAGTACCCCAAGTCTCCTTTTGGTGCCTTGATACGGTACATGCTGAAACAACCGGGCAAACAGGTGACACCACCGAACGACGATTCGAATGCTTTGGTGAGGTGGTGGGAGATGTAGTATTCGAATACTTGAATCATAGTGACCCACGTCTCCGACTTGTTGGCAATTTTGGTTTCGCCGCACAAACCCATGATTTCGTAGTCGTTGACCATGCAGGCATTCATCCGAGTGAGCGAATCAGGAAAAACTTTGGTATCGGCGTCAACGCACAACACTGTCTCATACTTGTCAGGAGGTATACCAGTTACTCGCCAGATAGAGTTGAAGAACTCGTATTCGAAAGTCGTCATACGTTCGTCGAACATGACCTTTTGCAGAAAGCTCATTAGCACAATCTGAGAGTCTCGTTTCCCACGATTACCAGGTTTGGCATCATTCGTCTCAAGGGGGTTGCCTACTTTCGAGACCACCACCATGGGCACGCGCTGCTGCTTGGACTTCTCGGTTGTTTCATCCGAATACTTGTAGAACCCAGCGTAGACCTTTGCCATATTGTGACGTTTGTGACCGTTGGCGATGGCTACATACGAGTGCGCTTCTACGTCTTCAGGTGGAGCGATGAAGTCGGTCATCATGCTGAGCACAATATCGGGGGTAAAGAACTTGGAACCCGAACCTCGAACCATACCGTCACATATGACAAGCAAGAGTTTGTGACTGTTAGGGTAGTCGGTGGTGGCGAGCGAGTCCAGGGTGGTACGAAGACCCTCGATCGACTCCGAATACGCCGTCACTAAGCATATCGAATATACCAAGGGGAAGCCGAAAGGCTGAAAGTCGGCAGCAGGTTGGGGAACAACATGACCGAGAGGAAAGGGACAATTGTAGGGGTTGTTGTTGGCGCTCGAAGATCCATCAGACAGGGACAGACGAGATTCATCTCGAAATGGCAATGAAGTAGAACTCCTCGAGTTGCGTAGCATTGGAGAATTTGGGGGAGAATTGCGCGCACCGCTAGGCGTCAACTTGCTACCATACATGCTTGTTGCTTGGCGCCGGTTGTCGGTCACCATACCGTACGCCGTGGACGGTCGGGAAGAAGAGACCATCATAGGTTCAGCCTTGCTGAAACGCGAAGTGGTTGGTAGGAAGACTGTCCTTCTATTGCCTCCACCTCCTCCACGTTGGGCCGCATTCGGTCGAAGATATCCTGGGGCCGCCTTGTAAATATCATCCGTCCAATTTTCAATTTCTGCGGCTCTCCTCATTCGTTCCTGATAACTCTCGTTCTTGAAGTTACCCAAGCGCCAACTAAGACACCAACCGAATACTACCGCCATGGCAAACTTGATGCCCACAGCACCGAGAATGAACGCGAGCGAGACATAGAGCACGATATCAGAGGCGACACAACCGATTGAAATGCTATCGACAAAGCCGACCTTGATGATGTCGGACATGCACTCGGCGTATTGGGTGTAGTCAGCCCGCTTGACCAAAGCCGTTATATCGGTTCCTGCAAACGTCGTGTTGCGTGACATGACAGTGTTGAAGAAGGGAGGGAAAGACACCTGAGATGTGTCGAGCCATTGAAGGAGATCAAAGTCTAGTACGACGGACTTGTATGCGGCGAGATTACGCGAAGTATTGTGGATCATGTCCCATGTGTAGTAGATCTCGGCGGTAGGAACGATAGCTTGGAACTCGGAACGAGCGAGGTTGGAAGTGTGACAGTTGGTGGCATCTGTATAACCGGTCTTATTGATGGGCAAACTCGTATTTTGCTGGTGAAGGTTGCAGGGGAAATACCATCCCAGTTCGGTGCCGTCAGCACTTTTCTGTATGCCACTTCCAGTGGCAGGTGTGATGACCCCTCGACATTTAAGGTTTACGTTCTGAAACAAAAAGCTGGCATCTTTCCCTCCAGCCATGTATTGATCCATATATAGCGGATTTTGAGATCCGTTGAAAAACCCGTTCACAGCGGGATGGTTCCATCGAGAGAAATCGTAGTCGTAGCCGTTGACGATCAGCGAACCGTTATTGACCTCCCCACCCTTTATCCGAAGCTTCTGTTGCCCGCAGACGGTTTGTGTGAAACCGAAGGTGAGGAAACCGACAGAAGCCATGAGCGAGGCGACGATGCTAACAATTCCCATCTTTTCTCTCCATGCGCGTTGGGCTTCTGGTGTTCGCTTACCGAAGACATTACGAAGGACGAAACCAGGGACTAAACATGTAAGGAAGTAGCAATAAATCATCCAACAATCCTTTGGTCCAGGTGCGATGTTGCTGAGCCAGCCGCTCTTCTCGTCGTCTGCATGTCCCGCTCCAGCTCTATTGGATTGGGCACCAGTCGGAGGCTGACGGGGGGTTGCTCTGGACGCACGCCTGCGGATGGTAGCACCTCGTTTGAAGAGATTGAGACCGGATTGCTGGTCAACGTCGTCCGAATCTCGAGCAAGCAGGGATTTCCCTCTTCGAAGATTGGCTCCCCCACGCGAGTAAGGCTGATTGCCGGTTGCTACAGATCAGTTAGTGATCAATAAACAAAACAAAAAACCCACATGATGGCATGACATTCATTTGGTCCTCAGTGGCGTGTTCACGATAATGCCATAATCGATGATTTGGATCAATTCTTTCTCTCTCCGGCCTGACCATGCTTCTTTTCCTCCTCATATCCTCCGCACCCCCAATACTGGCCGAAAAGCCTTGTTCGTGGCCGACGTCAACGTATCCGTCTCCGTAGTTTAAGATAGGCTCTTGAGGACTGAACGGACCGCCGGTCGAGCCTGATGCGACAGTGGCGAGGGAAGGTTTCGAGCTCGAGGACTTGGGAGGTGGTCGAGGGGCTTCACCTTGGCCAGTCCGCCTTGATGGCGGCACAGGCATCTCGAAAGAGACATTTGCGGGAAGATTGGGGCGAGACATGATGAAACAATGATACGAGGGGGAAGGTACGAAGTGAGAGGTTTGAGAAACACGCTAGAGACCAGGGCGATCTATTACTGCATGCTGTGGTGTGGAAAGGGGAGCGGGGAGTCGTCGCTTGTACGTCGGAGTGGCAATATGCTGTGATAGAAGGGACGACAACGTGATGCACGATCTATGATGTTAGCTCTCGAAGTGAACAGAGACATCCGGGCCCCGCGTTGACAAAGGATGGCGTTGACTGAGGGTAAATACGCCATGTGTGTTGGAAGAGAAGTAGGTGGCCTGAGAGATGCGGATGTAACAGGCAAACGATTTGTCTGTGGAGGCATAGCACGGTGGGGGTGTTGGATCAGAGAAAAGTGGAAGAGTGGAGACGGGAGCAAGACTACTGACCGGGTCTGTGCTCGCAAATGGGAAGGATGGTTTACCACTTTTAAACCTCAACCTCGTATGTTTATGTGTTCGATGCGAGGAGAAGAAGGCCGTGAGACTGAAGGGACGATGATGGATGAGAACCCCAACGAAGGATAAAAACAACAAGACCTGGAAGAGCTGGTTTGAGCGGTTTGAGTGTGGAAAAGGCGTGGGGTGCTAGTCGGGAAAGGTAAATTAGGAAGCAGCGCGGGGTGTTGGCAGGAGATGTCGATTCTCTCGGCCAATCGCACTTTTCAGCCAGATAGAGAGTCGAGATCTTGCGGCCGGAGTGATAGAAGGGTGAGGATGGGCTACTGTGAGGTATAGAAGGGAGGTTGATAGGGAGTGAGGTTGATGATGAGGGCAAGAGAGTGAGTGAGGGAGAGTGAGGAAAAGTGAGAGAGGCAAAGGGGGGCGCGGGCTAGGCGGGTGGTGTGTTGTTCCCTGATCACTTGACCGAGTGTGGCACACACACGTGGCAGTGAGTGGACGTTGTGGCATGTGGCATGTGGCACTTGGTCGTCGTGTGTGGCACTTTATCCCACTTGACGACCGTCACCTAGACGACGCACGCCCTTGCAACCCTCCCTTAGAAATACCGTAGAGTAAGCCAGACCACGAACCACTTCATCTTCTTTCCCCTCATCTCATCATTCTCACTCACATTACCTCACACCCTAACATGACATCCACTCCAATTCGATCCTCATCATTAGACCTCACTCATCTACCCACTCCCCCAGACACTCACAAGAAACTCAACTCAGAGCCGCTGTTCATCCCAGACAACGCCGACCCCGAACTGGAGCCTCTAGTGGCTGACGAGAGAGACCCTTCCCCTTGTCCCACTCGTGCCTCAGTCCAATCTTACGATTCCCTAAGATCCGTCGATACTCTCGAACGTCAAGGTATCCCTCGTATCGTGCACAGAGCTCACAAACCCCAAGTTCCATGGGCGGACGACCTCGACAATGATTACGACTGGCAACACATCCCGGACCATGTACAAGAGGAAATCGGACCGATGGTGAAGCTTGAGGAAGCAAAACATGTTGATCCGAGGCAAGCTCGCCAACCTCCTAGGTTTTTACCTGTGCGATTCAAGGTTGATCAGACCGGAAGGTGGTATAACGAAGGGAAGCTACACATCACGGCGGATCATCAACAGGTATGTGTGTCACTTTTGACTTGTTTTTTGTGTCTGACCCTCAGCATTATACCATCTCCGACTTCTCAAGACCCCTTCGTCTTTTGGCAAGGGACTGCACCGTCGATTCCGACGATTTAGTCGTTGTCTCCCCAACCCATGCCCGTGGGTTGAAAGGATTTGAACAAGCACCTCTTCAACCTACTAGACAAGGAGTGCAAGACAAAATGGAGAAGGAAGATGAGGGGAATAGGCAAGAAAGGCAAGGATCTGATGGTTCTTCGTTGAGGGAGATCTCCCCTGGACCATGGCATAAGGGTAGTCGGGCCAGGATCACCTGCACGGCGTGCGGGTGTACTTGCAAGGTGGAAATGAAGAAAGTGAAAGGGAGTGGAAGTACTACGCTTTCTAATGCCGTGAGGGGTAACATTCTTCGTAAGTGACCTTTTCCGGGTTTTTTTTTTCGTATCCCAAGTCCTCCTCACTCTGCGGTCCTCAGGGGATTGAAGCGATAAATATTGTAAGAGAGAGAGTCGAATGATAGTCGAGAGACAAATTAAAATGATTCTAATTTGCAGAGATCATGCTCGGTAAGGAATCCCTGTACAATTGGCTTCGTCGCGACCATCCCGAAGTACAATCCTGGGCCGACATCGCCGCAGGAGTGGACGCTCAGAGGGAAGATTTTGATCGAGTGAGACATGCCGCAAGGTGGTTTAGAAACAATTTGCCCATCCTGGTGCGTCGAGGTGAGCTGAATGCCGATCGACAGGTATGAGGGGTCCGAGGGAAAAAAGCTTGAAGGAAAGATAACATGCCGAGGGACTACGGTGAAGATCGAAGAGGTATATGAATATGCATCATCGTCACATACTGCATCTCCCAAATATTGCAAGTCTCAGCCAAGGCTGGGAATAAGTGATATGACCAGGAGTGTCATGCGGATCGTCAAGAAAGTACCATCAGCGGCCGCATGAAGCGTCGAGATGATAATGCTTGATCGAGTACTGCTAGAGTGGTAGATGACAGGCATAGTGAAAAATCCTGGTGATAGTTGATTTGGCGCGGTGGCGATAGGTAGTTGAGAGGCAGGGTTATATGCTCGTCTGCTCGTCTCGCCCTTTAGCAACGGTTGTACTCGTCATGGCTGCTACACTAAAGGAGATGTGGGAATCTAGAAGGCAAGGAGATTGCCTAGCTTGGGGAAAGTCTGGGGCCCCGCGGGGAAGGGAGAGCCCGGTTGACCCAAGGGGCCTAGGCATGAACCTTGGGCGTGTTCAACCACCGACCACCTATCGACAATTGCCCCATTGCAGCATGCAGCGCGCAGGGAGCGAGAGACGGTGAGGGTGGGCAAGTGAGGGGGAGGGGCGGGGGGACAAGAGACGATAGCGAGTGGGTGATGGGTGAATGTGGGTGGGGTGCTCCCTCCCTCCCTCCCTCCCTTCCACCTATCCACCCCTTGTCACATCCTATGACAGCACCGTATATCATCACTCCCACCGCTCTGTCACAACGTGTATTCCTCACTTATTCCTCTCTACTCTACCTCCCTGTGATCGTCTTACCACCTCAGCCCTCTTCACATCACTGACCGACGTGAACATCACCCATACACCCTGACATACAGACATCCTCACCCAAGCCACGCACCCACCGGGCACACCTTGCCCTCCCCTCCATGTCCTCACTTTCACACATCTCGCCAAGATTGACCCTTTTATCTTCCCCATACCCATCTTTATCATGCCTCCTCCTCTTCTCTCTCCACTCATCATTCAACCCATCATCCCATCCCCACCACGTCCACCATCCGCTCGTCCATTCTCACCTTCACCACCAAGAGAAAACCGGCATACTTCATCTCGACCACCATCGTTACTCCTCGGAGTTCCTTCATTACCCATTGGTACCGTCGCTTCGTCCACCAGCATGAGTCTCTCAGGTTTGCCACCCACCCCTTCACCCAAAAAGATCACAGAGGATCCTGCCATCCGACCTCGATCAGGTCCACGAACTGGGTTCTTCGATGAACTTGAAACGGATCGGGCCAGACGCAAGAGAAGAGACAGTGAAGCCAAGAAGGGCCAGGGGTTGGGTGAAGGAGAATTTGTCAATAGGCAGCAACTCCCGACCAGCATCAGGAGCAGGCGTAGTACGAGTAGAGCGTCAGTCCCTCGTATCCTCGTCATACCCCCTATGCTCCCCCATCTCCCTCTTGACCCATCCTTTCTATCTCAAGCCACCTTCCTTACTCGACCGGGATTTCATCTTAGCTCAACACCACCTTCTGCACCGCTGGCCATTACTGATCATCAGCGATTCAGAATCTTCCACCTCATCCGCCTCTCCACCCCTTGGAGCAGCCTCCATCTTGGCAGCTCTTGCCGGCAATAACTCTCGACCTCTTTCCCCTCGCACTCCATCTATCCGTCCCGCCCAATCGTTCAACTCGATCAATTCCGGAATCGGCAGATCCCCATCAATCACCGGTGATACCGTTGCCTCCCCCGCACCTTCCATCAGATCCGAAGGGAACCCAGTCAATTCCCCCCGAGGTCGCAGAGGAATCACTAATGTCCGTTCTTTCCCACGTCTACATCAACCTACCGTAGTCCGTACTCATTCAGGTCGGGGTGTATCTTTCCTCCCTCCGCCGGTGCAAGTATCTCCAAGTACATCTGGTGTGACGTTCCATCATCCCAGTGGTGAAATCTCACCGGCAAGGCAGAGAAGTATGACCAGTCCTACCCTCCCACCTTACGTACCTGAGGCGCGATCCCGTTCTCCAGGTGCCAGATCTCTTTTCCCCGCTCGAAGAGGGATGAGTTCTGCCGGACTCGGCTCTCCAGACTTTGGTAACCTCAGTGCCATGCTCAGACAAGGCAGAATCGACGTTGCCCCAAGAAAATCGTCAGACGTGGTGGATGAGCCAGAAGAATATATGGAAGAGCCCAGTGTCTTAGACATCGATCAGTCTGCGGAACCGGTCGAGCCAATCCCCTTTACCGGCGAGACTTCCGAGCCGCCAGAACTGGCGATGGTCAAAGAACCTGAAGAACGAATTGATTCAGAATTTACCACGTTCGCCGAGGCGGAGGAGGTTCTCAGTCCAGAACTTGTAGGCCACACGGAGCCCGTAGAAGACGTCAATCTCATATCCCTCGAGGAGTCTGAACCCGCCACTCCGCGGAACGGACCTCCGGCTGTCCTGGAACCTCCCCGACCTGTCGATATCTTGGAGGATGGTATGTCTGACCTGCCTCGATCCGACGAAAGAACCGACGATGTACCCCGAAATGTGGTTGAGAGTTTGGCCCAGCCTGATGATCTCACTACGTCTATCAATTCAGTCGAGGCCACGGAGCCTGCCAAAGTTGTCGAGCCTGTTAAACCTCTTGAACCCATCGAGTCTACGTTGTCAATCCTGCCCCAGGCTCCTGTCGAAGTTGAAGCCATGCCGAAAATAGCAGAGTCGCCTCAACCTTCAATATCACAGCAGAATGCTCAACCCCATGGGCCCCTCCCCATCAGCAACGTACCGACATTTGAAGATAGCAACACATCCAAACCGGTCAACAATTCTCCAGAGCGAGCCTCACCTGCCGTTGACATGACTAGACAAGTTGCCGAAGCCTTCGGGGCTCCGGAGCCTAGCCCTAGGCTGAAGTCGATCATGGCGCTTTCGGAGTTTGTCCAATCGTTCAATTCTGTGCAATCACCTGCACCCATCCAAATTACCCCGCCTGTCAATTCCTCGGATCCTGTGGGTGACACCGAGCATTCCCATGCTGATGAGGAGTCCGAAGCTGCGCCAGTCGAAGATCCCCACGAGCCGATCGGACTTCCCTCGTCGGCCGAATCAGACGCCAAGTCTGATGACCTGCACGAAGTTCCCCATGAAGCTGGAGAGAAACCACGTCCAAAGCTCTGGATCACTCTGGACGAAATTGACCAATCGCCCAATGACCTACCCCCTCTACCATCGATGACTCCCAGCGAATACATGACGGCCAGTCCTGGGTTCTCGATCAAGTCCGCTGTTCCAAGCTCGGAAAGTCACACACCTTCCGGTATCCTAGACTCTCCCGTGGAATCTGTTCACCCTCTCATCCAGCCCCAGTCCCCTGAACATGTCTCTGGTCATGCTGGGGCTATCACAAAGGAAATCTTGGACGAGAATAGCACTTCCGAGGGAAGCTCCGATAGTGGAACAATTGACGAGCACGTTGTAAGTCCCGAGGTATTTTCACCGTTACTGGTCCTGATAAACAGTTGAACGAGGTCGTCCATCCTACTCACGAAACAATCACAGACCAGCTCCGACTCTCATCTTCCGACGCTCCTGACTCGTCTCAAGTTCCTATCTCACCTCCTCATCCCGACTGCAACAATGAAGCCAACTCGAAACCGTCCAATCTGTCTTCCGCACATGCTGAACTCGCAACCGAAGTCGAAAGCGAATCCGAAGCGTGTCCAGTTAGCGAGTCTAACGAGAACTATGACCTTCCATACGTACCTCGTACAATGTCCAAACTCACTCGACCAACCTTCAATATTGACCAACTTACTCGTTCTCCTGGCTCATCCGACAGACTCTCATTCACCCTCTCCGCTTCACTCTCACGTTCCACCACTATCCCCTTTTCCCAGAGTAGGAGAATCGAATTGGACCTGGCTTGGCCATCTGAACCTCTGAATCTCACTTGGATCCCGGGAAGGAGGTACGTGCCGGATTGGCAGTTGAGGTATGTGGGACCACATCATCGTTTGGGCAGTCCGACCGTTGGTGAGGTGGTGGAAGAGAGCAGGGAACAAGTGAGGGGATTGGTAAGGAGGTTGCCTATTGTCGGAAGGGTTGCGGGGTGGCTTTAAGTGGTCTCGCATCGTCTTTTCAAGCTCCATCCTTTTCTTTCTCAAACAGTCGGATTAGGAATGGACGGCGGGAAGCACGGATCATGAGCTACATGAGAAAGGAGGGAAGAAGGAAGGAAGGTGTGAGCGTGATGAATTCACGATGTAAGATGTAAAGATGGATGATGAGTTGAGTCTCGTCGGTAATGAGTTTGGGGGAAATACCATGAGGGAAGTTGTATATCATCTCAGGAAAGTGTAGCTTTAGAGAGTAGTTGAGGGATACGTCAGTCTTCATTCTCAGCATGCATTCACGTCATCTGCACCGTGTCCAATATTTGTCTCATGACCCTGCTATCCGTCTGATCAAACCCTGAGCTGAACAAGTCTCTCAACATCAAACAGACAAAACGGTACATGTGCATATGGAAATGTCCCAGAAACCATTTCATTACAAAAAGATGACATGGATACATATGCAAGTTAAATATTAAAAGAATGATCATGAGATATATTTTCCTAACGTCTGAACAGCTTCTGGATCCGCTTTAGCCCAATAAGGTCCTATTTCAGGAGTACGGTTGAACACGTCTATTATGTATGCTCTCAGTGGGATCCTATAAGCCAGATCGGATTCTTCCAACTGGCGTCGGCGATCTCCCTCTGGATGACCTGAGGATTAGTCCTTTTCCTCCTGAGTTGATCACATGCTAATCTCTTACAACATTGGCAACATACTCCACACCACGAGACTTGTTCATAGTGATGCATGGAGTATTGGTGGATTGGAAAGTAAAATGAGAGTCACCACATGGAAAACTCCGGTTGAATGAGATGAAATAGGAAGAGACAAAGTAGAGTGAAGAGGGAATAAGGGAGGGAGCTGCTTGCGAATGGACGTCCGATGATCCACTGAGATGATCCAACAGGTAATGTAAGGAAGTAGAAAATTGTCCATGATAGGATATTGGGATGTCGAAATGATTCGACTCACCTTCAATCTCACTCCACCTCTCCGATTCTTCTTCCATCCACGATCTCACTCCTATCCTACTTTATCAGCTCGAGTCTCATGCAAGTCCAAATAGAGCTCACTCTTGACCTACTGAATCACTTTCCGGAGGATGTAACTCTGCCAAGACATCGATAAACATGTTCACTCTGCGTCAGCCCACATATTCGGGGAAAGATTCTGCTGAAAGCTCACTGAACTCCCCGGAGATTCTCTCGAGACATTGTGAGTGACCCTATGACATTAGCTTCTGAGAATGCGACTGGTTCAACCTCATCATTCTATCCTTACATCTACTCATACGACACAAGCCGTACAACAGCAAATATGCAGTGCATGAAGGTGTTGGCAATACACAATCGGAAAACGCCGAAATACCTCTGAGCAAGCACTCGATGGAGAATGAAACGGAGATAAGGGGAAGAAAAGAAAAGAAAGACTTTATCCTAGAACTCACCGTACTAAGCAATGCCCCAGCTCCCATAGCTACTACCTTTCTCTCCCTAGCTCCTCCCACATAATCGAAATTCCTCCATAACGCATCCAAAGTCTCCTCCAAGACCTTTGCTCCATCTTTCGACTCCCTCCTTGCGCTCTCGGCTACCATCTGGAGGAAAGTATCGGGACTCGAGATGGCGATCCGAGATAGAACGTTAAGGTATGAAGCGAGGACTATACCAGAAGCTTTATCATCTTCCAAGGCCTTGAGGATATGTTGAAATAGCCCACTGTCTAGAAGGGCGACTGCCAAGAGTGGCATCGAAGGAGGAGGAACGAGACGGACAAAGAGTGAAAGGGTTTCGAGGATGGGTTTGAGGAGGTCTTTGTTGGCTTTGGCGAGGGATAGGGTTTGGAAGAGGGTTGAGCAGATGACAGAGGCGTGGGTCTACATTTCAGCTTTCTTCATTGCTTTCCCGCAGGAATCATTGGTGCAAGATTCCGCCACTTGGCATTCACCGGCTTGCCGCTCGGGGCTTGTAGAAGTGGCAAAGGAAGATGCGCACGAGCAGAGGAGTTAGGCGAAGGCGTAATTTGGTCTGTTGACGGAGAGAAGTATGCACAGAGTGCAGAGCTAAAAACACTCACCTGTATCAGACCTGGGGCATCCAGCAACAGATACGACTCCAACAACCTCAGCAAGCTACCCGCCTGATCCATATCCGTCTGCAACAGACCCAATAATCCAGGCAATAACCTCATCAGTCCTTGCTCAATCGAGGGAACATGTAGACTAGTGGCGTTGTATAAAGCCGCCTGCCATCTGCTTCCTCAGCAATACTCACCGAATAGGAAGATGACTCACAGAGCGAGACCATCTTCCTCGAAGTAATTTTTCGCAGGAGGTTGGAGACTTTCTTCGATCAGAGGAATGACTAATTCCATCAAACTACCAGAGGAAGCTTTTGCCACCTCATGATAAGCCTGTGTCCCAAATCACGAACAAAAAAGCATACAGAAACGAGGCTCGTAGTGAGTACCACCAAGGACGATTTGAACAACCATTCTCCTTCCAGATCCGAGGCTCCGTGCCCTGCCTTTCAGCGACTGTTGCTATAGCACCGATACGATACTCACATAAGGCCGGGATGGATTGTGCTATTGAAGGAAGGAAACGGAGAATCTAATCGTCAATGCCATATCCTCTAATATATGGCACACTGACCTCATCTCCCACTCGTTCCACGACGACCCCTAGGGTTTGATTGACATAACGTTTCCCCTCGAGAGTTTCCGCTTCTGCCATCATGTGAACTCTGGTTATCAGAGGACGTCAAAAAGGAATGAAACGCCTCACAAAGCCTCGGAAGTTCTTTGTAAGAACGGTAAGAATACAGATATTGGCTGTCCCCACGCCTGCCCATATCAGCTGACTGTCTCTAAGTGTCCAAAGGTTGACTCACGTCCACACTCTGTTTTACCGCCAAAGCAGCAGACAGCCTGACAGCCATATCACTTGCTTCGTCTCGTTCTGTCAGGAGCTGTAACAACACTTGCCATAGCAGGGGAGACTGAACGATGTCTTCGTTCGATTTGACCCATTCCGTAATGAGCCACGCAAGGCGACGTTTGAGTATACGATGCCTGAAAGTCAGCTAGGTACACTTTCTATCATGTCGAATTTGTGAAGTCAGATCAGAAGGAGGGGCGGCACGAGGAGTAAAATTAGGAAGACAGAACATACAAAGGTAAATTCTGTGACGACCAGGTCTCTTGCCAATGGCGTAGAAACGTCTCGAAATTTATACCGCTCGTTTTACTCATTGACCGACTCAAGCGCCCCAAAGCACAGTACATAGCTTCTCTACGCAGGATCGCGGGAAGGTCATTTGGTGAACTCACTGAGTATGTCAGCGACTATCACAAAAACAACATATTACCTACCTTCCATCTCGACGAAGATCTTGACCATTTCGCCTTTCAAGATCTTATCGTTGGTTGCTAGCTGTCGACATGCATTGTTGAGCGCAATGAGAACTCTCTCGGCGCATGGCTACACTGATCAGCCATATCATGGGGACAGAAAATGCCGTACTCGATATTCATACACCCAAGCCTCCTCCTCTGTGCTCTCCGCGATGAGCCATTCTTCCGGCGAATCTTCTAACTTCTCTAGATCGGCAGGGGAGAGGGGTAGAAGCTTGTCTAGAAGCAAGTGGAAGCTGCGGAGTATGAAGGGACCGTCAAACACTGTCATGTGAGATACTTGCACAACTAAGTCAAGGAGAGAATCCACTGACCGTCTGGACGATCATGGGCGAGGATAGGAAGTACGTCTTTGAACAAAAGCAAGCCAAGGAGAATGAATCGCTTGGGATAAGACACATCATCAGAGTCTATACCTTGTCAGCCACGCTCGTCAGGCCTTCAAGCACTCACCATCATCTACCACCGCACCTTCACTGTCCAATGCCACCTCACTCGACGTGGACCACCACCAGGCAATCCCATCGATTACTCTGCCATCAGTGCAGAACATCTTGGGCTCTGAACCCATCATAGCCCGCCACCATTTCCCTATGGCTCGTAAGTATTTCGCCAGGGCTCGTAGTAGTCTAGGTCGATCGGAGTTCCAATCTGTGGAAGGTTGAGAAATGAGATGAAGACGACGTTTCTGAATAAGGGGTAGACTCTGGACAGTATAGTCAACCAAGTCGCGTAGCTAGGAAGGTCAGAAAGGTCTGACGCAGAGAGATATGCGTACTGACCTGAGAAAAAGGCGCAACCGTATGAGGTTGCTTCTTTTTGAACCAGAACCACTGGGAAAGTTTCGCTCGAATCCTACATATCAGAAAATGCAACACCTTTTATCGATCGCATCCACTCTATGCTTACTCACTTGAAAGCATACCTTCCAGCTTCTTCCAACACCAAATTGGCCCCTCCCTGCATCTCGGCCTCAGCCCAATCAGCCATCAACTGCCCCACCGGACCAGCGACTTCTTGGTCTAGTAGGTTCATAATTTTCTCCCCAACGGCCATCTTGACATTCCTGAACTCTTTGACCATGGCATTTACGGTCCATAATGTGTTGAGCAACACGGTCGGAATGTTGAAAGACGAGCCAGGGAAAGCTTCTCCTCTCAGAAATGCACGACAGGCGGGTAAACGTTGTACGAGGTGATGTGCCAGTTCAGCAAATTGAGGAAAAGGTTCCGTCCTACATATAGCGACGAAGAGGGCGAGTTGTGGGCGAGCTATCTGACATCATTAGCCTGACTCAGAGATGAGGCAGATGAAAAGGACATACGGTGATGTCTTCTTCTTCTAGGAATGAGAAGAGACGTTGTCGCAGTTCGCCCTTGCGTTCGGGGGGGATAATCCTAATGAGTGAGCTGGAAACACAGAGAGGGGAAAAGGAGAGGACCGACGATTTGTTTCTCCACTTGATCTTCAACTCTCGACCTGTGATGATGGATGCGAGCAGTCTTTGAGGTTGTGAAAGCGACCTGTCGGCGGCGCATTCTTGCAAGGCGATGAGAAAGCCTACACGATTCAGCTCCCGGAACAGTCATATATAGGAGCAGGACCAGAAGCTAACCACAACTCTTAGGACAATGGGCGTTAGGAACAACGATTGCACAGACCTGGTTCTTTCAATTGATCAGTGAGCAACGCCTGATCTCGGATATAACCCTCGTTGGAAGATGGGTTGGTCACAGCATGAAGAAGAGCTCTGATGTCTACTGACTGAGGCTGAGAGTCCATATTGTCCGAGATAGTAAGAACAAGATGTTAAGGGTGGAAAAGTTGAAACGAGTTTGAGTTGGGTTGAAATGATCACGTGACTTGGCGTCGTCGCGATCGAAAACTGTTTCTTCACCATCTCTTTCGCAGTTTTCATCATCATCATCGTCTCCACAGTAGCGCATCATGTTCCACTCAAGACCTCATATACAAGCTGGTGACTTGGTCATAGCTTACATGGCGAGTCTCCTCCGTCTCTTTCCCCCACCCTTGTTCTTCAGGCAAAAGAGTATGAAGCGTAGATGAATATTCCTGACTTCCAGATGCGAGACAACATGACATCTTTCACCGTCACCCCCGGTGAATCCTTTCATAACAAGTTCGGTCGATATGCCCATAACGACATGATAGGTGTCAAGTTTGGTTCCAAGGTCAGCTCATCACTTCCCCTTGCCATATGCTCGCAGCTCACATATGCAGCTCCATTCCCCCTCTCCTCAGTCAGGTTATATATATCTACTTCGACCGACTCCGGAATTATGGACCCTCTCCCTTCCCCATCGAACCCAGATCTTGTATATGCCAGATATAGCGTATATCACCATGCGACTTGGGGTGAGGGTAGGTGGAAAGGTCATAGAGGCTGGGACGGGAAGTGGAAGTATGACACATTCTCTTTCTAGATCTGTCGGACCTAGAGGAGAGGTGTATAGTTACGAGTATCACGAAACTCGGTATAAGACTGCCAGGTGGGTGCTTATGGTTCTGGTCACTTCTCGTCGTCTCGCCCCGCGGGTCCTCGTGTCGGCCCTCTGAAGCTTCTACCCCTTGACGTATCCTGAGCATCTTTGTCTTACCTCAAAGTATATGATCTACGTCGGAGAGATTTGAGAAGCTTACGTCGTAGTGTAGAGTTTACCAACCACAGACTGGACAATGTGAAACTATCTCATCGAAACGTATGCAAGGATGGCTTCGGAGACGTCTCCGACGTAGAAGCTGGTGCGCCGTCAGTTTTCATGTCAATCAGCGGCTGATCGTTTAGTGTTTCTTGACCTTCCTGCACCATGGGACGCTATCCCACACGTCATGAAGATTCTGCGAGTGGGTCCTCTCTTCTCTTCTCTTTATTCTCTCTTCACGATCCCGTTCATACTTGCCAGAAAGAGTCTGAATCAGCTCATGTGCAGCCCGATATCATCACTAAGATATGCTGTTTCTCTCCTTGTCTCGAACAAGTACTTAAGACTGTCTCTACACTTCGTGCCGAAGGGTTTTCAGACGTGTCTACACAAGAAGTGCTGGTGCGGACACACGACCTGGTGACTTCTTTCCCACCTGGTAGTTCGCATCTGAAGAACGTCACGGAGACCGTGGAGAGATTGAAGGAGCATGAAGAGAGGAAGGAGCGGAGGAGGGTGTTGCAGATCAAGGCGGCGAGGGAGAGACCTAGGAAAGGGAAAGAAGAGGCGAATCAGGCCATTGATCAGGCTCCGGACGTAGGCACGGTTCGGGACGACACGAGTAAAGTGTCACTTGCGGAAGAGGAAGCAGTGGCTACTTCGTTGATTCCACCACCTTCAGTCGATGGGAGTTCAAAAGATGGTGAAGCGGTCGCGTCAAGCCAGGGCGGAGTAAATGGAGAAGAACACTTCTCAGAGGAAATGGAGGATGGACGATCACCCAAGAGAAGGCGGATGGATCATCTTCCGGTGGAAATAGGGATTGTTACTGATGGCGAAGTACACATAACGAGAGAGACCAAAGGTGTCATCAATGGTAAACCGAGAGAACTGGAAGATAGAGATCAACCCAATTGGAATTTCGAAGAACCTAAAATCGCCTATTCACAAATCCTCACGAAACCCGCTCATGAAATGAGAGGTCACACTTCATATCTCACTTTTGCCAGTTTCTACCCTCTATCAATACGACAAGCCATGAGGAGTCAAGAGCCTACGACACAAAGTCGAGCAACTGGGGGTATGAACAGAGTGGCTCAGCTGGCCAAGGATGAGAGCAGAGGCAGAGGGGAGAGTCAAGAGACTGAGTATGGTAGTGAGGGATTGGACGAAGTGTTGGGTACAATGACCGAGGAGGAGATGACAGCTCTTGCTGGGGATGTTGTCACTGGGGCCTAAGCTATGCACAGTGTGAGTCACGAGTGGCATGATAGTATCTATGAATCTACCAGGTGCCCTAGGGCTAACAACCCGTACATGGTACATGGTACACTTGTATTGAGCAGAAGAAGAAAACGACTAAGTTCGCTTCCCTTGTCGGCTCTTGGCACTCACTCGACTTTGCTCGTTTTCTTCACTGTTGTATACTCTTTCTCTCATCTCATATCGACACATTGTCTATCCTCATTCAAGTTCTGGACTTGGTATTCCCACACTCTCTACATCTCTTATCATATCGGCATCTCGAGACGGTGTGTCATGACCAACATGTCATCCCCTCCTCCCACTTCCTCCCTACAACTCGCTTCCACTTCAACCTCCTCCGACAACTCTACCATCCGACCTATCCCTTCATCACTCCAGCCACCAGCTACCATAATATCTCCACCTTCTCCCACAGACCTTAAAACATCTCATGTTTCAAAGTTTCCCTCACCTCCCAACTCTCCTTTATCCCCTCTTTCCCCTATTCGTCGACCTACCTCTCTCCCACCTCTTCATCCCGACGAATATCGTAATCCATCTCAAGAAAACCACCTCTACCATTCCCAAGAACAACACGAAGAAATACCAAACTCAGACTATCTACACCCACAACACCTCCAGCCTAAACCCATTCACGAAGAAATAGAAGAAATGTCACCTGAAGAGACAACTTACGACTCTCCTGTTTCTTCACCCGACTCTGTCCATCCACCTCCACCACCACGCGCAAAAACCTCACCTCATGTATTAACACCTAACACAACGTGGAATACTTCTCAATTAAAACAAAGTAATCAAGTAAACTTGACAGATTCAACTTTATTAGGAACTACCCTAACTACTTCTCCTCGACCTGAATCACTCAGATTTCTAAGTCCTGAATCCCCAAATCAAGCTTCTCAATCAACTCCTTCTGTCCCACATCCAAGCTTACCGAATAGTCCAGGTATAGGTAATATGGGACAGATCATATCTGATTATAGACCAAAAAGTCCTAGTCCCAGCTCACCTAATTATAGACCGAAAAATATGCATCATAGACGGACAAGTTCGACACATAGGGTGAGAGAAACTATGGATGGGATGCAGAGAAATACGGAAGATGGACAGAGGATGGTAAATCAATATAAAATTGGGAAAAGTTTGGGTAGGGGAGCTTATGCCAAAGTCGAATTGGCTGTGGATGTTGGGACGGGGAAAGAGTATGTGAGTGATTTTCCTCCACAGCTGTCCTGTCCTGAATATCTGTCTATCTCACTTCTTCCCTAAACTAGAGACTTTTGGTCCCAATTTATGTGAACTCATACCCCACAAACAATATCGACCTATGTTCATGGGTCAGTATGTAGTGATAGTCGCTGACTGATCAGGCAATCAAAGAATTCTCCAAATCACGTCTACACACACAAGCTCTGCAAGAACGTCAACGTCAAAATTCACGATCTCGTTTACGAGCTCCACGAAGATCTCCTGGTCCTCCAGGGGAAGATGGTAAACGTAAAACGATGGATGTGGGTAGAACAGCTAGAGATTTGGATTTGGAAGGACAGGAAGGTAGGAGTGCTCCTTGGGGAGGGACCAGAACGGTGGATGAAGATCCTCTGGGTTTGATAAGAAGGGAGATCGCCATCATGAAGAAGTTGGAGTGAGTGTTGGTCTTTTCTGCATCTTCTCTTTGCTCGTTGAACCTTCTTCATCCATTCTCCTCTCGCCGGTGTCTCTCCTCAGCTCAAGTTCGACGAACATCCTGACCTCCTTGACGTGAAGGGGGACTTTCCCCAGACTATTTTATGACCATCGCTGACATCAGTCACCCTCATGTGAGTGATCTCATCTTAATTTTTGGATAATTGATGTGATAACCCCTCATGACGACCTACAGAAGCTTGTTCAGAGAGTATCCTGGTGCCTACTGGAATAGTCATCATGGGGCAAGTGATGAGGCATAAAATGCTGATGACAGATCGTCCTACTCTACGAGGCCATCTCCGTCCCTAGTACCGATTCTCTCTTTCTCGTCTTGGAATATCTTCCAGGAGGAGTGCTAATGCACATTCACGCTGGTGCACCGGACGACAAGGCGAAATCGCCTTTCGCGCTGGAACAGGCTAAAGAGTATTTTCGTCAATTGTGTCTCGGTCTGGAATACTTGCATGAAAACGGGGTGATTCATCGTGATGTGAGTTACTCATAATCAAGATTCTACCAGCATCGCATCTCTTGCTATTCCACCACTTCTGCTTTTCGTTGAAGCCCACATTTTCCGCCACATATGTCTCAAATATTCCATAGACTCGTGTGACTCGATGCTCTCAGTAATGTGGAAATCTGCAAACGACGGATCAGGTCGGAGACACCAACGCTGACGCCCAGATCAAACCGGACAATATTCTCCTAACTGCCGACCATGAATCCGTCAAGTTGTGTGACTTTGGCGTGTCAGAGATGTTCGTGTCGAGGGGTGACGACCGTATCAAGAAATCAGGTGGTAGTCCTGCTTTTCTCTCTCCCGAGAGTTTCAACTGTAAGATCTTCACTCTGCCTTTCCCTGAACCTCATCTCCATTCTCCATCTTCACTCTGCCCTCTACTTTTGATTCTGCTGAATCGAGTCCGACTTGCAGGCCACCGAGCTGATATCAGCTTCCATACATGACCTTCATGGAAAAGCAGTAGATATCTGGGCACTAGGCGTAGTGCTCTATTGTATGATCACGGGCAGACTACCGTTCAACGTTGTCAACCCTATAGAATTGTTCGAAGTGGTCAGAAGTAAAGATCCTCCGATCCCTTTGGATTGGACGAAAGAATTGAAGGATTTGATGATGAGCATGTTGGATAAGAATCCCGAAACTCGGATTGCTATGAAGGATATACGAGTGAGCCATTCTGTCCCTCCGTCTATTCCCCCTTTCTCTCTTTCGATAGCGCTTCTTACCTACGTACTTTCAGAGGGGACTTACCATGCGGTTGTATGCTTTTCTCACTCTCTTTTCGATCACGTCTCTTACCTGCGTACCTTTGGAAGGGACTTACCATGCGGTTCTATATCATCTACTCTGGGCGCTTAAAGTTCTGGATTGAGCGAAGGGACGGATCACGATAGAAGAAGCCGTAAGGATAAAAGATTGACTAGCAGGAACACCCATGGACCACAAGCAAAGGAGACGAACCGATGATACCTACCGACGAAAATCTGTTTGATGTTGGTAAACATGTGGAGGAGCCCACGGCAGAGGAGCTGGGCAATGCATTTTGTGCTTTGCGAAGTGTTTTGTGAGTCACTTTTCCTTTGACATCTCCTACTCTCTTCCCTTCTCCGCCCCTTCGCCCCGTATCTTCTTTTCCTTCTACTGCTTCTCCCTTGCTCGCCATTACCTCTCTTTCTCACAACCCTGTCATCATCCGGTCTCCTAGTCGGATCTCATCATGACTTGATCCTGTTAAAAACGCTTGGATGGAGAATGCTGTGGTGCCGATATCAACATTGCCTCACTCACACACAGCACCGTCGTCCGTGCCGCTCAAAAACTCCGTAGACTCCAACTTCATCGTCGTTCAGGCAGTCAAATCTCACCTTCCCCATCCCCCACCTTACTCCCCGTAGACGGATGGAAACAAGGGTCAACCGATTCGTACGCTTCACGTTCTACTGAAACCGCCATAACATCAGTAGAAGATGAAGTTTCAGGAAGATACGTACAAAGTCCAGAATCGACAATGATGGATCCTGACATGGGAGGATTGAAGATTGATACGGGATCACCTGATCCGAGAGAAGGGGAAGGGGTACAAGTTGAGATGTTCGATTCACCAGTTGAAGAAGGGGGTGATACACCCGTGAGGGAACAAGGAGGATCTTAAGTTTGTGAGATTATAAATGTTTCTTGATAGGTCTTGTCATTTTTGGGTTTTCTGGTTTGTTTCTTTTGAGTAGAAAAGTCATGTTTGATTCGATGGGATGGAGAGAGGGGGTTGATAGAGATAAAATGTATATAACAGCTAGATGGTTGATGCATGCTTATAAAATGTACAATTATGAATACTCAAGGATTGGGTTGTTGGAGCTTTTGTAATTCTTGTTGAATGGCCATGACCTTTGTATGAGCACGATCCGGGGGATGTATACCAGCCGGCTTCTAGGCATCCAAATAGAAGTGAGACAGCAGGATGAAATACAGTATGACACCAAGTTACGAAGCGAGGCTATGATGCGTATCAACCCCCGAGAAGGGTACAGCATGTCATGGTCGACATGCCAAAACTTGAGCCATGGGAGGGAATATAATCCGTGGAGAGGATGTCTGGACAAATAAGGATGAAGGAGTATAAAGGGGAGGAGATGAAAAAGGTGGTGGACTTTTGAGTAGGAAGGATTCACCTCTGTCCGCTTATTTGATACTTTTTCTTGAGCTTCTTTCAGTTGTCCTTCCACACGTTTTCTAACTGTCAACATGGTTTTCTCTCAACATCATAGTATCATTCCTATCATAGCGCGAGCCATGATCATTTCACAGCCCCTCATTATAAAACGGTCTCATGCGACTAAGTGTGGAATTAAAGTAAAGGTAGAGGTAGGTTAAACTGATAGATTCGCTCCTGACGCATAGACAGGGGGAGGAGTGAAGGTATACCGCAAGGGAGTCAGTTGAAAAAGTGGCAGAGTGGAAAGTGTGGACAGAGAGAAGGAAATGAGAGTGTCAAGGGAATTGGAAGAAGGTTTTGGGAGGAAGGTGAGAGGGTCAAAACACAATGCCCAGAACTAACATTTCATTCCTTATATATTCCAAACGTTTCTCCACATTCGTCCTGGCTTCTTCTTGATCTTGAGGGACGAGAGAAGGACCGACTAGTTTATATACCGTATTATGAGGTTTCAGTAATTTGAATTCCTGATTTGTCAGCTTGAACCTTTGGTAATTGTGTCAATATAATCATGACATTTCCGTTGATCCATCGGCCATGCCATCCTAGCTAACGAGAATTTCGACGGTTTCACCCAACCAATAACCTCGCTCTTCTTCCGCTCATTCCTTCATTCCTGTATATTCCATTTCGTCCATATATCAAATATTGCGAAATCCGTAATGATCTATATTCCCATTGGTAAGGATAGTGACGTTCAGACGAAGAGACAGGATTAGAGAAAGGTCAAGAAAAGGTTTACTCACTTGCAAGACTAATTCATTTTCTGATAATTGTGAATCTAACCTTTGACGAGCTTCTATTATCTCGGTCAATTCTAAATATCAATTCACTGAATCACCGGATCACTTATCCTTCTTTCTATGTCAGACTGTCATGGGTGGGACTACGTTTGCTTGAAAGGGAGAATGATATATGGGGCGACATTCAACAAGGATAAAGATGAAGATGACTGACCTTGTTCGGCTTTTTGAAAAGTCAATGAAGATTGTTGTAGCTTTGCCTGTACGGCCGATATCGTCTTTTCTACCATTCCTACAATACTATCAAATCCGTTGTCGTCCACCTATTACAGGTTGACAGCTACTAGTTACTCTACGATCTACGTAGCGCTCTTCGTGACTTGCTACGTCGGAACGTTTGTAAAGTCGCAGTGAAAAGATGATGGTCAAGTGGATGGAAAAGTTGAGTCGGATTTGATGGCCATTTTGCATCCCTCTTAGTGTAGACTTGAACTTACATAGCGTACTTACCATCGTCACTATACATCAAACTCATTCACTCGTGCTCTCTCACCACTCATATATCTCCCCTCGCCACCCTTCCCTCCCTCCTCAATGCTCATCCATGGTGGTGCGTGTAATGTCTCTGCCTTTTCACCCTCGTCACGTTTAGCTAAATGTCATCAGGCAGGGACCTGTTCGCCAGTTGCGATCAAAACCATTGCTTGGACACATATCGGCTGCAGGCTTAAACCTTTCATTGTCTGTTTTCATATATCCACTGCATCAATCAATACATCTCGTGAGTACTTAGCATGACTGTTCTCACTTCTTTCCTCCATCACTGATCCCTCTACCTCCGTCCGTCACCTCTTTAATACTGTACCCGTCTATATCCTTGGTCCCATGTGTGTGTAGACAGGGGGAAACGCTGTCAATCTTTTCGGGGAGGAGCACTTGCTAACTCGAACTCAGCGAATGAAGAATAATCGTGAGTCTATTGATCCACCGAACCTCACCTCTTGTCTACTCCTGTCTGTATCATCCAATTCTCCCACTTTCATGAAACATTAGCTTCAAAACAAGGGGCAAACGCTGCCATTTTTTTCGCCAAGACGCCATCGCTAATACCACCTTCAGGAAATAAAGTACCTTTCCAAAGACGACCCGGAAATCCTGGTTTCGTGAAAAATCATTATGAAGCAAAACGCATTGAACCGGGTAAGTCAGGTGTCGCATGTTGCAATTTCCCTGTTGATTGCTGATTTCCAGACGTGCTCTATCCCAATTCTCCGTATCATTTGCAAGAGTTCTTCGATACAAAAAATCCTCATCACAATCCACGTCCGCTGAACAACTCCCATCAGACTTTTGATCAAATACTGAGGAAAGAAAAGATCGAGCTTCCTCCCCCAACTCTAATCCCATCCTCTCAGGTAAGTTTCTCGTTGTCTGGCATTATTTCTCTAATCACAGTTTCCATTGGCCATTCCTTGCAGTTTGGATGATGCTGGGATACCAGATGGACGGCCTAAGTACTGGCTTATGGCTTATAAACTGAATTCTTCCCAAGATAATCAAGATATCATGAAGGCCTGGGATATCATCAAAGATGTGAGTTGTTCATTCACCATATTTTCCTGTCTTGACCCAAAAGTCTGGATCTGTCTCCTCTTGCCGATCAACTAGCTGATGGTCAAAGATTAGAAAGCTACCCATCCACCCGGGTGTCTGGTCACCCTCCAACTGCGGTAGAGATCATACACATCTATCCCTCTCCAAAGATGCCCGAACGGAGAAGACTCAACAATTTGTGACTACTTTTAGACGGATTGTTGGAGGAGGCACATTCAAGAATTTGAGAAAATTTGACGATATCACTGCTAAGAGAATGTCTCCGTCAGTCCTCTTTCATTTTTCTTGGGGCTAACATTTGCTCATATTACAGAGCCCGATTGTTCGTACATCATCATCTTGCCAATCACATGGAATACCAGCCTGCTCATCCGCGCCCTGGACAAGTCGGATGTCCCCTCGCCGACAACAAGGGACAGTCTGAAGAGTGGTATTTCAATCGTAATGATGACGATAGTACGTATTCTATCATGTCGGTCTTCGGCTCAGGTGGGTGGAATTCTACTGCAGAAAAGCGTCAAGGATGGCTTGTCTTGCCTCAACTCAACGTGGAAATTGAAATGCCAATTGGTACGTCCTAGCTCTTTTGTCATAAAACAACTGACTTGGGTAGGGTCAGTTGTTTTCCTCCAAGGATCCCATCTTCTTCACTATGTGAGACAACTTGACAAGGAAGATAGTGAGAAAAGGTTAGTCGTCACTGCCTTTACCTGCAATGAGATGTCAAAGTATTACAAGAGTCACATACATGAGACAGTATGAGAACATGCCATGAGTTTGAAAAATTATGATGCATGACTTGCCATGGAAAACCTATACAGTGCCATCATGGCACGGAAACTCACTGGCCACACCGGTCTACTCGTTACTTCATTTGAGGGAATGAACAATCCCTCTTTTCTCACATCAACATTGACTTTGGCCTATATCCCTATACTACTCTTTTCATCTCATTGCAAGATATCTAGACATGATCTTTCACTCCTACTCTACTATCTCAAGATGACGCAACCAACTCCAGAACCACCCAAACGTCCAGCTATACCAATAACCTCTGCCGCTCTCTCTTTCACCCTACGTACACCTCGTCTCACCCGTCTTCCTCCTCCTCCTCCTTCTCCATCTCTACGACCTAAAACTGAAAGATCATCAACACCGCTGCGATCTTACCCTGCACCCCTTCCTCATCCTATCACTCCTCAACCTCCTCACTCGACCCCTTCCTCGCGCTCTCACAACGACCATCTCCCAGATCCACCACCTCCTATACACCCCCTCCGACCTCCTCAAACCCCCTTACCTCCACGCACGAAAATCCCTCCAACTCAAATATTTCAAACTCTCGACACTTTCTCACCGTTCGCTTACCGACCTCAAGTCAGACCTACAGTCCCAAGTACTCTCAAAAGACTTTCAGAATTGACTTCTCCTAATGCTCATTCCCCACTGAAACGGGTACGTGGAGAAGGGGATGGAGTGACTTTGAGTGCTTTGGCTCCGAGTAGATTCCACCCGATAGGATCGCTTGTCGGAGTTAAGAGAGAGGATGAAGAAGATGTTGGGGTATCGCCAAGAGGACGTAGGGTGGTGAAGTGGAGTGGGAAAGGGTGAGTGGAATCCATACCCATCTTCGCACCTTCGTTTAGATTGACGTGTAAACATCAACACACTCCTCAACCTTCATCAGAGCGATTCCCAAAACGGGACTGCTTCAGTCACTAAGAATTCTACCTTGTCATCATCCGTTGTTCTCTCATACCACTTATCATCGGGTTTTTTTCCTCTTGGTGTTCGGAAAGTTGACCCCAGCCCTCCGCCAGTATCGATCCAACTTTCCAACCTCCTCTCCTCTTCTTCCAGTTCAATACAACTCTTCTACACCAGTCATCATGCCAAATTACGTCCCTTACGTACCCGTCCATCACCCACACCGGAATCATTGATTCACACTGCTCCTCTCATCCTGTCCATCCATCCTCATTCGACTGTAACAGGTCCGACGCATTATTCCACCTTGGTCAGATGTGCGATCCGACGATCTCCTCCGGGGATGAAAAATATGGACCACTCTCCAATAAAAGATCACTGGCAAAATGCGATTCCTCAAAAGAAGGAGTCGAATAACGTCGATCAGATGAGTGAAATACGAAAGCGCGCCTTCATAGGTCAGTTGGAGGGTCTCAAAGAGGACAAGGGTGAACATGACGGAGCGAACAGGGAGGAGGAAGAAGTGGAGAAGATGGTATTGGTCTTATTCCAAACTTTACCTAGTGGATGTAATCATCTAGGTGTAGACCCCAGGGTTTTGAAGGAACAACAAAAGAATTGGTTAGTTGGGATATGGGCTTGGACAGAGGTTCTTATTTCATTACCTTCTCCTTCATCACTTTCTTCTAATCCAACAAACATGATGACAGATACACGACCCGCAACTCCGACTTCGACAGCTTTAAATGAACCTCACAAGGATACACAATATCAGGAGAAGATGTATGATTCATCATTGAAAGAAGGTGAAGCTTCGAATCAAGCCGAAAGGGAGGAGCAGGAAGTTGATATGAGCATGAGAAGTGATCAAGTGTCAGAAAAAGTATGGAAGGAAGAAAATGTGATTGTAGCTAGTAGGTATATGATCATTCAAGATTGAGAACAATGTTGTATCCTCTCATCAATTTATGTCGAGGTTGTTGTAATAGGCACTGTGGTGATGGAAAAACATGCATCAACATGTTTGCAGAGTACGATTACAATAGGTTATATACATTGATAGGTTGGTCGGTAGCAAGACGGAAAGAAATGAGTATAGACTATATGTATTTCACTGACAACTTCTGCTTCTGCTTCTTTCCTTTCCTCTTCTCCTCTTCTCCTCTTCCTTCCCCCTCCTCGCCGTTTGCTCTTGATATGATCTTCTTATCGATTCTCCTCTCTTCTCTTGTCGTCATATCGTCCCTCTTCTCACTCAAATTCAGCTGTTCCTTAGACACTTCTTGACATTGTCGATCGTTGATACATTACTTGTAACACATCGTTGAGACAGGTAGAAATCCACACAATGGGATCAATATCCGAGTCCGTACTGATCTCAGCTCGTTCCAATCGACTTTAGGTGACAGGACTTCTCAAGCAGTGCAGCTCTACAGAATCCAAAATTCCACAATATTCACATGCACGCACACAAGCGCTCAAGTCAAAGAAGGTAGAACCGCGAGGCGATGGGAAAAAGGTGCAGCAGAAGATTGGTAAAGTACAAAGAAAGAAGATGTATCCGTCTCAGAAAGAATATCGTACATATTATGTCTTTCCTTCGAGACGAAAGTGGTGAAAGTGACCAGATGACATGTAAGACAAGAAATGAGAAAGTGGAATGTGAAAGGTAAAAGATGCAGTTGAAGAAGAGAAATGAACATGACAGAAATGGAATCGGGGGGTGGGAGAGTAGGAAAAAGAGAGGGGTGTAGAAGAACTCACCATGCCCGAATACATATAAGGGTTCATACCCATCATCATACCATATGGATATCCCATTCCCATTCCCATTCCGTACATTCCCATACCTAGTCCGTAGCCTATTATGTCAGCTTTTGGAAGGTTGTCTTACTGTTTCCAGCTGTTGAACACTGAGTATGAAATGATTATAGCGATGAAATGTACGATTTTAAACAGGTTTGCTAAGAATGTATGAGAGAATAACGGAAATGGTACGTTTATCCTGGATTATAGTGATCTAAGATTGATGGGATGGATAAGAAGGAGAGGAGATGTTTTCCAAATACTCAAAGGAAAGATATAATTGTATGAGGCAAAAAGGGGGGAAAGAATACTCACCTAAACCACCATATCCCGTCATATAAGGAATACCTAATCCACCTGCGTAATAAGAATAAGGGCTCATCTATTCAGGTGGTCAGCGAGGTGTCTTTCGTGTATTCATCCTCGTTCCATCTCTTCACCGTTTTATATCTTTTCTTTGGACACCCTCATCTTCCTCATCACATGTTCCCCTCGTTTTTCCACTCTTATCACGCCTATCTCATTCTCTTCTATCCTCCTCGAATTATTGGATTTCCACACCTCTCCGTCGTGATCTAACTCTTCCGATCGTACCGTATGTCATAGTGGAAAGAGTGGGGGAAAGAAGAAAGACAGACTCACTCCATAAGGATACATGGCAGGCGACCAATGTCCTCCGTACATGCACTATAATTCAAGTTTCTCCCTCTTCGATATCGTCCAGTGGATTACTTCCTACTTCTCTCCCTCTCGTGTTATTCCTTATGAAGTGTGAATACCTCTTCGATCGGATGTAAACTTCGATATCGTTCTTGGTTTCCCCGATTGAATATTCAATTGAAGATGTCAGTGTAACTTGTAGTTGAATGTCAAAGTATGTTGATTACTCGTACTGCTCGACGTTAGCCGCCGCAGCGAACGTCAATGATCAATTGTACTAATCTCGAGTGATGGTCAAGTGGCAAAAGAATGATGAGTGGAGGAAACGTCATTTTGTTCATGAAGGGATGAAAGTCTTTGGGGAGAAGAAGAAGGGAAGGTGTTCTTCGTAGATTGTACATGACTACTATGAAAAGAGGAAGAGTAGAGAGATGGGAGAAGAATGAAGAATGGAAGAGCAAAGAAGGAGAGAGAGAGGGAGGAGTGAGAAGAGTGAAATGTGGGGGGGGGGATGTGGGGTTTGAAGAACAAAGGAAGTTGACATCACCAACAAAGGTGATTATCCTTATAGTCGTAGTCATCTTCGTACGCTCCATCGTTGATGGGTCGAGTAGGTCGATTTCTGGTATTCTATCCTACCAGATGAATCGGAGTTGAAGAATATACTACTCACCTGAAGTCGTCACTTGAAGTATGAAAAGTCAGAAGTCAGAAGTAAAACGTTCAACCCATCATGTTCGGAGTATCAGTCTAGGCAGCAGGTAGGAGGCGCAAGACGGAGGACAGAAGACGGGAAGACAGCGAAAGGAAGGGGAATCCATCAAAACACATCAAGTCATCGCTAGATGCTTCCACGACGGCACAAAGGGGTCCTTGAACCGGTCCGGATGTTGATGTGATTGCCGATGATGAACTTCGCTTGACTGAGGTGAAACATGTCACATCTGATAGAAGGGAAGAAGGAACGAGTTGAACAATGGGCAATTGATATTTGGTGGAAGATGTAATATGCACATGCAAAGATATAAAGATGACTTCTGACCTACTCGTACACTCCCTTCCTTCACATCTAATCAAGTCGTGGACCGCCGTATGGTGTCGTTTCTCTACTATCTCGAGGTATACACCGTTGTAATAAGAACACGAAAAGGGCTACGGCGCCGACGAGTATTCCGAGGGCTTGGAGGGGATGATCGCCAGAGAAGTGCTGAGGGTCAGCTTACGTCACTCAACCCAATCCAGACCAATGCGAGAGTCCTTCCTAGAAACAGGAACTGGGAGGTAGCTCGACGAAGTTTCTTGTTCATATGTGGAGGGACATCAAGGTGGTCGAGGAGTGACCAAAAGAATATCGGAGCCGTAGTTGGCAACATGGCCAAAGCTGCTGAAACATGAGGGATATGGACGGTGGGACAGGGTGTACAAAGTGCAATCCAGAGGAAGGAGGATATGACGAGAAGGTAGGGCATATGCAGGGTCCACTCACCCCGATATGAAACAATGTCATGGTAGCGCTTCTCGATCCCCACTCCAAAGCAGATTCGCTCCTTTTCGGAAGTAAGAAATGCTGATAAAACCCTTCCAGTACAGAAAACACAGAACCCCCGTCAAAGGTCACTTTGGTACCTTCTATCGTTGTGTCGTAGTATTCTTTCAGCTACACGTAAGTGGACTGACCGAAGTGCGATTGTGTACTCACAGGTGTATCAACGACCACTACGGCGGGTAACGCACTTTTCTTGATCCTGCTTGTGAGTATGAATACCTTTTACGACCGTTCCTCTCGACAATGTGACCCGACGGGTACTTCGAGAGATCAGAGTGTACGCTTCTACGTCACAGCTTCGCTGTTCCATGATTCGGAGACTGCGTAAGCAAGAGGTTTGAGTGACGATGTACAGGAACAATAGTCAAGGTGAGGTCGAACTGTTGTAGATTGTGGGATAGAAGAGTATATGAGGGGAACGCAGGTCAAGATATTCAGATAACCCCACAACCCACCCATAAGACTGTTTCAACCAAGCCGCCCATTTCTCACCTTCAACCCAGACAAACCAAACAGGTTGATTAAACCCTCTTCCACCCCTCTTCCAAGCCCTCGACATCTTTTCCAACTCTTCTCTCTCTTTATCTCCCTCTGGACCTTTATTCAATGCCCCAAGCACGACAGTAGATTTCAAAGGGGAATTCATGATGTCCACATAATTTGATCCTGTCAGTTGCACCAACGTCGGCCACCTGTGAAGATTGACGAATTTTCCCACTGCATCTGCAGAAGAAGGGAAAGCGACTGTTCCGACCGGTATTGTGGAATGAGAGGAGAAAGCGAGAAGAACGGAAGTGGGTGGAGGGTTGGCGATGGATAGATTTTTGTATAAAAGAAGATCAGCGGATGTGTAAGCTGGTATAGAACCGAGTAATGGGTCCAAAGCTTTCTTGACTGTTTCCTAGCGTGCGTCAACCGGAAGATCAGAGAAGCGGAAAAGCACATACCAGATCGCTAACGGAAGTATCAAAGTTTTGCAAGTACAGAAAGAAGGCTTCATCTTTTTCGACGATTTCATGAAAATCTTCCAGTCTGATAGGTTGGAGTGATACGCTGAAGATTCAACTTTCTTGTTCCGCATCAAGCAATCAGGTCAGCTCACCTTTCTACAGCTTTCAAAGCGAAAGCTTTCAATTTTTCTACCGTTCTAGCACCCGAATATTCGGACCTGGTAGAATGGTGGTATCTGCTCATTGAGCAATAGTCCCTATACCCCTCAAATCACCTCACATTCTAATGGTAGGGTATCCTTGGATCCCTTCCTTATGACATAACTTTCGATTGGCCTCACAATCTACAGCTACGACATTAAGTATTCCTTGTAGTTGCTTAGCCAGTTCTTCATATACTACCCATCAGTGACACGGCCGACTATTTCCCCTCTTTTGAAAATGTCTCACTGGGTCGAAGCTTTTTGCAACTGTGAGTCAGTGTAAAATCGACAAGAAATTCAGTCACAGAGAGTTACACTCACTGTCCACACCAAGGTGCGAAGAAATCCACTAAGACGGGTCCTTCCTCCTTGATCCTCTCCAGACTACTTTCATCCACCTCCACGACCTTTCCCTCGACATTGGGTCTTCCATATGCACTCACGACCTCTTGTTCGCTATCTTTACTCAACAAATAACCTCTGGCATATTCCATAGCGTAATCTTCGATGTATTTTGATAAAGCCGCATATGTTCGATCACCACTGTAAGTGATGGGTTGACCGTCTGTGTATCTTCTCGTCAGTCAAGTCAGAGGATGAGAGATGAGACGGACAAGATGAGTTGAGGGTCTAGCAGGTCAGCTGGAATAGCACCTTGAAAACTACCGCTTACAGTATTTTATATTGTTGGTGTTGCATAGATCTGCATTTTAGCTTTCTGCTCAAAGCTGATTTTGAAGGTTGAAGGAATGGAGACTCTCCGTATGAGGGAAAGGACGTAAGGTCGGTTAGGAGAGCAGACTCTGGGGAGGGTGGTACAAATAGAGACTACAAGACGATAAAATCGAAAGAGAAGAAGAAGGGACATACCACCTTGAGCTATACAATTCACTTGGGCCATATGGAAACCTGACAACCGTTCGAGGTGTTGATGATCTTGAGCTAGTCGGGTCCAAGTGGGAGCAAAAGCCCGACAGTGAGAACCTCTTCGTCAGCTGTCAATATCAGGGCGAGGAGACTTATCAGATGTCTCTGTGGAAGAGCGAGGGTAGGGGAGTTATAGCACCGAAGAGACAGGTAGAGTACTACGTCACTAAGGTCAGGTTGAAGAAGTCACTTTACATTTAGGTGAGAAATGTTCGACCAGCCTGAAAAGTCAGCACGTTCGTTGCAGCTACACCAATGTACCATACACTGGCACCGAAGCTGTGAGTGGGTTAAACCAGATGGGACTCACCATACACCTCGAGAAGTAGAAGCTCTGAAATTGTCTTCTGTAAGTTGACGTAGTGGGAACTCGTCCTGTGCCCGGGCGGACCAGTGCACCGCGGCCAGAGTGAAGAGAACAGGGAGTCTCATGGTTGAACTTTTAGAGATCCAAAAGCTACGTTCTGCACCTTGGGTGATGAGATGGGGTAATAAAGTGTAGACGCAGAGTAGAAGTAAGGGTTGTCAAGTGGTTTTCATAGGAAATGGGTGGAAGGAACCCACACCGCCACCCAACAGACTCACTCTTCTCTATCTTCCCTTTCCGACTTGACTTCCACATCACTATCATCTAACTCATCATCCTTAGTGAGGTAAGAGCAAGATGAACATTCTTGTGAGTACCTTCGGCTAGCCTGATATACATATCGCTGATACTTTCTTTTCGCATCGTATCATCGTGGACATCTCAACCTCTCAGGACACTCTCTTCGGTCGAAGTCTCACCCCAGCAGAAAGATTACGACAACATCAAAGATCTCTACAGAAAGCACAGAGAGAGTTGGAAAGGGAGAAGGGGAAACTGGAAGCGCAGGAGAAGAGAACGATGGGGGATATAAAGAGGAATGCAAAGGCTGGTAATATGGTGAGGATGTTTTGTTCTCTACTTGACCTTGTTCTTCCTTTTCCCATCTCTCTATCACTCGGATCATCAGTCTTTTCTGGCCTTTCCATATCCTTATGAAATCCATGACGGGGACGCCCTATGAGCTATCGGAAGCTTTCTTCGACTTGGTGCAGGTCTTTATCATGGAAAACACAGCTTCGCATCTGTTACCCAACTTGTATGGCACCGGTTGAGAGTGGATTATGTGGACGGATGGAATCCCAAATAGCAGCGATATCATCGGGACAAGGGAGAAGGTGTGTATGTCGATTTACTAACACGCAGAACGCATGTAAGATCCTCGCCAAAGATCTCGTCAGAACACGTCGATATATACAAAAATTTACTCAGATGAGGGTTCAATTACAAGCTGTCTCTCTGAGGATGCAGACGTTGAGAAGTAATGAGCAGATGGCTCAGGCTATGAAGGGGGCCACGAGGGTGGGTCTATCAACGTTCTCTCATATACCATATCAGATCCATGATCCGACCAATGATGTGATTTTGATCATGAGAAAGTCTCACGTATAACCCCCTCTCCCCCGCAAGAACAGAAGAACCACTGTTCCTTCCGTGTATAAAAGCTTACTATCAGGCAATGGGACAAATGAACCGATCTCTCAATCTCCCCCAAGTGAGTACTTCCTGACCCACCTCCCACCCCTGGAAGTCTGCTCACTGCAGATCCAACGTATCATGAACGAATTCGAGCGGGAATCGTCCACAATGGATATGAAAGAAGAGATGATGTCTGACGCGGTGGATGACGCTATGGAGGATGAAGATGAGGAAGGGGAAGAAGTGGAGAGTGATAAGATCTTGAAGGAGGTGTTGGATGAGATTGGGATGAGTATGAATGATGCGGTGAGTAGAGTTATTACTAATCCATCATTCATCACTCATAGATCGGGGACCTCTCTACCTGTCAATGTTACCCGCCTTTTTTTCCCTTATTCCTAAGCTGTAGAGTATCTCGACCTATGAGCTCTTTTAAATTAGCCACACTGTAGCTCACTGTCAGCTCGTGTCCGCTCCCACTGCCAACCCGACGATGGGCGACCCCACTCCAGCCTCTCGAATCGCGGTCGCCGAAGGTCTGACACCATCACCTGCGGACGCTACCAGATCTACCGGACCGCCGATGAATCCCGAAGAAGCCGATTTACAAAGACGTTTAGATGCGCTTCGACGGGATTGATGATGGGTTGGATTGGTAGGTTGTAATCGTATGGATAAATGTAGGATACGTCATTGTGCGTGTGTGCTCGTTCATGCTGCATGCTGCACTGTGCCTCGTGGGTCGTGCGAGGAAGCTTGCTCTGAGCGTATCTGATTAGAAGGCAAAGGGGGGGAGGGGAGTGAGTTAAACGAGACTACATACTCGTTCAGTATTGATCTCAACCCTAGATGAATGATGCGATATCTTGTTCAAGGGCAGGCAGGGTATGTGAGCAGAGGGTTATACACGGGATTGTACGGAGATAAAGCCGAGATTGAATGGTACGAGTACACAGTCAAGATCAGAGGGCCAGAACCAGAGGGGGGAAGAGGCAAGGGATACTAAGCAAAAAGTTTTATCAGATAACCCGAACCCTGAAATCACCACACAACACTACTTCGACTCGTCTATCCTTCTCTTTCTTTTACTATATACATCACTCTCACTCAAGCATCCTCCTTCTCATCTACATCCTGACATTCTCATACTCTATCCACTTTGAATCACGTCAGCCTTTAAAGAGTTGAAACAAAGAAAGGCGTGACTCCGACAAGCGACGGTGTCCGGTCAAAGGAGAGAGTCATCGGAATAGGAAATGTCAACATGAACCCCAATCATCCTACAGTAACGCCTCTCATACCAATCTTTCGTCCTCCCGCATGGCGTGATCAACCTGCTTCGATGGTATCAGTACCAAGTCCTGTTGCACAGGTACATACACCTTCACCTTTGAGTATGACGGCTGTCAAAAGAGGGTCCGAGGATGACATTAGGGGTCAAGGTTATGAAGGTGGTAAGAAGAAGAGGGTTAGTTTGAGTTGTGCTCAGTGTGAGTTCACTTTAGGGACATTTTGTTGTCACTCACCTATCCTGTTCCATTACTCTCAATCTTGTCATAGGGTTCACGCTCTACTCCTACTTTCATTCAATAGTCTTTAGATGTCAAATTCCATCATGGGACAACGTCTGCCCTTCTTTCCTTGTTCTCCTCTCACAATACATTTCTCTCCCTCTCCTACTTAAATCGTCTCCCTCACGCCATCTGCTACTATCCCTGGCCTGTCACTTTAGTAAGATGCAACATGGAGCTGACCAAAAGGTGCAAAACGTAAACAGAAAGTCCGTCCCCTCTTACTCCCCTCGTAACATATAGAAATCTGACCTGTCAGTGTAATCGTCAATTTCCGTGTCAACACTGTACGTCTAATTCTCCTAGATCACACCCCCGCTGACATTCAGGTCTGGGTAAGCTACATTACCTGATGTTGGTAGTCTATTAGCTGATCAGTCAAGCGCGAAAAGTCCCAGAACTTTGTGTGAGCGATTTACATCACAAAAAGTGGTATAGCTGATGGAGGAGGTACCATACAATCCTCAATCCTCCAACAACTCTTCAGGTTTAGATCCCAAAACGGCAGGAAGGATAGATATGATTGAATCGGTCTTAGGCGTGGTGGTTGGACATACACCGGGGATATCGGGTTATGACGTCGTGAAAGAGTGGATGGCTGGTGGGTTTTCTTATCTCCACTTTCTTGAGTATTCTCACTCTCAACACTTCCACTCTCAGCATGACAGCCTGCCCCTGCACGTCTTCGCCTTCCGCTACAGCAATTCTCTCCCTGCTTGCATTTTCGTTGTTTACATCAACGTCGGCGTTGCCTCAAGTATTCAAGTCAAACCCCACCATGAGCTCACTTCAGAACCTAAATTCCGTCAACTCCTCTCAGCTTCCAATTCACCTGCCTCTTCACCTAAATTCTATGAAAAGCCCCACTCCACAGCCGGACCATCAGGTTCCAACAACGACTCAACTCAAGAAGATCATTCCAAAATGGGAAGATCGGCGAGTCTGGAAGATGATCGTGCAGCTGGTATCGACAATACTTGGTTACCCGATCTAGATGGGTGAGTTTTGAATGTATACATCTGAAATGGCGCTGACGGGAAAGTGGAGAACCTAATTCGGTGAATATTTTTCTTCTTGTGTTGGAAGCGGGTATAGTAAGAAGAGGGTGACTGATGAGATAGATGAATGGGAAATCTGGTACTCATCTAAAATTGGACATACATGGTACACCTGCGGAAAATTTGAGAAAGATCGTCACGGAATTCGGTGTCAGTCCACATAAAGTGAGTCTCCTCCCGCTCGACGCCCTCCTTCATGGATACATTCTTTGCCCATTTCGTCTGCAGTATTTGCCTAGGGCCAGGAGAGACTACTCACGAAAAGGTACAAGAACTCGTACAGGAATTACCTCCAAAGCCCTTTGCGGACAGAGTGATAGATTGGTATTTCACCAAACTCGATTGTATCCGACATCCCATCGATGAAAGATCTTTTCGAAACTGTTCGTCTTCTCATTTCTTCCTCTGCTTTGGCCCCTTTCCATTGATCTCGAATTGTTTGATCTTCTTTCCTCTCGCCGTCTGTCTTTGATATGAATGACCGTTTCGATAATCGTCCATGGCTCACACAAATCAGCGTACGAAGAACTATACTCCAGATTACCAACTGTCGACCCGAGTCATTGTCGGGTTTTACCCCTTCTATTCATCGTATTGGCTGTCGGAGTGCGTCTGGCTCCAGAACCTTGGGCGGGAAGTGAAGACCATAAGAAATTGTCGAGTTTGAGAATGTATTGGAGCTGTAAGTCCGACTCCATCTCGCTTCTCGTTCTGTACAAAGTCTTACCTGACACGACGCATTTTGACCCGATCTCTGACCTCGTCCCAAGGGTTGACCAGGTCGTACTGGGACTGACGAACAGCTCGGAGAAGTATGCTCTTAGCTACTGCCATCGAACCTGAAAGTCTAGAACTAGTGGTTAGCCGTCTACTCGTAAGTCGTCTATTCTCCCTTCGACATCATGCGCTCCTGCCTCCGATATCTGACGGAAAGTGTAGCGGCTGATGTCAATAGAGCGCAATGTACTTAGTGGTCATACATGATCGTCGTTTGACGGAATGTTGGTCTCAACTGGGCGCTTCTTTAAGGACAGCACAAGCTTTGGGACTTCATAGAGATGGGTCAAAGTTAGGGTTAGAGTAGGTCCTTCTCTTCTTTGATACTACACCACCACAACGTCATGACTCTCAACGAGGTCAACTTTGAAATGGACCTGCTAATAATATGATCTCCTCGCGTTTCTTGGGATCTACAAAAGTGAGAAGCGATAGCTGATAGAGTAGTCCGTTTCAGACGGAATATAGAAGACGGTTATGGAGTTATCTATATCATGCCGATAAACTGTACGTTTTACTTCCCTTTCTTCTCTCTCCTCCTCTCCCTTCCCACTAGCACCTTCATCACTTGCATCGTTCACACCGTCCAACTCTTTCCTCCATCAGATCACAATCCATCACCTCAGTTCGCATCCCGTGCGTCCTTCATATCCTTTTGCCCAACTCATGATCTCTCGCCAATCAGAACATGCGGGCGGATTGGACTTCGACAAGACGAACAAAACACCAATGCTGAAATCAAGCTACTCCCTTATCCTCGGCCGCCCTCCATCCATATCAGACGAATACACAGACACTCTCCCTCCTTCCAACCTCGAACTCTCCGATTTATACGATCTGGACCCCTCTCAATCTTTTCCCGAATCAAAACCTCTTTCTCAACCTACCACAGCAACATTCCTCATTCTTCGAAAAGGACTGGCGAAAATCATAGGACGAATAGTGCATCATTTCCAGAAACTCAACGAGCCCGCTCAATATGCAGATGTGGAAGGGTTACAACATGAATTAGATGGTTTCGTACAGGCTTTACCGGAACATTTTAGGATGCATGATCCAGATAGGAGTTTGGACAAGGGTAAGGTATTCCTCATAATTTCTCCCTATCTCTCTCTCTCTCCACATCACCTCGGCCTCTGCTCAGGAGCTCCCAAGAGCTCCTCCTGCCGCTCCTTCCTCCCATTCTTACCTCTTCACTTCCCGCCTATCCTCCCTGTTCATAACTTTCGCCTCATTAGCTCGCTGAATCGTTCTCATTGACCTTCGGACACCCGCAAGGAGCCTCGAGATCACATTCCAATCGGCTGAATAGTTTCGGGCATCCGGAAGGTGACTGATGAATAGATAATTGGTGGTTACCAGTTCATCGCTTCCTATTATTGACGGAAGTCCTCGTTACTACAATAGTACTTCATGTGAGCTTCCGCGGTCATTTGTTCGGTGAGCTCACAGAGTAGCGTCCGTGGCTACTGAGAAAGCTTTCGAGTAATCGTTATGCTGTAGGTTTTGAGACATTTCCTAAGGTCACGCTGATGGCAGGCTTCACGGACGGCTTGTTTCGAAGCTGCTAAACTTGATTTCCAAATTAGGTGTGTCATCCTCCCCCTTTATTTCTTCAACCTTCTCTAGGTGTTGCCCGCGATCTGCGGGTGTTGCTTAACATCATCCGTGTGGCGTCTTCTCGTTGGCCGAACTCTATGTTCATGGGGCATTGTAATCCTCATTCAATTCTGCCGCGATCAATTCGCCCAATGAACCATTGGTGGCTTTGAACAGAAAGTAGTCAAGTGGGTATGGTTGACCACCGCAGACAGGAATTCCGACGCGAAGTACCCGACCACAAGTTGTTGACCGTCACTTCCCAGTTCAAGATGTTCAACAGCGCCATGATTGCTGGTATCTCTGCTATCATCGATCCACGGGGTCCTGACGCGGATCAGATGCGGAGGATATTGACAGCGTTCTTGGAGCAGAACCCGTGGACTGAGGTGAAGACGAAAGACGAGACGACGAGGAAAGAGGTTCAGATCGTGCGTAACTTTGCCACCATTTCTCTCTTGCGACCTTACTTCCTCTACACATTCTGTATTATCTAATAGTTGAATTCCTGCTGATTGGATTCAATGCGGGCACTCACAGTGAAGAGAGGCTCTCGCTGATATTCCAGATACTCACCCTCTCCCGCCGAGCAGCTAAGCTCTACGAAGAATCTTTCCCACCCGGCGAGCTCAATCCACAAGATTCCGACTCGGTGGCCCTCCTTCTCGCACTTCGTCAATCCGGTGATGCTCCAACTCAAACACTGCCCACCGACTCTTCACTCCATCAATCCTCTGACCCTCGTGTCCCTCCGCCTTCCGACCCTCGACGTTTACCGGAAAAAGGAAGATCATGGATGACCCTGAACAGCACATCTCAGCTCCCTCTCACATCTATGGGACCTCATCCTATCTCTCAATCTCCCTCTTCTTCCACCGGACCGGAAGATGATCATTCACAACGACTTCTCGATCATTGGCTTCATAACAATTCCGCCTTACCCATCTCCATGGCAAACCCTCCGATGGGGTTCGAGACGGGTGGATATATGCCTATGCCTGCTTTGGCATTAGGGATGGGGATGACATCGTTGAGTGGAGGATATCAGGATACGTCTTTTGGATATAGTGGATGGACGGGGATGGGAACTCCTGGACCTACGAATATGGGTACTCCGATAACGCAACAAATGGATTATGCGTATTCGGGTAGGATGGAGGGAACTCCGGTGATGGATGGGAATATGCCTTTGGGGGAGGAAGGGAATAGTGATGAGTATTGGAATGCTTTGATTGATGGTGAGTGATTGGTGTTTTGTCTCCATTTGAACCTCCTCAAACATGAAGAATTTCACCTCCACACAGTCGTTCTTCGTCGTTACTTGTATCACGTCTTATACCACCATCATCGTCTCTCCCCGAAAATCGTCCGACACTCCTCCTTTGTCATCGTGACGTTTCGATGATAAGAAGCTGATATAACCAGGCATCTTGGGCACTACGAGCACGGCACCTCCCCCGACCGGAAGATGACATTTTGAGATATGAGTATAAATGTCAAACGTGAAGACGCAATTGGGAGCGGAGGTAATAGGAGTTGGCGTGAAACGTGAATCAATTGCATCTCAAGGGTGATTGAGGGTGATGTTGAAAAAGGAAACATATAGATTTGTAGTCGTTCTTGGCCGATGTCAGAGAATGGAAGGATGTCATCATCTGTCGAATTTCTTGCGGACTCGTGATTGTTATCTGAGTTGGAAGATGAGACACTCAAATCACATTCAGGTGAAGTTGACACGTCTTAAGCAGATGGCGGACAGCTTGAAATGGAGTGTGAGAAATGATCTCCGACAATGACTGCATGGTACGTCGGTGTGTCACTTCGACCTCAGCTATCAAACGGGGTGGAATTGCCCTCTCTGTCCCCTATCTCCCTGACCTATTGTGATTGCATAAATATCTCCATATCTTCAAAGCCCCAATTCCATCCACTTTCCCTTAGTCGTCTCAAGACTTTGAAATACCGTCAAGAATCGACTTATAAGGCAAAAGTTTTCAATCAGAATACACATTACTCAAGCAGGATGCAAGCCTCATCAAGCAATCAAACAAGTTTACATCCAGAAGCTACGCCATGCCGGGTCGTCCGTATCAAACTCATAGCTGACCTACGGGCCATTTCACAATTCACTAGAAATTCTCTTCTGTCCACCTTTACACATCCCTCTGTATCTGCATTTCCGGGTCGTATCACATTGTGGTTATCTCATATGGATGACATTGATCAAAATCTCCAAAAATACGCCGAGTTAACATTACATCTCCAACCGGATCCTTCATCTAGCTCCACAAGACAAACTAATTCTTTCTTTCCAAACCAACCCAGCAACTCTACATCAGGCTCGGATAACATTCAGACTCCACAAACATCTGCTGATTTCTTGAAATTGGCCTTAGAAGGTTTACAAATCCCTCATGTTCCAGGTTCGACACCAACACAAGATCAGAGGATGAACTCTAGGATACAAGAAATATCCCGGAAATTAACAGTCTTGGATCAATTGGAAAGTCAGGGAGTCACACATGTGTGGGAAGAACAGTTAGGGAGATCAGAAACTGATTGGGTGGAACAGTATTGGCAACAGAGGAATGAGTTTGTGAATGAGGAAGTTTTGCGGGTGACAAATCCCATTGCCATGGGAGAAGAAGGAGAGGAAGTGTGGGGAGAAGAGGGAGGGGAGATAAGTTGGAGTGACTTTTTGCTGCAGCAGGGTAATGAACTAGATTATACAGATGGACAAATTTGGGAAGATTATCAGAATTCATTTCCCCAAAATCAGTTTGACGGTGTTGAGTAGGAGGAGGAGTATTATGGTAGATGATACATATTTTGGCTGTGGTCTCAATATTCTCAGACAAGGTCCAATGAGGAATGCCTTGGTAGATGTATATTGAGGGCCTGCATGAAAATGGACCGGGAAACACTTGGACCATGAACCGAAAGAAGGGACGCACCGAAGAACAACCTCATGTCAAGTCTCAGATTAAGTAGTGGGGTATGATTGGGAGAAAGACAATGATAGTTTCATTACCAGTAGCAATGTGTAGGAAGAGGGGGAGAGGGAGAGGAGAGGGAGAGGAGAGGGAGAGACAGTCAATAATGGAGGAGTGATCATAGAGAGAAAATCATATATGATCTCGGAAGTCAAACGAGGCAACACATTTGGAGTCTAGATGACCAACCTAGCTTTTATAGAATCAGTATTGTGACTCAACATGAAGAGAATGAAGAGACTAATGAATAAGCTGAAACCAAGGGGAGGTCTGTTGAGCAAAACGGACGAGAAAAGTAGAGAAGTGGGAGAATCTCAGTTGGAGTGTCAAGGATACTGCCCACCCTGGGACAGAGGACAAGGGACAAGGGGACAAGGACTAGGAGTGACAAGGAATATACTTAAGTTAACAAGACTGAGTCCAACAAGGAATGGGACTGTGACCCAAGGAATGTCTCTGGCTTGTCTTACAAGGTTAGAGGGAACTGGACTGGACTGGACTCCAAAAGGGTGGCAATGGAAATGACTTTTGATCAAGAACTAAAGAAGACTACAAAGTACAAGATAGGGTTTATATAGACAAATCAGCCTTTTCCAAGAGGCTCGTGCAGACCTGCGGAATGCGAGCGCTCTGAACCGTCCTGCACTGTCCTGCATGCATTGCCTTGCATCCCACCGATAACCACTGATATCCTACGATGCCATATCTGCGTTTACCTACGTCCTACTATGACATCCTATGGGATGCGCCGGAAGTCGCTTGACTTTGTCGAAGTTGGTCGATGAGGAACAATGAGGAACTATGAGGAACTATGCAGAACATAGAAGTGCTGCGAGAACAAGAGACTGAGAGATTATGCCTTAGCAGGCATTAGAACAGAGGGACTAGAGACTCGAGAATTACTGGGGACTTATGCCTTGCAGGCATGGGAGCTAAGCACCGACATACTAAAATGATACTTGGAGTTTATGCCTCACAGGCATGAGAGCAGAGGCGAAATGTTAAAACACGAAAGTGGAGGTTGAACTTGTTTTGCGCAACAAGGAACACGTGATGGTGTGATTCATGACATGGAGTGTGGTAGGTGATAGAAGACAGATACATATATGAGATGAACTGAACGTGAGAAAAAAGTGATCTTCCAATGGAAAAGTCTGAAGAGAGGGATGAGGGAGGATAGACAAGCTATGAAAAGCTATGAAAAGCTATGAAACCTTCTCACGAAAGGGGAAAAGTTCACACGGCTCCGGGGTAGCGGGGCGGCGTACGGCGTGGAGGGGGAGGGCAAGAATAGATGGTCCGTGCGGATCGGGCAGGAAGGGAAAACTCGAACCCAACTTCCCGCACAACACAAAATCTCTTCCCGCACAACATTTTGGGCGCCTAACCCATGGAAGAGGTCTTTTGACACGCCTAACTTCCTGATCACCCTTGTTCAATTAGTAAATATCCTCCCAACCACCCTGACCCCCTAACCTCCCTAACCCCCTAACCCCCTAAACCCCTAACCCCCTAACGGTAATCCATCAACATGGCCTCCACCTGATGGCGGAGGCCCAAGCTGTTTTGGAAGTTAGGCATGCCAACTCTATGCAGCTGGCTCATTAGGCGCCCAAAATGTTGTGCTGGAAGAGATTTTGTGTTGTGCGGGAAGTTGGGTTCGAAAACTCCGATTGAAAATTCATACAACTGTAGAGAAAATAAGTATTTATCTCTTAATACCCCCACTTTAGCTTTCTTGAGTCCCTCAATCACTTCCAGAATAAGAGCCTGAACATAAACTTTATCAATATTGTCTTCCCATGTCTTCACAACCACCAACAACTTCAAGTTCAATTCCAGATGATCCACTTTCATCCGAATCTCAATTTATACACTCGCAGGCCTCTGCTGACATTAGGACAGCTTCAGTTGACCCCAACAGAGCTACAGCTAGCGCTCCCCATGCTATCCAACAAAGTTCAGCAGGTATCACTGTCTCTTCAGCGCCTGGAGCTACCCAATACCTTTCCGGGACTGACCACTCTCATTACCCTCCTTCTCAAAGTTCTGCTAGGCAAGATCCCAACAGTGCAATGGTGATCAGACAGATTCCAAACATTGCAATAGGAGGCCAGACAGAAACATCTCACATCCCTCAGTGCTGGAGTGATGCTGATCCGGCAAACCGGCAAGCTTCTGTAGTCGGCGCCATAACCCTCCTAGTTATCTTTGCGCTCTCACTTTACGCAGTGGGTTCCCCCAATGAGTCTATCGTCCCTGAAACACCAGGTGATGGTGATGGTGATGGTAATGGTTATGTGTCAAATGTTGCTAGTTCATTTGGTAGGAATTAGGACCTAACAGAGTAGTGACAAGTCCTACGGCTTGGGGTTGGCACATACTGAGACTTCCAGCTTAAAAGATGCATAGATATATGTCACCGCCGTCTAACACTTCTCTCTAACAGGACTGACGGTGCGATGAATCTCGGCTAACTTGACGCTTCAAATCGATGTCTCACCCAACCAGGAGGGTGCAGATGTCGAAAGGAGTGTAACTACGGCGTACTTGGACGTAGTTACCTCAACTGGGGTTCTTCTCTGATGGCGATGTATCTTAATTTGTATGTAGCTTTCTCTATCAATCTTTCACTACTGACAACAATCAAGGATCGCTGAAGAACTTCAGCGATCTTTTCAGCTAATAGTATCCACCACTCCTAGATGTTCATCCAACCCATCCGCGCTTCGACGCTCTTCGGCCAACTTCCCCGAACCACCGAACACCCGATCCTCTATGTTTGCTGATAATTAGATGGTAATACAGAGGGGAAAAAGAGCATGCATCAATTCTACATGTCTCTATACTTATCACATTCCACTCATACGCATAAAACCAGAGACGACCGAATAAAGTTCAGAGGATAAGTTGAACGGAGAAATATTCGACGGAAGGGGTAATTCTAACGGCGGTTCGGCGGCCGTGGCCCGATTCTATCGGCTAACACTCTAACCTCGTCTAACTTCGCCGTACCTCTGCTTCCTCCATCCCTAGTCAACCTAACTTCGCCTAACCTCGTCGCACCTCGGTTCCCTTCACCCTTAACCTGTCTAACTTCGCCTAACTTCGTCGTGGTTGGTCTAAGATGTCCTAGGATACGTGTAAACCGAAGAGGTCGAGAATTGATGGAGGTTTGATGGTCAAAGGAGGGTCGTTGTTGGTGGGATTTAGGGGTGTCACGACGTAATTCGTGACAAGTCCCATAACCAGGTACCCGTGATCCTGACAAATCCTCGTGCTAGTAGGCACAATTGTAGGAGTGAGTTATGCCTCCAGACATTATGACAAGAGCAAGTACACTGTTGGCAACACACGGTCAGTAAGTAGCTGGTAACACCAATGATACATACTCAATGCAAGTACTACAGTATGTATATCCACAAGATGTCTGACTTTAACACTGTAAGATAAAGCCTGCTCCTGATTTAGTTGTTTAGATGCGGTCTAGACGTCCAAATTGTCAGCCGATAGAATTCGCCCCCAACGGCGGAACTGTCAGTTGGATCATTTCCCCTTTCATCTTCTGAGACTTATCCATTAGTATCTTGTTTGCTGCGTATGAGTGCAATATGATAAGTATAGAGACATGTATGTGACGTGACGCACGGAAGCCGTGATGCTCCAATTTCGTGTACCACGTGGAGCTGGCATTCCGATAACATACTGGTTTGCTGTGTGGGGTTTCGTTCTAGACAACTCAGTCGGAGTTCAAACGCCCGTAAAATCTGCGTGTTTCCCGGTGACGTCAACCCGACTCCATCGGATTCGAACCTCTTGGCACTTCCCACGGAACTCCTGAGTATCTCACCCGAAATATCAGACTTTATAAGCCATTGGTCTGGCACTCTCAATGATTACCTGGCTCTTGTTTGAGCGCAGAATTGGACAGATAAATCATTGAAACCCTGGGTCAGGTATGTCACTGTCATCCCTGCAGACATGGCTTTCTGTGGCCGTGACCAGACAGCCAACAGCTCTAGCATCAATTGGCAGCAACACTGAGATGACTAGTCTTCCTGGATCGTCGATTCAGCCAGAGTCTCAAGCCCATCATACTGGAGTTATCAGTCGATTTTGGTCATTAATGGATAGCTTCCAAACCAAAGTAGCAGAGGGGATGAATCAGATTGGAACGTCCTTGGCATCACGTTCAGCAATTCAATCAGGACAAAGATTGCCCGCAGTCTCAGGCATTGAATTAGAAAGGGCAACAAGGTTCTCTGTGTTTTCAAGTGTAGGGAAGACAGTGATAGCCGTTGCGGTCGGGGTGAGAGATCATTTCAGCATCAGAGATAGGGAACGGGGCATTGACTTCCCGACTACTACCAGAAGACGTAGCATGTCAACTGGCTCCATGAGCCAAAGCATGAATAGACGGGCAAGGACCGCCATTCTTGGACCAGATCCAAGGCCCACTACGACGGAAAGAGGGCGAAGACGAGAGATTCTCTGCGGGATTAGTATTGCCACGGCTTTGGTTCTCGGGGGATTGGCATACCTTACCGTGAAGAACATACTGGACCCTACGCACACTCTACTTGAAGGTCCAGGAAATCTTGCTGATCCTCAGAAGAGTCAGCCGGACCTACAGTAGATCATCTAGGCCTGGTGACCTGAGGGGTGCGTGTTGAGCCATTGCCTGTCCATTACGGAACAAACACCCAAGGATTCAGTTTGCATGATGACAGGTTGGCATGCATACTGGATAATCCCATCATGTATCTGTACCGCTGGGTTTTGCTGACTCAAGTGTCAATGGAGATCAATGTCAACAGACGCCGTGCGTGAGGACACGGACCAACGTCCTGTTGGGTCGGATCTGATAACGTTCTCCCTCTACTTACGGATCTACGGGGCTTTGATACGCCGAAACAGAGTCAATTGAGTACGTAGTGCATTCCTAGCCGAGCGTACAGTATCATAGCATTCCTTGTCTGGTTCTGGACCAGCTTCCCATCCGCGTTGATCGGACGTTACGTCACCTACCTGCTTGGATCTCCCCGACAAGACACTCCCTTTTCCTTCTAGAATAGTATTTCAACCCTCAGTCAGAGCTAGGTTCCTTCTTCTTGAGTTCTTGATTTCTACAGGATTCCTCTTATCCGTCTAGCTTAGCACTGTGGTTCTTATTTGGAACTGAGTCAAAGTCATAACATGACCTCCGCTGAGCGGTCAACCATCCATCGCACGTCTCTTAATCCGTTTAGTGACCCTAGTGAAGTTGGAATTGTAGATTCAGGCGGACACTACCACATGTCCAGCTTGTCACCAGAGCTAACAAGCACTCCAGGGGGCACCGAGGAGTCGCCTCCAGGCTGTGACCCACTTGCAAGGAGTGATTCTCCAAATTCCCGTTCAAGTATATATGTGAGGCGAGTACAAGCTTGTTAGCCGATAGAATCGGGCCACGGCCGCCGAACCGCCGTTAGAATTACCCCTTCCGTCGAATATTTCTCCGTTCAACTTATCCTCTGAACTTTATTCGATCGTCTCTGGTTTTATGCGTATGAGTGGAATGTGATAAGTATAGAGACATGTGGAATTGATGCATGCTCTTTTTCCCCTCTGTATTACCATCTAATTATCAGCAAACAGATTAACAGTCGGAAGTCCACATACCTCTGTGTATAACTAAGGCAAGTTCCCATCTCTACTCTCCTCATAATGACCTCTGTGTCGTCTAAGGTCTCTCTTGAGAACCACCCAAAGTTATCCCACGATCCAGCATCGTATGCTCCGTGGAGGAAGTCGATCGAGGTGTATCTACAGATAGGTGACGTGTGGAATATCGTCACAGGTAATGATACCGAACCTGGTCGCGTAGGGGTTAGATCGGCAGCTGAGAGGGCGGGATCAGTACCTCCTACCACGCCCGTCGAAGGGCAAGTGGTTGGTAGAAGGATTACTGGAGAAGAGTGGAAGGAATGGGAAAAGTGGCAAGCGAGGGAGAATAAAGCGCAGGGGATGATCAAGGGAACAGTGTCGGACGCTGTGATGCTTGATATATCTGAGAAGATGTCAGCTAAAGAAATGTGGGATTACTGCGTAGCCCTGCATGTGACAGCGATGATCGAGAATCAAAGGAATGTCCGTCAAGCGTTGTTTAGCTATGACTTAAGGGACGATGCGACGGCCAAAGAAATGGCTAAGCATGTAGTGGATTTCTCGAAGACGATGTCCGAAGCAAGATTGGTAGGGTTGAAGTTTGACTCACAGGAACGAGCTGGGTTATTCCTCAATACCATTCTAGCACCATCCTACAGGATCATCCAGATCGAAGTAACATCCCTCGTAGCAGAGGAGAGAACTTGGGAAAAGGTCTTATCGATCTTCAATAAAGAAACGGCGAGACGTAAAGCGCGCCCTGTTGGTAGAACCAATAGGAAGGGATTCGCGATGTTCATCGAAGGAAATAAAGGAATGAGGGTGAACCGAGATAATATCTCTGATGGTCAGCCCAGGAAAGAAACCAGAAAGTGTTATAACTGTGACACTGTAGGACATCTAGCGAAAGACTGTCGTAAACCTAAAAGAGAGGATACGAACAGGAAAGAAAATGCAGATGTAAAGGATGGAGGTAAAGAGAAATGGAGGAATAATAATAAGAATAATAAGAAAGGACGTACAGTCTCGAAGGATGAGAACCAGTCCAAGGATAACTCCAAAACCTCCTTGATGTATTCGTCATTGGATGGTGAACATGAGGCGTGGGCCGGGATGGCCATGTCGACAGCATCATGGTTCGATGATGACGAAGGGTACACGAGTAACATCGTGTGGCCCGAAGAAATTGAAAACCCGTGGGTCGAGGATAAGGATAATGAGTGGGTGGGATTAGCTACAGAGTCTAATGATGTAAGCCACACTCGTGTAATCCCCACCTGGGTAGTGGACAGTGGTGCTACTCACCACATAACTCCTCATAGGTCGATAATGACGAATATTAAAAGACTAGTGGAACCGAGAGTGTTCGGACTAGCATCTGGCAAGTCAATGACGGCTTGGGAAACAGGTGACATTAACCTTGAACTAGATTCAGGACAGAAAATGGTACTGAAAGATGTACATCACGTTCCCACAGCGAAGATAAGTCTTCTCTCCCTTTCGAAGTTACTCTCATGGGGATGGAAGGCGAATCTAAGCAGCGGTGGTGGATGGATAGGTAAAGGTAAAGAGAAACTAGGTTTGAGGAAACATGACTCACTGTGGTCGGTACGATTCGGCAGAGCAATGTCTGCCGCGATGATCGTGATATCGACACCGAAGGCGACTTCACCACTAGAATCTGAGCATCAGCGACTCGGACATATAGGTGTAGATAAACTAAAGAATCTAGGTAGACAGGGACTATTGAAGAAGGACTGGGACACTTACAAGAACGATCCCTTTACGACTGATAAATGTCCCGCCTGTATGCAGGCCAAGATAACACGTCTACCGAAGAATAAAGAAGCACCAATGTTAAAAGGAGATGGTGAAGGAGTAGGAATGGATGTCGATATTGCTGGCCCGTTCGGTCCGGCGATAAAAGGTGAACGATATTTCTTCGTTGGTGTGGAAAGGGCGAGTCGAATTGTATTCGCGATACCAATAATGACAAAGAACGAAGCGTCTGATATCGTTCGACAGTGTATATCGAAATTAGAGAAACAGCTTGGTGAAAGGGTGAGGGTGATTAGGTCTGATGGGGGAGGTGAATTCGATAGTCTTGATATGAGGGAATTCTACCTGTCAGCAGGGATCAACCACTACATCACACCAAGATACACACCGGAATTAAATGGAGTGGCGGAGAGAATGATACGTACCTTGAAGGGGATGGTATCAACGATGTTATTCGACTCAGGACTACCAAACGAGTATTGGTCCTATGCTGTCAGATACGCCGCCATTATAATCATGAAAACATCGATTGGTGTTACTGGAAAGTCAGGGTGGACATCACTCACAGGAAGAGACACCAATCTAGATAGCGTGTGGAGGTTCGGTGAACGATGTTTCGTTCAGATACCAAGGGAGATAAGGCTGAAGTCGAACTTCACGATACCTAGGGGGTCGTCAGCCATTATACTAGGTCAGGATGAGGGTGTGAGCGGTTGGATCGTTAGAATGGACGGATCGGGACGAATCGAACACTCACGAGACCTTCGTCGCTCGACAGGACGAATGGTGACGACTAGAGAGTCGCCAGATGTCATCCAAACCCCTCTTGACGCCATCGAAGTGGAACTAGACCCCGTCGTCAACAAAGAAATTTTCCCTGACGACCGCTCAGAAAGTGGCGAACAGGAAAATATCAATAATGAACAAGGAAATGATGTCGACAGAGACAACTCACCTAATACAGGTCCACAACCCACTGAAAGACGACGTGGACAGGGCATTTGGGGAGGAAATTGGATCTATGAGAACGATATCGTTGAAAATGAGAGAAATGATGAGGAAGGAAGAAATGATGGGGATGAGGGGATCCTGACGACTCGTCACGGACGAATTATTCGACCCCCCCATCGTTTCGCAGGCCTAACAGACTCGTTTCTGGAGTTCGGTCGCGAGCCTAATAGGTTAGTCGCACTCGCCCCTATCGCAGGTATCGAAAGTGACACTTCTCTCATTGATCCTGTCTCTCCTGAAGAAGCAGTAAACGGCCCAGATGGTGAAAAATGGCCGGAATCCATGGAGAAAGAGATATCTAACATCGAATCTAAAGAAACATGGGTGGAAACAGTACTTCCACCGGGTCGTAAAGCCATAGGCTGTAAATGGGTATTCAAAGTGAAGACAGATTCAGAAGGAAACCTACTAAAGTATAAATCCAGACTAGTAGCTCAAGGATTCTCACAGGTACCAGGTGTCGATTACGAAGAGACATTCGCACCTGTCGGTAGATCGGGGTCATTACGGATACTCTTGACTATAGCGGCCACCGAAGATCTCGAAATTCATCAGGCCGATGTCGAAGGGGCGTATTTAAACGGTAAACTCGATGTCGAAATTTATATGAAGTATCCCAAGGGGATAAAACCGAAACCTGGATGTAATACCTTGAAGTTAGTCAAGTTGTCACGAACTACGTCGTGACACCTCGATTATTCCACCAACAATGACCCTCCTTTGACCATCAAAACCCCCATCACGCCTTAACCTTTTTACTCTACACGTAACTCAGGACATCTGAGACCAAGTACGACGAAGTTAGACGGAGTTAGGCTAGGTAGGGACAATGGGAGCAGAAGTACGGCGAAGTTAGACGGAGTTAGGCTAGGTAGGGACAACGGGAGCAGAAGTACGGCGAAGTTAGACGGAGTTAGGCTAGGTAGGGACAATGGAAGCAGAAGTGCGGCGATGTTAGGCGGAGTTAGTCGAAGGAGGAAGAGGATGGCCGAGGACTCGGGGAAGTTGGACGAAGTGCGTTGAAGTACGTCAAAGCGCGAGAGGGTTGGATGAACGTCTAGGAGGAATAGATAATATTGACTGCGAAGATCGCTGAAGTTCTTCAGCGATCCTTGATTGTTGTCAGTAGTGAAAGTCAGATAGAGATAGCTATATACAATCGAGATACATCGCCATCAGTAGAACAAAATCCCAGTTAGAGTAACTACGCCGAAGTACGCCGTAGTTACACTCCTTTCGACGTCTGCACCCTCCTGGTTGGGTGAGACATCGAATTAGGACCACCAAGTTAGCCGAGGTTCGTCGACCGTCGGTCTATTGGAAAGAAGTTATTCGACGCCCGTGACACAAGTCTCTTTACGGTTTAAAGCAATCTGGTAGAACATGGTGGATTAAACTCGGGGAAGGATTATCTCACCTAGGTTTTTCAAGAATCGAGTCAGATTGGGGTCTTTACTACAGACCAGAAGGGAAAATCGAAGGAAAGGGAGCAGCAATACTGCTAGCCTATGTCGATGATCTGGTGTTAGCCACGAAATCGAAGGAAGAAGCAAAGGAAATTTTCGATGGGCTAGGAAAAAGGTGGATAATAACCGACCTGGGGGAGATAAGTACTATCTTAGGTATGAAGGTAACAAGGAACAGAGAAGAAAAGACAATATGGTTAAACCAACCAGCGTATATCGATAAGATAGTTCAGAAGTTTCCAGAAAACGACTTACATCGAGATCGAAAAACACCGTTACCTCTTACTGCGAAAAATCCTTCGATGTCGGAGGTGGAAAGTGAAATTCGACCATTTCAAGAATTAATAGGATGTCTACAGTGGTTAGCCACATGTACTCGACCCGACATATCATATGCAGCTTCATACCTTGCTAGGTACCTCACCAAACCGACGAAGAAAGTATGGGAAGAAGGGATAATGGTAATTACCTACCTTCGGTCCACTCGTTTACATGGTATTCGTCTCGGTGGCGAGGCTAGCGATCTAGCAGGATGGGTTGATGCCGATTGGGCAGGTTGTAAAGACACACGACGATCAACTACAGGCTGGATATTCATGATGAACAACTCACCGATAACCTGGAGTTCAAAAAGACAAGCTACGGTATCGTCGTCGACAGTCGAAGCAGAATACATCGCGATGGCTGAAGCAGCGAAGGAGGATCAGTGGTTGAGAGGATTACTGAGGGAGTTAGGCTACGATCAGCTAAATCCTACTATATTAAATTGTGATAACCAAGGATCGATATCACTAGCGAGAAAACCTGGTACTCACCAGAGGACAAAACATATCGATATTCGACATCATGCTCTTCGAGATCTAGTCAGTAATAAAGTTATTGAACTAGAATACGTCAGCACTGTCTATCAGAGAGCAGATGTACTTACAAAAGCCTTAGGTGGACCAGTACATTCGGTGAATATGTCAGCGATACGTGTAGAACCACCGAAGAAGAAAAACATTGGTTCAGTATACGTGACATTAGATGATGATGAAATCATCGATTACGATTATTCTGACTTTGAGGATCTAGGAGATCTGTCAGGTGGTACAGAGAAAGAAGTAGTACCAGAAAGAGAAGTGTGGGTGGAAGGAACTTCAGAGAAACCCACCGAAGGTACCACCAAAGGTACCACCAAAGGAAAAGTTCTCGTGAGCCAAAATGTAAAATTTTCAGGTGTACCTAAGAATGTGAGTAATTCGAAAATAGGTCAGAAACCACCGGTAGAGCCTAGAGTCATTAGAGAAATGAAAGAGAAGAGTAAGAAAAGGGATAAGATGATACATAGAGGAGGCCCTACTCAACCTCCATCGTCAAATCCACGAAAGCAGGGAATCTTGGCTGGTAACCAGCGACTTTATAACCACCCAGGACAGCTTCGATCTTTTCGTGGAGAGAATCGACAGTATCAACGATCTCCTGTACCCTCGCATGAGTACCACCACCTTCCAAAAGAGCGTTCCCTAGCAAAAGGAAATGTTTATCGAGGTTCGATTTCAAAATCCCCAGTTCGAATTGTACCTTCTGAGAAAGATCTCAAACTCAATAAAGCTCACATTATGACAGACAGACTTACAGTCGGGAGGATTGCTGGGGAGCAACCTGAGAGCAGGACAATCAGATGGTCCAGGAACCGAAGGAGTAGCGACAGTCGCGAAAACGGCGGGAGAAACTTGGGACATGATGTGTTTGCTACTAATGATAGATATCGTCAGCCAGGTACTCGAAGGAATTTCATCGATTCTCGGGATCCTACTAGCAAACCTGAAGTTTTAAGAAGCAGATAGGATAAAGGGAAGTTCAGAGAGTTAGAAATGAGAGATAGAAGTGAAGAAAGACGAAAGGTGGACATACCGTTAATTGGAGGTAAAAGTGATGAAGTAAAAGGAAAGATAGAGAAGAGTCAGTCGTCGGTAGCGGTGAGTGGTAGCCACGTGTCAGAGCGGAGCCCCGCGGGGGGCCCCACAGAAATTCATTTCACGATTTCACCTACCACTACTACCACACACATAACACTCAATATTTCATCATTACTACCTTCTACACCATCACAAACCTCGCCGTCGCCATCGATAAATCGTCCGGGACTACTGCAGAGTCGTGCATTGTCCCGTGGGGGAGTGTTAGCCGATAGAATTGGGCCAGGGCGGCCGAACCGCCGTTAGAATTACCCCTTCCGTCGAATATTTCTCCGTTCAACTTATCCTCTGAACTTTATTCGATCGTCTCTGGTTTTATGCGTATGAGTGGAATGTGATAAGTATAGAGACATGTAGAATTGATGCATGCCCTTTTTCCCCTCTGTATTACCATCTAATTATCAGCAAACAAAGCTGAGGAATGGGCAAAGGATATTCTACACAGGCTGTTGCACCCAGCATTGACACACACATTTGTGTTTGGTGCAGGAGCATTAGTAGGTGTACTTTCCACACAAGCTGTGCTCAATAGCTTGTGGACCAGTTACATAAAGTCACTTCCATGCCCACAGGAACTTTCAAAGAGTCATGCTGGCACAATAGACTGAAGTAGTTGACTCTGTAATTTGTATAGTCCATATGAAATGAGGAATGCATGAGAGTGAGAGACGAGTCATTGCCTAGGGTGAGAAAACCGCACTTCCTCTATCTACTACTTATCTTATATTCTGTCAGCCCCAAAAGCCATGACTCCCTCTCAACTGTGTGGCAGTATTACCCACATAGATAGCGTCTCCACCCTGCACTGCTTGGTGAGCCGGGAGGATACTCCGCGTCGTCCGTACTCCGACGAGTTCCTCCCGCACCCTCTTCTGGATTGGCCACCCAAACCCTCCCCCTTCTTCTTCTTCTTCTCCTTCTTCTTCTCCTCCTCCTCCTTCTTCTTCTTGTTGGACACATCTTTTCGCTCATAATCCTCTCACTGGTTTCTTGAGTTCAGACATGAGTGGACTTGGCAATCAAACCCATCCGCACTTGTTCCAAGTGATATAACTGGTGGGGTGGGTCCAGGATCAGACTTCGGTGGCGCAACAAGCGCTAATGATGAAGGACCTTTTCGGCAGGGACTTCCAACAGCAAGTCCAGTGGAGCCATGGGACATTACTCACTCACGTCCCGGTCCACTCAGCACACTCTTGGCCCAAGTCACTGATCGACGTCACTGGACTAACATATACAACACTTATCTTACTGGTCATCAGAGCCGTCAAGCAATAGATACTCATATACCGCTCACCGCTGTGACAGGAATTGGGCCAACCTCAGCCACCGAGACCGACCGTGCTCAAGACCAAGTGGAAGACTGGTGTTCGCGAAGGTTAAGGTTGCAGCGTTATCAACAAGAGCATTGTCGCCTCTGCATCATTGGCTCTTTAGTCATCATAGCTCTTACTATTAGTACTTTTGTGCTTGCTGACAAACATGTTGAATTGAAATCACAGGCGCAGGATACAGCAACATAGTATCAATGGGATGCTAGGGATAATCCCTTTTCTTCTCATGAGCAGGGTTTGTACAGCATTGAGATAGTGGCATGCACAGTGATTGGGAGGTCACAGTAACCTGTAGAACATTTAATATGCCTCTAGCTTAAGTAGCCTCACGGAGCCAGCGTTGAATTTCCCCCACCTCCATTTCCTGATGGCCTGCTCCCAGTGACAATACAGGAGAGCCCGTACCCGATCCCTGTCAGAAGACCCCCGGCTACAATGACTGCTGGTGTAGTGATAACCACAGTACCACATCCATCCGACGTGCAGCATTCAACTACACCATATACAGCATTCCTCGAGACGTTTGACATTTTCTCGGTTGTTGCTTGAGCTGCAGATTTACAGGCGTCTGATAGGTCACGGGCGGTCCTCGATAGGCTCGATCTCATGTTGGAAAGCCTTTGGTTGGTGGTTGGGGTGGTTGTCATATCAACAACATCATATGCCTTCTCATTGGTCTCTTGAGTGTATAGCGAAGTGGAGGCTGATCGGTGATTGAACATCGTCTCTTCGTATTCGAGACATGGGTTGACACTGGCGTTCTTGTCGAGGGAGGCAGCCGGGTAAGCGATTTCTTCGCGAGGTTCAGCAGCTACCCCGAGGCTCTTATTGTCCTGAGTAGACATGAGGAGTAGAATGAGTGGAACTTAGAGTATCTGTATAATGTATATTGTTTTGGAGGTGTGAGGATATGAAGTAGAACGGGGAGGCCAGAGAGAAAACTGCATGAGAGATATTCACTTCGACACACTTTGCTCAAGCTCCGAAGTTGCACGCATGATCACACCATGTTTCTTCTTTTGTGTCCATTCCTTTGAAAAAGTAGCACGACACAACTGCCAGTGTGACACATGTATCATCAACCCCTGTTCAAGATTATACTGTATCATACAGCGGAGGACAAAAGAGCCGACGCTCCAGAGCTCAGAAGGTGGTCATCATTTGTGATTGAGAAAGACTGACCAAAAGTTTGATGAAGACCTTTGAAACACTCATTCCAAATGTCGCTTTCAAAAGTTTACGTCACACCTTGAAGAATTTTGCTGATGATATGGGATTATCAGGTACAACTTGCTATTACATCAGTCTCGCCTGGTTGTATGTTCCAGACTTACTTCCTCTCATCACTTGTCTCTCTGATTGCCCGTTCTTCGACTATTTTCGCACTCACGTTTCCCCTCTTGCTACCCTTGCTACCCTTGCTCCCCTCCCTCTTCGACCTGTCCAATTTCTGTAGTCCGCTGTGAGGGCAGCACCACATAGATCTGCCCATTGAAATGAGTAACTTGGAACACTCACAGAGCAGTGCGTGAGGATCGGTCCCGCAAACGTTCCCTACCTGCCGGGATGCGTGAGTGTGACAAGATAAAAGGCAGGGTGCTTGACAGTGGGCAGGAAGTCGATGATCCGCTTATCACCTATCATACACATTCACTCTTCTCCATTCTTTGACTTCCAACGGAGACAGAAAAGATTATGTGATGTGCTGTGACAAGGCGTGTGACACTTCCCCGAACATCGTATAAGGTTGTCGTTGCAAAGGCATTGGAGGCACGAGCGTGGAATTCGGTTTCTGTTTTCCAGGTATTGACATAGTTACATAACACTCTTGAGGTCTGGTGAGTAGTAGATTAGTGTCAGGCAGGGTCCGAGTCCGGTGGAATATGGTACATGATCTTTGTTACATACGGCAAGAGACGTGAATCGATGACTGCATTTCGGTACGAGGACCAATCTAGGTGGATCCTAATCTGCCGTTTGGTCAATTCCTGCTGGTCTGTCAGCTTTGAAGTACTACCGGACAAACGCTCACTCACCATCTTGTTGATTCAGTCACGAGCTCTTCAAATTTGTCCGCGACCTGCGCCCATTCAGCGTCCGTGGGCACTGTGGGAGATCCTGTTCCCTGCCATTTCTGTGTAGCCATGATCAAGGCCCATGTGTATCGCGGGTTGATCAAGAAATCTGTGCAGTGCCAGAATGTCGGAATCATGCTGCTTCGCCCAGTTCGGTCTCCTCCCGCCCATTTTTGACCGATACTACCCTCCTCGGGCGATACCCACCCCCACGTCCCACCTCTCCTGATAGCTGCTGCGCACAGAAGACTACTATAAAACTCGGCTCCAATCAAAAAGATGTCATATGGGTGGATTTTGCCATCGTGGTACATGCGGATGGCAAGGCTGGAGAGCACCCTTTGACTGAAGTTAGGGCTGTCCCACTTTCTAGCAAATTTGAGGCTCTTGCGGGCTTTGTCGACGTCTGCACCATGAGAACTGGCAAGATAGCCCGTAATGTGGTCGAGGAAGAGTGTGACGATATCAGCCGTTTCATTGTTCTTGTCATCAAACTCGATGTGATACGTTTCGGGAGCTTCTGGATCTTGTGTCATTGCCTCTCGTAAGACGGTGCTGTGTCATCAGCCAGTGTCATGCAATTCATGCACCAAAACTCACCTGGCCGACTGCACATGATAAATTTGTATCTTGAAGATGACACGGTCACTCGAGATCAGAACGCAATCGCCTTCGGTGTACCGCTCGTGAGGTCGATCTTCCTGAGAATGAAATCAGCAACGATCCGCTCATTTTCCCGGTGTCACGCAGAGGGACTTCATCGAACGGAGTAGATATGGAGTCTTAGCTTACTACTGGCTCGTCAGGCTCGCCGGACTGGGTAGTGGATCCATCCTTCTCCTTTGTCGCCGCGGCATCCTATCGCGTCAGCCAATATACGTTTCCAACGATTTTCTCACCGTCGCAATGCTCTCTGCCAGATCAGACATAGTTGTAAGGTTTTCTCCGATGAATTTATCCAGGGCTTTTGATTTGCTCGACTTTGTAGAGGAGCTGAGGTTTATCTGCGATTTGAAAAGTAGTGAGAACAATGAGTAAGTGATGGTCAGGGTCGACGTGCTTGAATATTGATGAAAGAGGTGTCCACGTTCCGGACATCGGCATTTCCATGTGGAGTGTGCGTCTTCGCTTAGCGTCACGATGAAGTTGAGAGGCCTGCTGATATTCTTGGATAGACGTCTTGGACAGACAGAAGCAAGGAACACCAGCAAGCGACCGTGTAGGTCATACGTTATGTTTATCGCCTTTCTGAAAGTCAACTTCCTGTAGTGATGATCATTTTCACTTACTGATGACCATTTTGGGTAGGGTCAATTACACTGGGCCTGTATTTTCCATACTATAATTATTCCCTTCTGTCTGCGAGCATATGTTGAGTGGCAATCTTATTCTCGATTCTTATGCACAAACACACATTGTGAGGGGACTTCTAGGGTTCAACACTTCCGCTTCGAATGACGGTCGAACAGAGATAAATGACATTATACCAGTCAGAGATTGGTTTAGCTGTAAGTACATATCTGCCGCAGCGCGCGAAGATCGGGGATTATGCACCTGGTAGCCATGCGATGGTGAATGCTCATCTCTTTCCTCTTTACTCGAACCCGCACTAGTCGTTTTAGGTGCAAGACCGACTTGAACGGCCAGCCAGTCCCATAGCGACACATGTGAAATTCGGCACTCACTTTACATTTTCCCCTCCACCAATTCTCGGAACCGTTTGGCAATGTGTATCCACTCCGCGTCAGTGGGGTATTCCACAGCGCCCGTCCCCTGCCACTTCTGTGTGGCCATGATGACGGCCCAAGAATAGCGAGGGTTGATGAGGAAGTCCTCGGAGTCCCAGAAAGTAGGAATCATACAGCTTCGACCATCCCTTATTCCCCCTGGCCACTTACTGGTGGAATCCTCACTCTTGACCCATAACCGTTGCCGTGCATTTCGCAAAGCCGCTTCGCATACACGAAGAGAATCAAACTCGGCACCGATGAGGAACGCAATGTGTCGACTCAGTTTACGGTCGTAGAAAATACGTAAAGCTAGGTCGGACAGAATACCCTGCATGATAGTGGCGCAATCCCATTTCCGAGCAAATTTGAGACATTGGTGCGTTGTGCCGATATCGTCGTAGTTCTTGCTGTCCTCTTGACCTCCTGTCAAGTAATTCAAGCAAATTTCAATTATGGACGCATTCTCGAGGTCTTCATCATCGAACTCGATACGGAAGGTGTCTGTTTCATCGGGATCGTTAACCATCGCTTCTCGAAGCACCGCACTGCTGAAATCAGTTGTGAACTAGCAGCTCTGATGTTGGCGTCTTCTAAACCACGCTCTCACCTAGCAGATTGCACATGATATTCTGGTAGTTTGAAGATGTATCCGTCACTCGAGATGAGTGAACAGTTACCATTGATGTACCGATCGTGGAGCTTGTTCTGGGGCGGATCCTCCTGCACAAGTAAGCATCATCCTCGGAAGTTGGAAGTGGAATAGCTTCTCTCACCTTGGCCATTGATTCATCTACTGCTATTCTTTTTGCAGTCTCCTCGGCCTCGACCATGACTTGGTCCTCCTACTCAATTACTGTAGTACTCGCGGGGTGTAGAGGCGGCCTCACCTCAGATGCACTACCAACGACTTCCATGTCGGACATGTGTGGGGTCCGTCCGAGTTACGAATTTCGTTATGAATGGCCGGTAGTCTGTTATCTGATCGTGAATGCCGTGAAGATAAGATTGTTGCACTGAGTACGACCAGCATACGTCAGTCGTTGTCGTACTAGGTAGAAGAATAAATACTAAGTAAGTCATGTAGATCCAACTTTGATCGGATCGTCCTGTTCCTCGACCATGTGATCGGCAATTGCTTCCGCTCATGGTCCAGCTTGAGACGATAATGAATCAGTAAGTTGACTTTGTACTTGCATGGTCGATCAGGTGTACGTTACTAAGAATCGTTCTCTTACTACACTAATCGATACGAAGTATGATTGTTCTCAAGTACTCCTAGGTCTCGTAGAGAACTGTTGTACCTCTCCCAAGCTCAAGGTGTGCTCGATCATACGATGGTTTCTCCCACTCTGTCATGTCCCAGATCCAATGTTCCTCTCATCATTGCCGTAAGTAGGTTTCTACGTAAGTGCGAAGAGGTACTGGTCTCAACGTGTTTCCCTTTCGCTCCTCTTTCTACCATCATTTTGTCTCTTGAACAGTTGTCTTTCTCGGTCATGTCTTCAATCAAAAAACGTAAAAGTGCAGCCAGCTCCAACTCCCTCCCAGCCAAAAAAACCAACCAATCGACCAAGGACGATAGCTGGAAGCAGGTGGGCCTAGCGTATCATGGAAATAAGACGTGATAGAGCTGACATCCAGTACAAAGTCCACGACAAGTTTACCGAAGGCGATTGTAAGGTTGTCTCCAGCGACAAGATCGTCTTTTGTGTACAACGATATTATCTCCAAGCTTCCAGGTTAGTTCTCCTGATTCTCTCACCCTTATCATGACAGTTTCAGTTTACGCTACGCCGTCTTAGTTGAAGTACCGCTTTAGATTGAATATCCACAAGAAATGTCCCTGGCCCTTCGGCGGTGAGATGACGAGTGAGAGCGTCGTGAATACTACTGCTCACTTCAAAGCGCCATCCTCCGCACCGCCCTTGAACTATCGAGGGATGACACCGAAGATATCGTGTTCGTGATGGACGATACCGAAATCGAAGGATCAACAATCATTGAACGATATTTCCAATCCTTCCTCGGGATCAGCACCTCATTCACATCCAGCGACCATGATAAGGTGCATTCATGTTTACGGTTCGCTCGCAAGTGGGACTGCGCTCCTTTTTCCTCTCAAATCTTTAATTCTTTAAAATCTTCGATGGTGGGACCCCGGCCACCTCATATCGACCCTCAACAGATCTTTTTCATGGGAGCCGAACTCGATGACGCAGATTTATGTGCAGCCGCAATCAGGTGCCCCTGGCATCAACCACTCGAGCCCAATGCACCCGAGTCGGACTGGAAGGCGGATCACTTTGCACTATTCTCCACAGGTTGGGATTACGATGTCTTCATGAGGTATCCTAAATATTCTTGGGCGCTTATGGCTGCTGTTAGGACATATCAAAGAAGCAATTACCTTGATGAACATCCAAAAGACAAGGATTGGCAAATGATGGCCCAACAATTCTTACTTGCTCTGGAATTCGGTCGGGTAAGTGTCTTTGAATTCATGATAATCGATCCATGCTTATACTATATTTTTTACAGCAATCATAAACCCCTAACTACCTTTGTCATACGATCAGAAGTAGAAACAACAGGAACGATAACACATGGCGAGATGCATGATTTTGAACGATCAGGCATATGTGATACGGGTGGTCAGTGTCGCCGGTCATGATTGCGGGAGAATCTTGAATCATTATTGCGACAAGTCTTGTAGGTCTTTAGAGAGGCATGATGATTCACCAGGGATGTACTTGAAGGACTAGACTATCTGACTTTATGGGCAGTTCTTGAATAAAACAATCAATATTCATACCGGACACACTCCTCGGGACTCCAGGTCTTTCGAGATCCACGATAGCGGTGAACTCTCGTCAGCCGAAATTCCGTTGACCCGTTGATATTTTATCTGAGCCGACCATATCTTGTACATGAGTAGTCAGATCGGGTCCCAAGTCATACAGGTGCCCAACTAGTGTCTGGCGCTGACAGGGGCATCTTTGGTAATGATACTGTCATAAGCATAAGAGAGTGGATATCCAACACGTGTCTACGCGTCTCATTTTATAGACGCGTCTAGGAAGGAAGGGTGAATTAATCATTGACTTAGTTACCATCAATATTGATGATTCTTTCGAATACAACTCTTCTCTGACCAAAGTATCAAGTCGATACTCATTATCCACTCTCATGGCCAAACCCAAGCGTCCTTCCGAAACAATGACCACTTGGACCGGTCAACAACGACCAAGTGTTGAGGCAGATCCCAGACCGAGTAAGAAGCTAAAGCAGGAGGATTGGAAAGATGTTAGTATTGTTTCCACCGAGTGTCGAAGAAATATTAATGGTTGGAATGGACTGACGAATCAGTATGAAGTTCACGAACGTTATAACAAAGGCGATTGTGTGCTCGTCTCCAGTGACAAGATTGTATTTCGTGTTGAAAAATATCATCTCCAGTCCGCCAGGTGAGTTTCACAACTACTTCCACGATCGACTTTCTCTTTTGCTAGCAAACTACTACAATAGAGATAAGTACAACTACTTACTCATGAATGAATTACGTTAACCACCATAACTGACTATCAGCTCTGTGCTTCGTACCTCTCTTGCATCATCCGATTCAAAATCCAACGAGAGCGTGATTCAGATGAAGGATCCGAACATCGAAAATTCTCGCGTCCTTGAACGTATTCTTCAATATCTACATGGAGATCCGGTTCATGTTTCATGGCAAGATTTCTGCTTGGTATTTTATGGTTCATGTTTGAGCTTTATCTGCAAATGGGATTGTCGAAACTTGCTCAACCATATCCTATCGGATCTAACAGTGATCGCCTCGAGTCCGGATTACTGTTACGACCCTATGGACATGTTCAACATCGGAGCGAATTTCAATAATGTTCCATTATGCACGACCGTGGTAAGAAATCATCACTTCACTTTTGTGGTGGATGAGATTCTCGATAGCTGTAGTAGCCCGGGGTTCAAGAGGACTGAAAAGGGACCCCTTTTTTCAGCTTATTGGGAGGAAGAAGAGTTCTTTCGACATCCTCGATACTCATGGGCGTTGATGGTTGCTACTCGAGATTATGAGTCGGATATGAATGCTGAGGATTATCCGGACGCTGAGGCTTGGGGGGATATCGCTGATAACTTTGAGAAGATTATTCTTAATGATCCCCCGGTCAATTCTGATTGACTTTCAATGTGATAACTTGTGTCTTTCAATTTCCCCGGGAAACGCAAAAGCATAGTGTATAATTTGTGAGAGGGCAGTTAATGGACCATGTAGTGAAGTATCCACATGCCAAGTGAACACAGTAGTCAATCATACGATTGATCCAACCTCTCATAAATCGAACACCCATAGTGTAGTTGTCCTCTTTAGCCCGTCCACATCGCCACGTGAGCGCATAAGGTAATCCAAACTGTTCGATAGTGTACGACGAGTACGATTACGATGATAGTAAGAATCGCATCGAAGACTACGGATGGTATCGTATCTATAAACAGTTTCGAGTCGTAGTTACTAGTTATGTGGCATTACTTATCAACACTCCCCCTAATGACACTAACTCCAATCAATAGACAAACTAACATGTTCTAAACCAACTAATGAGATCGTATCGTAACCAATGGGATCCGTATCGCAGACCTGGACGTACGGGATGAAAAGGCATGAATCACGAGCAAACCAGGAAATCTCGTGTGCACAGTACGAAGTGTTCGGTACGACGCTCTATGCGTCGTACGATTCGAGCGATGTCGAGTTCGAATCATGTAGATCGTGATCCGAATTGACAAGATAAGTGTGGGAGATGAGAAGGGATATAGAGTATGGTGTCGAATTGTGTACGAGCCGAACTCGAAGACAGTTCTTTTTGTGCGGTTCTCTTGGTAGGATCTTTGTAAGGAAATCCGCGTCTTGCAATTCGGATTGTACGTATTCGAGTTTCAATTCACCATTGTATATCTTCTCACGAATGTAATGATGTCGTACGTCTATATGCTTCGATCGAGCATGCGTACCAGGATTGTGTGCGAGTCGTATCGCACTTTGATTATCGCAATTAAGTCGTGTTGTAACTTGCTTGATACCGAGTTCAGTCAATAGACTTCGTATCCATACGGCTTCACGAGCAGCTTCTGCGGTTGCGATATATTCCGCATCCATCGTAGACTGCGCAATCGTAGCTTGTCTTCGAGATTGCCATTGAATCGAGCTATTACAGAACTTGAATAGATAGCCAGTCGTAGACTTTCGTGATTCCGTACAACCAGCAAAATCCGCATCAACCCATCCTTCAAGTTGATACGGTTCTCCTCCAAGCTTGAGAACGTAGTCCTTCGTATGTACGAGATACGACATTACGCGCTTCGCAAGTGCGAGATGCGTTTCAGTTGGCTTGGCTGAGAATCGAGCAAGATATCGTGTCGCAAAGCATATGTCAGGTCGTGTCGAACTTGCGATCCACATCAATGATCCAATGATCTTGAGATAGGGAGTCGTAGCTTCGAGCAGTGTCGAAGTGGTGTAGAGTTCTTCTACATGTTGTGGGAGAGGAGTACCGTAGGATCGAACTGCAACCGAATTGTCTGCGGCTGCACGATCGATATATGCTGGTTGCGATAGGTGAATCGTACGGTTTGTACGATCGCGAACTACCTTGAGCCCTAGTATCTGCTTCATCTCCCCCATTTCTGTCATTGTCCACTTCGATTTCAGGAATCGCATCAGTCGTACGATCACGTCGCGAGTTCGAGCCGCAATGACAAGATCGTCCACGTATGCGAGTACGATAATAGGACCATCTGAACCTTTAGATGCCTTGTAGTACATTCCCCAATCTGATTCGAGTCGTACAAATCCGTACGTTGCGAGTGCATTACCGAGCTCGATCCACCAAACTCGTGCAGACTGCTTGAGACCGTACAGTGACTTGTACAATCGTAAGGTATTACAACCAGGAGCTCGAGCCATACCCTCTGGGTATCTCATATAGATTTCTTCTTCAAGTACACCATTCAGATAAGCTCCTTCGACATCTGCTTGATGTGTTACGAGATCGTACGACGCAGCGATCGTGAGTACGATCCGTAGACTGACCATACGACTTACGGGAGCGTACGTCTCTTCGTAATCTATACCAGGTTGTTGCGAAAATCCCTTCGCTACGAGTCGAGCTTTGTACTTGAGGATCTTCCCATCTGCATCCTTCTTTATTGCAAAGACCCATCTTGAATCAATAGCTTTACGACCTTGCGGAAGTGTAGTCTCCTTCCATGTATTCTTCGACTTGATATTGTCGAGTTCGCGAGTCATTGCGATCTTCCATTCCATACTCTGCGGACTACGAAGAGCTTCTCCTGCAGTCTGCGGTACGATATCATTTCCTTCGATTGCGAGTATCATCGCAACTTCACTGGCTAGACCATAGTACGATGCTTGAAGAGGGAACCAGGTTACTGCTGAGAGAGTACCTTGTACATTCATACGATCTCGGAGTCGTTCGCTCGTACGAGTGGGTTGCGGTACGACACGTGCAATTGGTGCAGGCTGTTGAACCGCAGGGATAGTCGTAGGTTCTGGAGCAGGTGTTTCTTCTGCAGTTGTAGCAGGTGGTTCCGCAGGGATTGTATCCGAAGGAGTCTCTACAACTGGAGTAGATTCGTGTACGAAATCATGTACGGATTCGTGTACGGACACAGGTGATTGAGATCGTACCGATGTCGTAGGTACAGGTGCAGGGAGTGGATCAGGAAGTGGACCAGGAAGGGGATCAGGAAGTGCTGTAGGAGTGATAGTAGTTGTAGTTGTATTCGTATTCGGTACGACCGGTGCGGGAACACGATCTTGTACCACAGTTGAAGGTCGAATGTATTCCTGTGCGCTTCACACATCACGACTGACCACGATCGAACCGTTCGATTCGTATCGTACGATCCAACCACTCATACCTTCCTCTTGCCCTAATACTCTTGCTAATTCTCCTTTGTGGAAGTCAAGCTGCGACTTACCACGGACTTCGATCGGTATCTGTACGTATACGAGTTCACCAAACATGAAAGCTTTCTCTAGGCCTGGCTTGCGACCTGTGAGTGCGAACCATGCGTTCGTACCGTCCGTGCTTGTACTTGTCTTCATCATCATTACGGATGCGTATCGTACGGCGTAATCCCAGTACGAATGATCGAGGGAAGCAGAAGATAGCATTGAACTAGCCATCTCTTTGAGTGTACGATTGAAGCGTTCGGCTACACCATTCAGTTCAGGTGTGTAGCGTGGTGAGATCTGGTGTATGATACCTTTCTCTGCATACCATTGTCGCGCTTGCGATCCTGCGTATTCCGTACCTCCATCCGTACGAAGGAATCGTACGGTTCCACCGAGTTGTCGTTCGATCTTTGCGACAAACTCCTTAAGGTAGAATACGACATGCTGTCGGTTCGGTGCGGTCACTACTCGGTTGACCTTTGAGTAGTCATCGTACATCGTAATGATGTATGTCGCACCCTGCGCCGAAGGTCGTAGGGGTCCAGAGATATCCGAATGTACGATCTCGCAATTACGAGTACCGTGCGGACTGACATCCTTCTTTGGAAGTCGAGTATTCTTCTGTTCTTGACAAACCGCACAGCTATCCGTACGCCACGAGTCTGCCTTCAACTCATCCGCAGTGTATCGTAGCTCCCCCGCTTGTGCGAGCTCGATAATACGGTTACGACCTATATGACCAAGTCGATTGTGTTCGGTTTGTAGTAGTCCAATACGATTTGTCGAACTGATCGTACCCGTAGTCTTGGGTACAAGCTCCCCCAGTTGTACATATGGGAGAACACCGTGTTCTCGTATCGTAACAACCTCCTTGCCTTTACGAAGTTCGCCCTTTACGAAGTCTACGTCCCATCCACGAGCTTTGAGCGTACCTGCGGATAGGATGTTCTGTCGTGCGACGTTCGTAAGGTATACGTCTGCGATCCGTACGGTTTGACCAGAGGGGAGTTGTAGTAGAATGTCTCCCTTTTCATATACATGAACCTTGGTCGTAGTATCCGCAAGACCGAACGTGATAGCCGTGTCGAGTCGTACGATGTTCAAGAGAATCGTACGATCAGGTGTGAGATGGTGGGTAGCTCCACTGTCAAGGAGGAATTCGGGTACGAGCTTCGAGCCCTTCGCTACGTACTGTACGGTTGGCTCGGTAAGGCTGATAGCAGCAGCCCAGAATGGATCAATCGTAGGGTTCGAAGTGCCTTCGTTTGTCGTATTGGATTGTGCAGTATTGACTTGTGCTTTCGAATCCTTCGACTTCCCCTTCGATCCCTTCGATTTCCCTTTCTGTTCATCCCTAATCCTCTTCCTACATTCCTTCTTAAGATGTCCCTTCTTATGACAATAGTGACACTCTGCTGTCTTAATCCAATCCGTATTCGCATGCGTATGCGTATGCTCCGCACTTGTATTATTGATCTGAGCAGACATTGTAGGAGTAATGAGTCGTGCGCGATCTGCGACTTCGACTTGATACAAGCGTCGAAGTTTGGCCCACGTCTTCGATTCCGCAGGAAGGTTAATGTAGAGAGATCGCATGACTTTGAAATCGCTTCGAGGAAGCGAATCGAGGAACCAGAGCGCACGAGTATCATTTGAGAACTTGCATCCTGACTCTTCAGCTTCAAGCCAGAGTAGGTTAAACTTCTGTAGGTGTTGTGTCATCTCCGCATCCGTAGGGTTCGACTTGAGCATAAGCATTTGTAGTTTGCGTTCGACATCCGTACGATGTTCGGGTGTTTGTAGTTGCATATCTGTTGCAAGGAATTTCCACATATCGTATGCGGTTCGAATGGATCGTAGATCTATGAGCAAACCACGCTCGACTTTACTCATGATCGCACCTTGAGCTCGAAGTTCGCGTTTACGCCACGATTCCCAGCGCTCTTCATCATCTGAATCAAGTGGGGTGTGGGTGATAGTCTCCTCGGCTGTAGGTACGACTGAGCCTGCTCGAACCGTACGAGCGATCGTAGGTTGGCGATACGGTTCGACATCCGTACCTTCGATTATCCCAAGACATCCATGGATAAGGAGATAGTTTTCTATGGCAAGTTTCCAATCGAAGTAGTTGCTTTGACTCGATAGTACGGGTACGGATTCGAGACCGATCGTAGTCGAACGATCGTGCGACATTGTGCTTTAAT